GTGCATAATTTATTCTTCACTCAGCATGTAGGATGAACTGCATTCATGATGCACAGGGACTTTTACACAGTGTACAGATGTCAGAACATTTTTTCATTTTTCTTCATGTTTCATACACATACTTTTGATGAAGTGAGGACAGGGTCATTTGAGCATCTTTTTCTAAAGTTAATCACTTTGAAAAGCCCTTGAAGCAACCTCTTCCTTTCTTTATTTACTTTCAGTCTGCATCACTAACCATCTGGAACTAATTATATCTAATCATGCTAAATAGTTACCTTGAGTACTCACTCCTGTTTATCAGTGGTAGTCAGGAACACAGAACGAGCGTATCCTCTGACGAGGTCCATTTTCTCCTCCTGTTAGCACCTTATCACAAGACAGAGATAAATAAATCCTGGGATCCGTGCAGTAGCTTGGTGCACATCTTGGTGCAAGGTGTGTGCCTTGCCTGCACATCTCTAGGGTTATATTTAGCTGAAAACATGAAGCATGTAGAAATTTGCATGTTATCTGTGAGTGTGAGGGTCCTGCTGGAGATAAAAACGATCCAAGTCCAGTCATGTATGTTTTTTTTAGTGCTCCAAGTATTTTGACTAAATTTGAATAAACATGGGATAGGTGTGGGTTTACGTGAAATGGGACTATCTCAAAGGGGTTTTCAACCATTTTCGTTTTTTTCTTCAAATTTTTTTTTTTTTTTTACCTTTCCTGCATTTACTCTAAATGGTTTTTGTCTATTTTTTAATCAAAGGACATCTGATAAATTCATAATTTATCAGACTTCTATTTGTGTTTCAACAAGGTTAAAGAGCCACTAATCTGTTCCTCACAGTAATGGTTTGCTATCTAAACATAACCCACTCTTGCTACAAAATGTTGCAATAAAATGACCACTCAGAAAACCAAACCAAAACATATTTCTATGGTATCATCCTATTGTTGTGTTTGATATTTGTAAGGTATCAACAGACCCCCTTCCTGTGACCAATTCATCCTGACTTTTTAAATGGCATAGGACATTATTTAAAGTGTTGTATATACATTTAATTTTATGGTAAAAGATATCATCAAAATAATATGTATGAGTAAGTATTACAGCTGTTATGATGGCCAAAAAAAAATGTGAATGAAAACAAAATACATGAAAAACATTATTATGTGAAAAAAGCAACCCAATAAGTCAAATAAACCAACAGCGAGACATTTTACTTATGATCTTTACTAGCATACTCAGCTTACGTACTTTCAGGTCATCATCCATTCTCAATGATGTTCAACAGTTATGCTATTGTATGGCACTGTCTGTAGAAGTTAAATGTGTGTGTTGTGGCATTAATGTAAATTTGGTCGTAAAAGCGTCTGACAGTCTTTCAAAGGCTGCTACAGTTAGCTAGCAAGTAGCTGCTGCTTCTTCTTCTACATACATCTACCAACCCTCCTACAATCAACCAATGACTAACATGGTATGACCATTTACTTTTTTTTAGTACAATATAATTTTTTTTAATAAGACAGTTGTTGGCAACGCAGGTTTATTGCAATAACCTGTGCAGGTACTGTTTTGGTAACTCATTTTAGTCATGTGGGAATTTGACTTAAATGTGCAAAATTAAATGGATATGGTGGGGATTCAAAACTCTGACATGGTGAATTTACATTGCAGTCTAATACTTTATCATGTTAAACAACATAGGTTTTATATTCTCATAATAAATAAAATTTTATCTTCATATTTTCTCAACTTTTTTCCTTATAATTGCAGGAAAAAGCTTCTTTAACAAAGATCTCTATCAAAAAATAATTTTGAGCATAGACCATTAGGCCAGTGGCGCCCCCTTTTGTTCTTGTTTAGTTTAAACATTCTTCTGAATAGATTGCCATTTATAAGACATGAGCAAAATATCCCTCTGAAGTGTGTACCTCATTGAGCAATAACAGAAAATAAACAGCCAGCAGCTCATTTTTCCTTTGAGGCATGTTTTGGATTTGAATACACACAAGTGGATGCCTGAACAGACCGTTCTTACTTGGCTGAGGAATAAATGAAACAGCCAATAAGAAATCAAGAAGCACAACAATCTCATATATTCTATATCACTTTAATAGCAGACTATGCCCAAAATGACACAGATATTTATATATTTATGAATGAATAAACCATCACTGGTCAAACTGTTTACCCGGCCTGCGTAGAAATTATTGTTCAATCAAATTTCCATAGCTCATTCCCCCACTGTTACAGAGTTGGTCCCCTCCTCACATGTGACCTATTGAATCTTGAAATTGTGTCAAATTATAGGTAAAAGCAGCATGTGTATAAAGAAGAGGCACCAAAAGAGTGGGGAGGATGATAATCAGGCAGATTTGACAGACTGGTGGGAGGAAAGCAGGGGGAAGAAGAGTGGGACAGAGGGAATGTCAGTCAGGGCATGTAGCCACCCCTGCCTGCAATCACAACATCTTTATCCATCATCATTAACTGCCGCTAAACACTGCGAGTGCCGATCGCATCTGTTTGTCCACCCACAGAGCCGCACAAAGCCTCTCATATCAAAGAGGACAAAGAGGGAAAGAAGGGGGACATTCAGTTAATGTGCTGAAACAGGAGAGAAATCACTGTATCTATTTATTCACGCTGCATGTTTCACAACCTCAGCCACACCTCTGTAAAGCATTAGATCTGTAAAATAGGAATGCGTCATGCATTTCGATTGTAATAGTCTAAAACTGACATACATCATTTTATTTACTCTGATTCCTGTGATCCGTGAATTTCAGTTGATTTGTACAGACCGAGTGTTGCAAAAGTACAAAACAAACACTGTTGCAGTAGAAGCATGGCATGTCATGGTCTTGTCTAGTTTCCTAATTTACACCATGCCAGAAAACAAGCTTTGTTATCTTAAGAGAGAGGAGAAACTCATCAACTGACTGTTGATTGTTTCTGCAGATATGTCTAAATTTATATCGATTTTTTGATGTTTATGAAATAGACTGATATTCATGTTGATGCCGTTTAATGATACACAAAAACAAACAAGACCATTAGGGATAACACTGATGATTTTTTTTATTGTATTTTTTAATGCTTCAAACCAGTTGAAGGGGGTCAGCTGAAACAGTCCCGTTTTTACAATCTGCACATTCACTTTCACAATAAATGATATGTTTGACAGTGAAAAGATTTTTAAACGATCTATCTGGATGATTTTAAGGCAAAGAGTTATGCATACATTAGGGGTGCTGCAGGTTTGACAAACAGGTGCGTTGCAGCTGTATGTCAGTCCAATGCCTCACTCAGCTCTTCCCCTTTGCCTATGACTAGATTGAGCAAAAGTTACAGTGATTTTGCATTTCTGATGTGCAACTTCCAACGCCGAGCCTCACAAGACCTCTTCAGAAACCAGAGGGTGATTCAGTCTATGCTGAAACTTCAAGGGAAAGGAGTTTCTCATCCAGATGGCACATTTCATCGCGCTTAAGTAAGACACAGCGTATAGTAGGAGGTAAGTCATGTAAAAAAAGAAACCCTGCAGGATAAAAAAAGACCCTGATGTGACACATTTTTCTCACACAGTCACTCCAAAGAAACAAACGCTTTAATCAAACATGATCTGGTTCTCCTTGGTGTCACTCGTGCTTTTAACTTATAATTACCTTTACAAGTTTTATCAAATAAGAATCCAGTATATAACCCAGTCAGGTGATAAGTAAGAAAGCTGGATGATAATAAAGTATGATGCTTATTTAAATGAACATAGATGTATGTATAGATGAGCCTCTGTACCCTTTAAAGAAGGCAATGCCTCATTTTTTTACTTACGTATGCGCAACCTCCCAATAAGCTCCCTTTGAGCTTGCATCACCTTCAAGATAAAATGTCAGTTTGCACTCAAGATTTCTTCAGAAAAGCTTTTTACCATGAAATTGGATGATCCTGTACATGCCTGAGGGGATCAGTTTCCTCCTTGACCCTGTTTTCTTACTTCCAGGAGCATCTGAGGAGAACCAGAACTTTACAAACTCACATGGTGGCCACAGAGGGGCTTCATATGGTTAGTGGAGAGGACGTAACCACCTCGGTCTTTGCTCTTCACATAATCCACAGAGGGACACACAGCCTGTGGGACTTCAGGCTCATATGAAATCCATTAACTCTGTGAGAGGAATGATTGGCTTCATTATGACTGGATGTAATGTATAGACACACGCACAGCTGTGCCGCACTCACACCCTCAATAAAATCTTCCATTAGATTAATTCTTATTCAAATTACGTTATGGGACTTTTTCCTGATCATCATAAAATCCAACATCAGTGCGCTTCTGTCCTGACACTTCAGAGAGCACTTTTCAATGATCGGTCAATTCGGTCAAATATGTTTTCTCTCTTAAATTCAGTTTTTGTGAAGGAATAAAACACCTATTGATGTTTACCTCTCATGATTAAAGGACTTCCTCAAATCAAATTACAGATGACGCCCGCACGCACGCACGCACACACACACACACGCACACACGCACCTGGTACATCATTTCCATAAGTTAAATCAGTGGAACGAGGCTGAGTTGACATAATGGCACACAGTGTCGGGGGAGCAGGTGTTTATAAGAGAGCTTGAGAAGTAGGCTGAAGAAGACTGACAACCTCCCCTCCCTGATCCCCTCCTCCTCCTCCTTTCTTCCTCTTTTAGAGCCATTATCAATCCATGTGCAGTCATCTCTGATCTTTGCTCTTTCAAGTCATTTCTCCCCTTTAAGCTCACCAGATCTCCTGCCATCTTTTATCTCCTTCTGGTTTTTCTTCCAGTATTTGTCCTCATTCTGCATCACCGCTTCGTTTCTTTTTACGCCTCTAAATCTCCAAATATCCTGTTCCCCCAGCTTAGCTCCTCTATTGTGCCGCTCGGAAATCCTGCTAACACTGTTATCTACAACAATTAGATGCACGCACGCTTACAAGAGCTGTGTAAAACTGTTCATTCATGCACAGATGGATGATCCCAAACTTGGAAAACATTTCATTTGTTTTATTTATGTATTTACAACACTGTTCTTTACAAACCTGCTGACTGCATGGTTTACAATCCTGCTTAATTTGTTGGGACTACACCACTCCCTCTTTCAGACGCTCATCAGACCTGCCAGCAGCAAGCTCTGAATCAAAGGAAGCGGGGGAGTTTTCCAATAATTAGACAGTCTCCTTTAAAAACACTCAAAGATGACGCTGCGCATTACATTGAAAATGTCACACTTTCAATTGAAATGAATCCACACTGAGAGAAGTTTCTCCTCTTCAATATATTTGATCATCAAAAAGGAGAGTCTTGGCCATGATCAGTCCAATTCCTCATATTCAAGAGGGCACCCTTGAAAACTTGATTTGTGCATGCACTGGTGAGTAATTGATGGTGATAATGATGATGAAGGAGGGATGATCGAGGGAGGTGAGGAACATCCACACAGTGCGATGGCAGCTGGTCTGAGGATGGAGTGGCCCACTGCTCCATTGTTGCCTCAAAGAGCCTCTCAACACACATCAATTGAAGAACTGTGATGATGAGCTGCTGAAAATACTGTACAAGTCTGTCCAACATCTTGTGCTCTCAGTAAGACTGAATGAACAGAACCCCAGTCTGGTCAGGAAGCAAAAGTTTGAGTCAGTTCTGGAGTAAAAATCCAAACAAGTTTGTGTTTATTGCATAATCTGTCTTGCTGCTCTTGTAAGAAGTGAAGAAGGATTAATTCCCTTGACCAAGACCTGTGCTCAGCTTTGATCACAGTTTACAAATTGCTCGATAAGAGAGTTGCGGCTTAAATGCACAGCCTCATTTCCATTTTAATTTCCTGGAGCTCTGTCTCCATCAGCAGCTGAGGATTTTGATGAAGGCGCGTCTGAACTCGATGTTGAAGGTGGTGTAAATAACAGGGTTGAGGGCGCTGTTGACGTACCCCAGCCAGGTAAATGCACTGTAAAGTTCAGGAGGGATGTAACATGTCCTGCAGTGGGTGTTGAGAATATGAGTCACAAAGAACGGCAGCCAGCAGATGAGAAAGACTCCTAAAGAAGCAGCAAGAGAGCAGAGGAGAAGAGAGAGAAGGAAGAAACACAAGAGTTAAGCTGTAGGAAATGGGTCATTGTGTGCTTGTCTGCTGTAGAGTGAACTACAAACGTTACCATGTTCACGATAAGCTATTTTTAAAATCAACGGAAAGACCACGCAGGCTGATTATGAATATTAATAATAAAACATGGGTGATTATTAGATGAATCATTATCAATTATCTGCCACGCATGAGGTTACAAGAGGAGGTCTGAAAAACTCTGAGGTAGACACGTCCACTGAACAGACGCTTATCAGATACCTCCTGTGTCGTCAGCAAAACCCTCTCTATTTCTAGATAAAGGACTATGGGGCTCTGGTCTGTCTGACAACAGACAACAAATGATGAACCCACCTTACAGCTAACATGAATACAAACTAGCTGATGTGTCTGGCAATGGCAAGGCGATTATATGACTTTCATAATTTAGTCAACTTTTAAGCCCCTGTGGTGAAATTTCAGTTTGTGTCAATTTTGGCGCCCCCTGTGGACACAGCAGTCTTAGCTTATCTTAACCCAGTGGTTCTCAAGTCCAGTCCTCGAGCCCCCCCTGTCCTGCATGTTTTGGATGTTTCCCTGCTCCAACACACCTGATTCAAATGATCAGCTCGTTATCAAGCTCTGGAATGGCTTAATAACGAGCTGATCATTTGAAACAGGTGTGTTGGAGCAGGGAAACATCCAAAACATGCAGGACAATCCAAAGGACTGGACTTGAGAACCACTGTCTTTACCTATTAGTGCTTAAATTGTGTTTTTGGATGATTGAATCTCATTCGTCTGACTTTTTGATGGTCAAATTGATCATTTCTTGTGAATATTTTATGTGGAAAATGTCAAATCAGACTGTTACTTCAGCTGCTTGACTGACACCTACCTACTCACACGTTTCAGGTATCAACATTTTTAATAGTTTTATCATCAGTTTTGTCTGATAGTCTTGTTTGCTTTTGTAAATTATGAAAACATGTCAATTTGAATTTCAATCTCTCATAAAAGTAAAAAAAAAAAGCGAACTTAATGTGACTATTTGTAAGCTGCAGCGAATCAGAGAATTAAGAAACCATCAACTGAATATTCATTCTTGCAGTATTTATTCAGAAACTCCACAGTTTGCCTGATTTGTTTCAAATATTGTTTGTAGTGAAAATCAAAGACTTACTGCTTCAAAACATGGTTCAGAATTCAGAATGGCAAATTTGTAGTCATTGTAAGCTGTGGTGGAGAAAAGGCCTGCCAGAAACAAGAACTAACTTTGTCAAAAGGTCAATTAAAACATTGTTTTGGCCAGCAGCAGCTAATAAGACGCATTTTATCAAGTATGAAGCTCAAAATGTTGCAGCAACGTTGAAATATTCTTGACACTTTAATTGGGGTCACAAGACTACGCAGTGGTCAGCCGGCTAACAAGCAGTTGGAAAGTGTGGAGGACCAAGGTTATTTCCTGTGTGTGCAGCAGACTTCTCACTGACACCAGAGTAATGTAATCAGACACCTCTGATTACACTTTTGCCAGTGAGATCTTTGTGGTGCCAGGGCTAACTGGACTGGGCTTACAGCACCCTGGCTGATAATTGGAGTGTGTGGAAGCTGCGTCAGGAGTTAGAGCGTGTGTCTGGACACGCACTGTAAAACCTGAGCCAACCACTCATTTCTCCTCACATGTCAGGTTGATTTATTGCAGCTCTGTAAAATAAGCAGCAAATTCACACAGAGGGGTATAATGTGCTATTTTCATTTGATTGGCAGAGCAGGTGACCAGGTGCATATGGTGAGAAAGTCCATGAGTAAAATCCTAAGTTGTCAAAGCAGAATGAATAACTTTGCCAGTATCTCATCTTTCATACTGTCTGCTCTCAGTGTACTCGTGACATTTACATTTTCATTTCCCCAGCTTATCAACTTAAGACTCTCCTCTCACCGAGAACGATGGCAAGCATCTGCGTGGCCTTCTTCTCCCGCGCGTGCATGCTCCTGAAGCGTTGGTTGCTGGCGTGAGAATGAGGGATGGCGTGCAGCGATGTGTGTGTTCGTCCATTGGACAGATCCTTCACCTCACAGCTCATCCTGACAGGAGGCTGCTCATTCTGGGTGTTCTCCTCCAGCTCCCCGCCTTGCTGATGGTCATGCTCCAGCTCCAGCTCAGTGCGACCGCAGGAGGCATGGCTGATGCTGCAGCAGTTCTGGGTGTCCACTGGGGGTAGCATTGAACCCTCAACAGGTCCTGTCTTTGGACGTTTCCGCCACAGGCATCCTGACAGGAAATTAGGCTTTGAGGGTCCTGAGGGTTCCACACTCTGCTGTCAGAAAACAGACACGCAATGAGAACACTTCAAGATTTAAAGGGATATTCCGGTGTAAAATTAATTTAGGGTCAAACACACCGTAACACTGAGTTAGACACCCCCTCTAGAGATGAATGTTGCCGACCGCTTGCTTCTCTAGTTATACCAACTTTAGTAACAACCGCAGGATAGCAATATACAGCAGTCTGAGGAGCCATGAACAAACTTCAACAAAAAAACCACTCTATAGCCACAGATAATGCTCAGAACAGCACCTAACTTCATCAACAGAACATATAAGGTCCCAGCCATAGTACTAGCCATTAAACATCTTTTTAACTTTGCCTAATTTCTTTAGCAAAGAGACTAAACACAACTCACCTACTCTCTTCCATCAGCCGCTTGTCTGTAGTGAGACCTAGGGCCAGTCCATTACAGATTACTGCGCAACTCAAGGAAGAACATTTATGATCATTTCTTTGTCATTTCCTTGAAGTTATAATCACCATATTAATCATTTTGCACTGCAGACGCGGTAGTTCTTCTGCCTTAGTGTCTCGGTCTGATTGCATTTCCATGAAGAAATGATCATAAATGTTCTTCCTTAAGCTGCATCACCCCACAGCAGTCCGTAATGGACTGGCCCGAGGTCTCGCTACAAATGAGCAGCTGCTGGAAGAGATTAAGTGAAGTTAAAAAGATGTTTGGTGGCTAGTACTATGGCTGGGACCCTATATGTACTGTTGATGAAGTTAGGTGCTGTTCTGAGCATTATTTGTGGCTATAGAGTGGCTTTTTGGTTGAGGTTTGTTTATGGCTCCTCAGACCGCTGTGTATTGCTATCCTGCGGTCGATACTCAAGTTGGTATAACTAGAGAAGCAAGCGGTCGGCAACATTCATGTCTCGAGGGGTGTTACGGTGTGTTTGACCTGAAATTAATTTTATGCCAGAATATCCCTTTAAATATATACTTTAGACTGGCTGAAAAAGCAGAAAAGCTCTCCTGAACTTCCACTTAAAAGCTTCTAGGAGGTTTAAGTTTTGAAAACAAAAGCCTGCAGACATTAATATGACATCAGTTGGCTATCTGTATTTTTGCTTTACATGCAGAGTATTGCTCTTCATCTAATTTAGACTTTTTTACCGATCTCTTGCAACATCAAATAGTACATTATCTAAAAGATTATCCAGCTCATAAATCATAGTTTCATACCTCCTCCTCATTTCACAAACAGGTTTTTTTCTAAGGAGGAATCATTATTCTGTCTTTGAACAGTCTGTAGTTTATGCAGGTGCTGCACTGCATCAAATACAGACTGTGCTGTTGACTACTGGCACAAGCTGCCATTGAGAATCACAATTCCTTGTTTCTTCATAGACCTGGCCTACACAAAAAATTGAAAAACAAAACAAAAAAAAAAAAAACAGAAGCATGCATGATACTTGAACATGCACACAGACAGACTCCAACAAAAAGCTAAAAACAGAACTGTTGCATACCACAGCGTCAAAATACGCCTCCACGCTCAATACTTACAGAGTATTGAGTGTGGCAATGTCTTCAGCAACAATAGAGCAGTAAATAATCGATTCAAGAAATCTGCTGGTCGTGTTGGATGTCTGGTTTTGAAATAAAACCCACCACTTTAATCCTGATAGGTGACAGGTCTTGCTTTGCCTTGGGGGTGTCCTCCTGTAGACAGGTCTCCTATGGGAGCAGAGGGAGCTCAAGATGAAATCATTTTTCAGACAAATGCTCTCCCTTTCTTACTCCAACATTCCATCACCATCAACTCCCGGTACAGACTGTTCCCGCCATACACTTGGGAACTCAATATAAAAGTCAATGAGCCATTCATATTTATTTAATAAAGCAAACCTGGTTGGATGTCCACAGTGGACAAGAAAAATCAATGGTATCAGCATCTCTTTATTTCATGTAAGGCCCACTGCTCATCTACACACTACAGATCTAAATTGAGGTTTTAAAATAAAGATAGTGGCCTTTCTATTACAAACACTTTTTCCATTAGCTTGAACTGCTCCAGGGCTTGGACCTCACTACGAATGAGATCACGAACTGGGACTCAACCAAAACCAATTATCTGTAACCTGCTGCTTAAAAAGACGTTTGTCTGCATATTCGTGTGAAGTGAAGGGAAAAAAACTGAGTGATAGAAATCGAACTACTTTAGAAAAAAGTGCTCCATGAATTTTTCAAAGCTGATCAAGATTTTTATCGAATTATCTAATGATGTTTTTTTTTATACTCTGCGTTTTAAAAATAGGCCTAATGCACAGAAGCTGACCTGCTGTCCTTGCCTCTGGTTACAGATAGAGACTTCATTTCTGTGATAGATGTAACTGGGGCAAGTATTCGAGTGATGGGCGTGATCTAAGAGCTGACAGCTGGTTAGAAAACAACACAGAGATTTGCACTGTTATAACTTTTCTATTTTTGAGACAACATCATCATGGTCACGAATAAAAGAAGTTATTCAAAAAGAGGGGGCACGACACTGGTTGTAGTCTAAATTAGTCTGCCATGCAAACCCAAACGATAAAGTCCTTAATCATCATCCATCCTTACTATTTACTGATCATTTTCATTGTGGACAACACAGAAAGCTTGTACTTGCACGAATAAGCGATACAATGCATTGAGGTTTACATGAGAGTGAGTTTCAATAAAGCAAATATTTCCTTTGCCTTTTTTTCCTCTTCTATCTGTCTTTTTTTAACATGTGAAACACATATCTGTTTTTGAGCCATAAATAAGTTATCTAATCTGCTGTGTTTTGGTGTAGAAGTTGAAGGCTTTCTAATCCCTGAATTAGTCTGCCTGCTTTATTTCTAACATCTGGCTCTGTGCTGCACGTCCTTCTCCACTCTCTCTTCCTGTTTTCCTGTTTTCCTGCTTTTTCTCCTTTTCTATACTCAAAATAAAGATGTAATAACACAAATTGTTATATTTGGCTCCTTTGATATTTATGTCTATCAGTTTAACTTTGAATGATTTCTTCCCTTTGGCTGATCTGTTGATTTTCCTTCAAAAATACAGAACTGGACACATTCTTCCAAGCTACATGGACTATTTTTAACTTGACGGTCTGTTTTAATTAGAAATCTGCAGTTTTACAGTGACAGACGTGCCAGCTCCTTATAAACAAACCTATACATTTACTTAACATCTTTACCTGTGATTACCTGACAGAACAGTTCTACTCAGCCTTCATTTATAGAGCAGCACAAAGCTCACCTCGCCTGTTTTAGAAAAACTGTCATACTGAGTTCCTCCGACATCTTGTTGTTACTCTTATTCATGCATATGAGAAAACCACCCATTGTTTCTGACAGCAGCCAGATATTTTTATCCGCTAACAGCGCTAGTGAAGAGGATTTCATGGACGCTTTGCAGCCCAAGTAGGTGAGAGCTAATAATAAAGGTGTGATACAAAGGTGAATTGTAATTTGCAAGTCATTATTATGGGCTTGGTGTGATGAGAGCAAGAGACTAGATCTACATTAGAATTGAAATGTTAATATAAAGCTCATTTGAATGTTTATGTTGATAAAAAACCAGATCAGCCAACAAAAAAAATAGAGCTTCAAACTCTGACTTTCCTACTTCATGATTTATATTTTAAGGGTTTAGTTTCCTCAGTATTAGGCACCACTTTTGCGTAAGTCATCTTGAATTCAGTATATTTATGAAATCAAAGGTTTTTGGTAGTTATTTATGAGTTTATGTTAAAATGCCCTGCAGGTTTATATTAGATTCCATCAGGACAAAACAATAGTCAGGCCAGTCCTACTCCACAAAAAGACAGCTTACTCTGAATTTATGAAGCGTTTGAGACACATAAACCCCTCATGAATAAATAATGCCCTCACACAGTAAAACATGATGCACATATAAAAGGAGAAAATAGAGAAAAAAATATGAATTAGATGCTTGTCTCACCACGGACGGTGGAGTTGAGCCCGGCTGCACCTTCCTGCTGACCTGGCTGAAGGTGATCCTCTTCCGCCTCATCCTCAGGAAGACGTAAATGCGGATGTAGACAAGTAAGGTGACAATAAACGGCAGGTAAAAGGACACCACAGAGGAGTAGATCACAAAGTCGGGGTTGGAGATGGAGCACACCATGGGGTCATCTACGTCAAAATATAAAAGCATCATTATGTAAAAGCAGCTGAAATTCAAGAGTTAATAACAGGGACAGTGAGAGTAATTTACCATCAACCTCCGACCCTGCTGCACGCTCACTAGTTTGAAAATGACCTTTACTGGTTTGTCCTTGTTATATAATCTGCATATCAACATCATACTGCTCTGCTGTTCACACACTCACACTCACACACACAGGCAGCAGGACTGTGAGTTAGAGGGTTAATTGATTCAGTCATAATTGAGCCATAAATCCAAGATGGGGAATTCGGCACGATAATAATGGTGTAAAGATCAATTATTCAATCCCAATTTCAGAGTTAAATGTCTATCAGGTGAGCTCTTATCCCTGTAAATTGAAGTTTGGAAAAAAAAGACACAGGCCTTGACCACAGATGTGATGTGCATATTGCATGTCAGTGGCATGAACAAACAGGTGATTTGCTTCTCCCTAGATGTTACTGCGGATCAATACTACATACTTCAATACACAGAGAGATGAAACAGGGACAGACAGGTGCAATCTATTTCTAGCCATGCTCTGAATCAACTCCAGAGTCTGCCTACACATCATTACGCCATTTTGTCCCTCCCATATTCATAATTTGTCTTGTCAAGGTTCCCTTTTCCAATTCTGTTTTTCTGAAGGATGATAAAGCGTCTCTTCTGGACCTGACATGAACCTGTATGTCTGTACTACCTGCGCTAATAGCTATTTGAAGAAACAGTGAGACCCCTGCAATCACCATTCATTGTTACACACCAGTGTGAACACATTGAACCAAATGCCTGTATCTCTGGCGGTAGTTTTAGATTGTGCTCCACTAATGCTCTTCATTGTGTATGTGCAGCCATGCATCTTTACGCTGATGCCTATAGAAATCAAATAACAACTCGTCAAGCCTAGTGTTTCTCTGTCCATCTTATGGTTTGGTGGTCGATCCTTCTTCCTCCAACATCAATATGGTCAAATGTCGAATATGTGATCAGCAAAGCTAATATATTGTAATATAGACCAGATGTAATCAAATCATCAGAAAGGCTTGGTTAGGTTTCGTTCTTCACCATAATTTTTGCAATCTTTATTAAATTTAACAATAGTCTGGATTCCTCAAGTGTTTCCACATCAAAGGTTTTGAGATGTTTAAGTATTTAACTTATTTGAAGAACTTTTCTAACGCTGTTTCAAAAACATAGTTTCTCTTGATTTGACGTTACAATAGCAACAGCGGCTAACTTGCTTCAAATTTTCAATATCTGCAAAGACAGGATTACCCTTTTGCTGCATAGGAAAACCACAATTTCAGTGCAGAAGAGACAAAAAGAAAGACTTTCTAACAAAACAAACAAAAGCCCTTTTAATGTGTTTTAACTATTGAGACATCGTCACAAGTAAAATAGACTTGGTAAAGTTTAGAAAAACGACAATGCATAGCATTATGCTGAGTGGCTTTGGGCTGCGTTACATACATGGACTGTATATAGAATGGACAGCATCTGCCTCATAGACTGTATCTACTATGGACAACTTGGTTCCGCCTCCCGCCTGTATACGGATTTGAGGCCAAAAAGCTCTCAGTATTTACGAGATTTTTCTTCATTTCCTGAAACCAACGCTGCGCAGTAGCGTTGTGCGCATTCATCAGGAAAGTTGCCGTGATGACGCTTGGCTCAAACAGCGTAACCCCCAGGTGAGCGACGCAATCCCTGAACGCCCATAGGCTGTATCAGGTGTCAATCATAGAAAACATGAACCCCCTAATAACTTTTAAAAACGGAGCTGTACAGAAAAAAAGAGGACTTGAGCACAAACCAGTCTTACAATAACTACATGTCAACATTGCAAGCAGGGAGGAGAAAAATTTATGTTCTGTGTAATAAATTTCTAAAGTTTGTCCACAGCTCTATAAACTCTGCTGGCGGAGGTGGGATTTATGACCTATACTGCAGCCCATCAACAGAGGGTGCTGTTCTTGAAGTGGCTTCACCCAGCGAGGAGGCAGACACTGTCAATTCTATATACAGTCTATGGTCTGCCTCCTCGCTGGGTGAAGCCACTCCGAGAACAGCACCCTCTGTTGATGGGCTGCAGTATAGGTCATAAATCCCGCTTCCGCCAGCAAAGCTTATGGGGCTGTGACCAACTTTAGAAATTTATTACACAGAACATAAATTGTTGTGATGTTGACATGTAGTTATTGTAAGACTGGTTTGTGCTCAAGTCCTCTTTTTCTGTGAAGTTCCGTTTTTAAAAGTTATTAAGGGGTTCATGTTTTCTATGATTGACACCGGATACAGCCTATGGACGTAGGGATTGCGTAGCACACCCGGGGGATACGCTGTTTGAGCTGAGCGTCATCACAGGGACTCTCGGCGACACTCCCGCCAAATGCGCACAACAATACTGCACAGCGCTGGTTTTAGGAAATAAAGAAAAATCCTGGAATTACAAAGAGCTTTTTGGCCTCAAATCCGTATACAGGCGGGAGGTGAAACTAAGTTGTCCATAGTATATACAGTCTATGGTTACATAGCATTATGTTGCACTGCTTTACATTACACTGCTTAAAGTTACACTCTTTAATGCAATGGTTCTCTAGTCAAGTCCTCGAGCCCACACCTGATTCAAATGATCAGCTCGTTATCAAGCTCTGGAATGGCTTGATAACGAGCTGATCATTTGAATCAGGTGTGTTGGAGCAGGGAAAAATCCAAAACATGCAGGATGGGGGGGCTCGAGGACTGGACTTGAGAACCACTGCTTTAATTCATTGCACTCTGTTACAAAGAGATAAATTCCTAATTTTTTATTTATCAGTGACCACTTTCCCTGCATACTAGAGTTCAGGACAGGGTCAGAGAAGACATTGTGCCACATTTTCAAAGGCAGAGTAGGACAGGATTTCCCTTGACAAGTTAAATGACATGCTAGATTGAGGTAGTGAACCGAAAAATCCCATCTTGTGTTGCATTTCATGTCCCACTGCTGACCCTAACACAGCTACAAGACTTGAATTTGTCTCTGAATTTCATGACATACTGCCTTAGTGCCTTGGCTTTTATTCTGCATCACATAGTCTAGACTCATGTTTGCAACTGAGCATGCATCCAGACAGGAAGATGAAGTCTGAGTGTTGTTGACCTGACCTGTGGTGTTGAAACCAAACAACAGGGGACAGGAGACTGCGAAGGCCAGGACCCACACAGTGGCAATCATCATAAAAACTCTCTTCCTGGAGCGATGGGTGGTGTTGTACAACACGGGCATCACTACTGCTGTGTACCTACAGAAGAAAAAAAACACACTTGAGTCCGCCAAGCGACAAAATATGTTTCCTGGGATTAGAAGTGGCATTTCAAAGACGAAAGCGCTAATGAATAAAACAACTGAAATAAAACACATAATTAGAGGGAGAGATACAACCTCTATCAAAGGAATAAAGCTCAGGGATGCCAAGAAAAATACACGGCTGGGAGAAAGTGAGATACATAATAAACACACGTGGGGCAGCAAACTAAGCTTTTTCATTCAGAAACAATTTGGGCATTCAGTAGTAAACCAAGTGGAGCTTTATTTAAGAGTTAATCATCATACTATATGCCAAGAGTGTGTAATGAGTCCAGGAAAACTAGGTTCAGCAATTGCTCAGAAGAAGCAGCAATTATTCTGGACCCCGACCCGAAATGGATGTGATGTTATGTTGTTTGGAGCCAGAAAACTGCCAGGATTGTTTATCCTCATCAGACTAATTACACTGGATCGTCTCTAGGCGAAACGCAGAGGCGAGGCCCAGAGTGCCTATTACAATGCTGCTGTGTGATTAAAGAAGAAGTGGTGTTGGAAAAAAACAAAGATGCACATGACTTATTGATGAGGTTAAACTGTGAGCTGAGTACCAAACATGTCCTTCAGTTCTGAGCTCTTCTCAAAACATGACCTACTATACTTTGCATACAAATGCACTTCACCTTGAAGTTCGGTGGCAGATTTATTGGGCCTGTGAGTAACATGGTACAACTCTTCCTTTTAAGGAAGAACTTTCCAGCCACAAATCCTCCCTGACATCACAGTGACATATCACTGATAAGCTTAGAAAAACACAATGCTGTCATAAAGGTGATGCAGCTTAGAAAAAGCACACAGGCAATGTGATACTGATGCAGTAGAGCAGACCTGTCTAATAATAAATCATGGACAACTAGGCCTGTCACGATAACAAATTTTGCTGGACAATAATTGTGCTACAAATTATCGCCGATAAACGATATTATTGACACCATTTTTTAAATTATAGATAATGATATTATATGGCATAATAATGCGAGTACACCATGTCAAAAGTGATAAACTTTAATTTCCACACGAGAACAACACTGGTTGTTTTCATTGACTAAAATATTTCCCTTTTCTCCCACGACGAAGACGTAACGTTGACGAGCTAAACATAAGTCGGAGATGACTACAATGTGACGAGACGAAAGTGCGTTTACGTTGATGGGACGAGACGAAAATGACGAACAGAGTTGCAAAACTCAGTCAGTTAAACGCTAAACATATAGGAGCAGCTTCAGTCCGCTCTGACAGCTCTCATCAGCCTGCTGTGCTCCTCCAACACACAAACACGCACGCGCGCGCGCACACACACACACACACACACGTGGAGTTTTGTGGTTGACGAAAACAAAACTAGTTTAAAGCCGAAATATTCCCACACTTGGGCTGTTGTGTTCGGTTTAGACACCAAAGCTGTCGTGTTCATTCTGTTAGCTTGCTTTTCACTCACGACGCTCACTTGCAGCACTGTATCCAAAACGTCTGTGTCTGTGTGCCTGTGCGCGCCAGCCCCCTCGTGACAAAGACACTGAATGACTGACAGGAGGGTTCACTAACTCCGTTCATTCCGCTATAGAGCCAACGCCCCCAGGTGCCGAGAACAATGCGCAGAGTGAGACCTCTTCTCTCATCCAGCGTGTTTGGTAGCGAGAGAGGAGGAAAACAAACGCACGTCAATTATCGAGGCTGGCAAAGTTATCGACCTCGTTTTTATTTATCGAGCGATAAGGCGATTTATTGATTATCGCGACAGGCCTATGGACAACCCTTGGGCTCCAAGAAAAACAACAGTGTATATGAAAATGCTGCAGAGAGATAAAATTGTTCTCAGGAATGTAACCATGTAAAAGAAGAGGTTCAAAGTAAAGTTGAAAGACAGATTTAGGCGATAACTTTCTGCAGCTCCTTTCACATACTGTTGCAACAATTTATACAGGTGACACTTTTAAAGAATTATTCGTGTCATGATCCCGGTTGAAACAAACGAAAAGAGGACCCAAATGCAGGACAACAAATAAGGGTTTATTTAAAACAAGAACTAAACAAGAAGCAACAAAAACTTACTTTGAAAATGTCCAACTCAAAAATCCAAAAACAAAGAAAATGCACAGAGGAAAAACCACACAAGGAGACACTGGCATGAACACACAAAGGCATCAACATACTCAACAAAGAAACAGTGGAAGACAAGGACTATATGACCACAGGGAAATGAGCAACGAGAGGCAGGTGAGACAATGAGACACAGGTGCAGACAATTACAGAGGAGGGCAAACTGAGGAAGTAAAACAAGACTAGAAACACAGGGAATAAACTACTACAAAATAAAACAGGAAACACCGAAAACTGATATAAGGAATAAAACACTGGGAACATGAGGGAACCGGGGTCAAACACAAACTGAAAACTCACTAGACGAGACTACAGGGGAACAGGAACAATATGGAACAGAGACACTAGGGAAAATTCACTCAAATCACAGGGAAACACTAAAATAAGAGAACATATCATGACAATTAGGGGTCAATAAACCCAAAAGACATTCAGTAAATAGGATAAATATTTGAATCCAGCTTTGTGCATGACAAACTACTCTCTGACAAAAGCACCCATCAGAAAGTCTTACTGATAAAAACTCTTGTGCACACCCTGTATGGGTTCATCCTCATGACATCTCCAGTCTGCATGCATTCATTTATTCGTTCCATATTGTTGGACTCCTGTTGCCTGGGGGTTGTAAGTTCAAAGACTCAGGAGAGCTATTAAATATTAAGTGCGACACAAAAAAACATAAGAAAACTACGCAAATAAATAATGCAAATTCTGGATGTATATTCACCATAATGGTTTTAACCCCTTTGTAATTCAAGCTGTTCTGCGTCAATGTAAACAAATGGTGCCAATTAGCTGAAAACTTATGGTAGTCATAATGCAAAAATTAAATTAAAAAACACAATGCTTATGAAATCTCTTTTTTTCTGTCACATAGAGATTTACACACACATACAACAAGGTTACAGACAGGATGAGAAATATCCTCCTCCTGGGAAGTGTTGAAATATCGATGAAGTGAGGCGGAGAACAGAGTAACACCTGGAGACACAGCAACCCGACATAATACAGGAAATGCCAGTGCAACATCTGCGTCCACAACTACATGTGAATGCACACACTCCTACACACAAACAGGGCATACTCACCTGTCAATGCTGATAGCACACAGGTTGAGGATACTGGCGGTGCACATCATCACATCTAGCGTGACGAAGATGTTACAGTAGAGGCGACTGAAAAGCCAGGCTCCACCGACCACCTGCACAGGACAGACAGAGCGGATTAAAGACTCACGTTTGTCTTCTATTTCTTCACGGTGTAGTGTCAAGCGCCTGTGACTCCACACATATACATGTGACAGCAGCGAAGGAGGTAGAGAGTGTTTTTACTGACATAGTTTGACAAAGGATGTTTTAGTGACATGGTGCTGTCATGTCTTTAGGTTGTAACAGGTGCAAATTCAGGAAATCGGTCAGTCCTTAACCAAACCAAACCAACAAAACAAATACTACACTGTGACAGCATTTGAACTTCCCATCCTGCAATGCATGGTCAGTGATACATAAATGTAATGCTATAGGGCGTAGGATCAATTAATCGAGTTTCCATGAATACGCAAGTAACATTTTACAGCTCCTGTCCTCAGCTGCAGTGTGATAAAGTGTGACTAGTCTGGGATGATACTTGTAACAAGGATGAAGAATCAAGAGACTGTGCAAAACAAAGGATTTAATCATCCTCGAGAGAGTCTGCACTTCCAGTAAAAGATGTTACCCTTCTTTCTTTCTGACCCAATAATACCCCAAACAAGTCCTTCCACCCCCAGACCCCTCAGCAGCAGAGTCCTGCACAGACCGACGGGCTTTCACTTTGGCTCTGTAATGACTGGTAATAACTGTCTAACAAAGATTAATGGGACCCATGCTCCTTCACCTGACTGCTGAATCTCTTAATATCAGAATGGAAAAAGACGTCTACCTGCACAGAGGGGCACATGGGAATATGTACACACATACACACATACACACACACACACACACACGTTTTAAGACATTAATTTTAAGTCACTTCAATTTACGCACTTGTTTTCTCAGGCAAACTCAGAATTTTAACCTAAAAACCAAAACATCAGCCACCACTCAGACCAGGCCCACGATTTCCTCACTTTACATTCAGATCTGACTACTTTACTGATACTGAACTGAACTGGGGTCACCTGGTCAGGGAATCTGTGTTTTAGCAGCTTGACTCCTGTGCATCAAATAAGACTCTATTCTCACTGAACTGGGGAAGAACCGACTGTATTCAAATAAGACAACTGACAAATTAATTAAATGCAACAGAAGACACACAGTGCAAATCAGTATGTTTACTTTTACATGCTTAATCTATGTGCTTGTGATGCGTAAGCTAATCTTGGATTTATTATGTAAATAGGAGCGAAACAAGAACTGCTCACGGCTGCAAATAAATGAAGTGCAGGCAGAAGGATCTCGGATTAAAACAAGGCTTCACATTTTAACTGCAGTCAGGATACGCCCTGAGAAAACTATATGGTGAATTTAATACATTTTTAGTACAGAAACTGGGACACAGAGGCAGAAATAACACAAAGATATCTCTGCGTCTGCAGCATCAATTTACTTTTTAATCTCTCTTGTAAATCCTTCAACTTTACAAAAGCTCGGTGCTTCATTAAAGCTTAAATCCTTTTAATTTCAGCACAAGACTGAATCCAGAGGGACGAGAACATGCTCTCACAATGGCATGTAGCAATCATCTTCATAATTGTTGGAAGGACATTTAGTGCTCCTAAGTACAGAAATCACACTAATAAATATACTAAATGTACAGAACGTACATAGTTGTCTTTGTTTGTACTCAGTTGCAGCCCACACACAAAAAGACTGAGAACACATGTAGGTTTGTGATGAACATTATGTACACCATGTGGGAATACAATGCTGACTCAGTAGAGCTCTGCAAACACCTTGAATTGACAGAATTTAAGCAATGGTACCTATACATTCACAGCAGTGAAGCGCACCAAATGTCTCATTAAAAACAAGCAGCAGGAGCAGAATTGCTATGACTCTGGAGAAGATGGAGTATCTGTGTAGAGAAGATTGTTCCATTATTTTTTTCTTTCATTTTAAAGAACAACAATGAGGGGAAAAGGAAACAGGCTCTAAACGGGCAGCTGACTTGTTCAAACTGATCTTTCTTTTCAGTGACTTTACATCCTTTATGTTAATTTTTTCAAATAGGTCACTGGATTTGATGCATTTACTTTTTAGCTGGTCGTCCTCATGGGGAACATGCCCTACAAAAAGCATCTGTCTCAGAGACGTAATGATAGGCTTAAACTTATACCTGAGAATAATGTCTGGTGTGTGGATATATATGGACACTGGCCTTGTTTCTGTAGTCTGAGTGTGGATTTGTCGAGACAGGACCACGCCAGTGAGGGATAAATTCAGGTTCACTCAGTGCCACCCTTGTCATATATCTCCTGCACCATCCAGGGGTGAGCTTGCTCAAGGGCACATGATTAGTATACGCAGGTAGGGGAGAGATGTACTTTTCCACTTCCCCTGCCATGACAAGCATGCAGACATGAACCAGCACCCTGTAGTCACACCAAGCTAATCCGCAGTCCTCCAGATTAAAGTTCTCAGGGTTCTGGTGCTCACGGTGCCAGTCTTGGGATGGAAAAAAGTTTTGATATGGCTGACCTTCACATTCCTGCTAAATTAATGGACATAATTATTTGGTGTCATTACTGACTCTTAATGACCCTCTGCTCATGGGAGGTCTCTCTTGAATTCTTAAATTAAAAAACTAGCACATGCTTTTACGGCGTGACTGGTCGCATGGAAATTAAACTCAGGATTGAATCCCGTTGTGGTTTCCCGCTACTTTAATTTACCATCATAGGAGATAATCATCTTCGATTTGTCTGCTCCTGCTCACTGAGTGTGATCATTTTTTATTCTGCTCGACCTGAAGTTGAATCCTCTTCACGCTGTGAGAAAAATGTGCTCTGTGTAAGCAAACTTTGGGCAGCAGGGTAGCTTCTGGTTGAACATAACTGAACTTTAACCACTTAACATGTTTACAAACATCCGTCCTTGAGTTATACTGCTCATATCCGCCAGCTTCAAGGATGCTATTTCCCACGAACTTACTCAAACAGGACGTGAAGTTTGGGGTCATGTGTGCTCACACCATTAATATAAGAACAGCAAGTGACCCAAAGGTGGAGACTGAGGAAATGAGCAATTAGCAATCAAGGTGAGATAAAAATTTAATCACAAGTTTGTAAATTCTGCTTGAGAGTTTGAAGCACAGCCTATTACCCAAAGCATATTAAGTCATTAATTTTCATTTATATTCAACATGCTCTTCAGCAATTATGTATAATCTACATGAATAGTGAATCACTATCTAAAATACCTTTAATCATCATTATTATCTCCTATCTCTCACACAGTTGTCACTATCTCATAAGCTCCAAATGACCCCCATCTTTCTCTTTGACTGTAGCCACCTTCTTTGTCTTCCTCAAAATGTCTTGGCTTTTCTCCTTTTTAACTCTGTCAGTTCCGCATTTACTCATAAAGTTTCTAGTAGATCAGAAATAACCATCCAGAGTTCTCACAAACATAAAAAAATGTTGAATAAGCTAGATAAAGAAGAAATAGTTCAGATGATGAACTTTTAGTTTGGAGCAATTCTGGCGCCCCCTGTGGACACGACAGTCTTTGTTTATCTTGTCCTCTACCTGCTGAATTAGTGTCTTCTGATAGAAAATCCCAGCTGAGACTTACAACAAGTGAACAATGTTTTCCTGTCTGCTCCTAGAAGTAGAAAGCTGATAAACACATCAGGGGTGGGATTCTTTAGCTCAGTGGTTCTCAAGTCCAGTCCTCGAGGCCCACTGTCCTGCATGTTTTGGATGTTTCCCTGCTCCAACACACCTGATTCAAATGATCAGCTCGTTATCAAGCTCTGTAATGGCTTAATAACGAGCTGATCATTTGAATCAGGTGTGTTGGAGCAGGGAAACATCTAAAACATGCAGGACAGTGGGCCTTGAGGACTGAACTTGAGAACCACTGCTTTAGAGGGTCCAGTCTTTGGAAGATCTGGTCTTCATGGTCTAATATCTTCTTAGTGTCAACACTTACACTTGTTCCAGCAGCCCCTGTTGCCTCAGCAACCTTTAATGAAGTTGCCTCAACTTCATTAAAGGCTACTGTAACACTGTAACACTGTACTGGCTGTTAAGAGTCAACCATCGGATGTGCAAAGAATCAAGGGACATTTGTAGATCACAGTCATGCAGCATGCAAACCTCGGCTAAGGCAACCTTGACCTGATTTTAAAAAAAGAGTATGACTGATCCTTCATAGAAGTGTATGTGGCATTACTAAACATCCAGTATGAAATAAAAAGAACAGGAATAAAATGTGTTCTACAGAAACAAGGTTTGGCACTGACCTCCAGGTACACAGCCCAGGGCATTACCAGCGAGGCCACCAGCAGGTCAGCCACAGCCAGGCTGACCACCAGGTAGTTTGTGGTTGTTTGGAGAGAGCGCTCCCTCAGCACCGCCAGACACACCAGCACATTTCCAAACACGATGGCCAGGATGAGCAGCGAGTACAGCATGGCGTAGTAGTTACGCTCATCCTGCCCGGAAGTCTCCAAACTCTCGTTCCTGTCTTCCCATCCGAGGTGGTCTGATTCGTTCCAGAGCTGCTCTGTGCTGCTAAACATCGCCATGGAGGCGTCCCACTGACATGGGGGGTGGGATGTTTGTCAGTCCTAGAAAAAAATACAGTTTTGTTATTAACCATCCATAATGATTACTCCTTTTATTTGTGATTCACATGCAAACACAGATATTACATTTGCCACATCCTCTTTCTCAGATGACTTAATATATATTAACAATCAGAGAATGATGGTAGGATAATTTCAGGCCTGCTGGGAAACTTCACCTGATTAGAAATGCACTCCAGCATTATTCTTTGCTGTACATCGCTTATGTTTATTGTGCAGGACTTGCTGTGCACAAGTGCTTTCTTTTCCCTGCTGAGTGAGGAATGTAAGCACATATTGATGCCTCCTTGAGGTGCAGCTCTCTGGCTCAACATTCAACTCAGTAAAGACTCAGCAGAAATTCATGCTCACAAATGCAAACTTCATCTGCTCAGTAATGCATTTATGATTGCTCCAGTCTCCCTTTCAGATTTCTTCCTGCCCTTTCTCTAACTGACTTCTAAGACATAACGAACAGAAGCAGAATCAAGAAAAAAAGAGAGATGCTAAGTTTAATGAGGGGCTGGCAATGTGCCGCTGAGCAGTCAGTGAGGTTAGATCATGAGGGAGGAGTAATAAGTCTGTGCTGAGAGGTCCGGTTGGCTGTAGTCCCAGACCCACATCTATAGCCTCCATCCTTCCTCTCATTATTCCCGATCCTCCCGCTCTGGCTCCAGTCCAGATAACAGTGATGATGCTCACACCTGTGCAGAGATGTTATAAGCAACCCCCCCCCCCCCCCCACACACACACACACACACACACACACACACACACACATACACACACACACATACACACACACCACCTCTCTTCACCCGCTTCTTTCTGTGACAGAAATAGGAAAATAGGAAAAAAAGAGTCTAAGAGGCATTTTTAGACCTGGCTTAAACCCAGGAGCCTTTTAAAGATCTGCTCCCTCTATAATTCCTCTTCAGTTCCTCCTTGATGGCTCCAGCATCACATGATCCTCCTCAAGAGAATCTGAAGAAGCAAAGCAACACCGGGTACTAACACCAATCACCTTGAAATCTCCTGATGAGAATGCAGGTTTGAGTTTGTCCAAAGTAATGTGTGAGAGATTGGACACAAAGACGACAAATTAAAAAAAAAAACACACACACATCTATGCACACACAGATTCCTATACTCACATGAGTTACTCATCCTAGGGCACTGGTTATGTGATACAAGGCTGCAAAGTGCTCCAGTGCATAATCTGCTTTCACTTGTAGATCAAGTGCTAATTGAGAGGGATTTCCATCTTGTTCTGTGAGCCTCCCCTCCCTAATAAACAACACCTCAGCGTGAGCGTGTAGGAACTAGAACAAGTGTTTGTGAGAGAGACATTATTAGGCACATAAATGCATGCGCACACTCTGATATAAAGCAATACATACTGCATGCTCTTTAATGAAGGGCAGAGATGTTACTTTATGCAACTGCCAATGACAGCTCGGTTATCTGCAGATTGATGGTAAATTCGCTGTATGTTGATCGGCTTTGTCGTTGGAAAGTACACCAAAAGCAACTTTTTTTTGTTATAGCTGCAAAGGAATCTTAAGTGAGTCAAACCTTGATCATAACATTCAATCAAACCCTGTGATAGCGCACCTTATCGCGCTTCACAATCACGTCTCGAGATAAATTGGGGTCATATTATAGTCCATTAACTCTTAAAGGTGAGCCGCAACAATTAACTCATATCATAACCTGCCCCGAGCCTATGAAAAATGAGTAATTTCGTAAATAAAGCAGCAGAAAGGAATTAAATTCACGCGTAAAAACTGGACAAAAGCACAGTAAAACTACATCTCCACAGGGAGTTGTTATGTTTCCTCTTCTTATTAAAAAAATTGTACATACCTGTTACTGTGTCCCAGTTTAGAATACATCAGATGCCAAATCCAGGAAAAGCATCATCCTTTGCAAAGAGAAAAGTTATCCGGTCATCGCGTCCAGCGCAGTAAGAGGAGCAGGGGAGCGCTCGGTGCCATTGCGCACAGGCAAATGTGACAGCATGAAGCTCTCACAGCCTCAGTAGTGACCTAGTCGCTCCATTTCCCTCTCAAAGCTCTCCAGCTCTGTGGATGTCCGTGAAACTACGCGTTGAGCTGTTTTTTCCCCCTCTTTTTTAACGCTTTGATTTTGCCTGCCCATAAGCAGAGGGCGTGCGTGCGTAGAGAGAAGACGTCAGGTGTTCCACTTCTTCATTGATAAAGATAACTCAGTAATGTCACCAGTGCATTTCATTTCACACGTAGAACACATTCAGTCTCCAGTTGAAATAATGCCACGATCTACTATATAGGCTCGGGTTGTGTTACATTTCTGTCCCAGGGCTGTATTCCTCCGCATGACCCTGAACCTTGTCTGGGTCGTGTTTTGCTGCAAGTGACATTCGCATAAAAATAGTCCATTGTTGGCCTCATAAAGCAAACAAATGAGATGACCAGTAAGTCCTTCACAGTGTAATTTAGGTCACTCTGAGTCTGTGCATGAAAAAAAATGCATAGGTTGACACACTCTTGCCCCTTTGGGTCCCCTTATCTCCCTCTCACACCAAAGAAAAGTAGTGCCGAGATAAAGTAGAGCTCCTACAGGCATTATGCTTTGTTTGGTTGTCTTCTGTGTGTTTTTTGAGATAAGATTAATAAGTCCCACAGAAGACGCCCTCACCAAACAAATGAGCTCAAACTAATGAAAAGTCCACCCAGGGAAGGTGTGTGTTACTTTCTCTGTGAAGCAACTTCAACTTGAAGAGGGTCCAATTTCATTAAAAAGTTGGAGGAGATTCAGTAGACATTCTGTAGGAATTATGCATTTGGATGTCTTTTTAATAGCCCAGTCTGTTGGGATGAAAAAAGATCACACAGCTCATGTTTCCAGATATTTTTATACTTAAATGACCACACGCTCACAAAGCGTCAGTGTTGCTTCTATTACAAAGCCTCCCTTAAAGTGCAGCTTCAAAAAAAGCAACAAGCAGCAGGAGGTGGATGTGACCGCGGGATGCAGCTGATAAACAACCCAACCTCTTCATTTTTCACTTCAAACCTGCAGCCAGTTTGTGTTTTAACTTGTGTTCAAGTGTCCAAATGTCCTTGATGCTCATTGGGAATTTGACTCATCCTTCTTCAACATGGCAGATTTAAAAAAAAAAAAAAATCTAAACCTTCTGTGCAGAGCAGAGCTGAATGAGAATGAGGATCTGAACACTCACTGCAGCTGAAGCAAATCCATACATTCGAAACTTGAAAATTGATGGAGAGTGACATCCATGACAAACGCCGAATTAGACTTTAGATGATATAACCGTGGACATGTAGTGCTGTCTCCACTTATTCACAGCATGTTCAATAAATTCAGATTTTCTTGACAGTCCCTTTATGCCCATCATGTATCATCCACACAATCTATCTCAGTCCCTCCCACATGAATGTCAGCTACTGAAAGTGTTGAATCCTTGCTATACAGACTGAAGTTGCACTAAGGTGGTGATATATGACATGGAGTTGAACATGTGCAAAATGTAAGGGTGATTTAAACAGAAGCTCCTCCAAACTGCACTCTCATGGTCACTGCAGAGAATCATCTATGACGTATATAAACCCACAGAGAACCCTCCCATTCAGTCCTTCAATGCAGGCCTCTCACACACAGACTGCAGGTGTTTGTGTGTGAGAGGCCTTTTGCAAATATAGCTGTAATAAGTTGGGATGGGATGGAGAATGAAGAAGAAGTGGGATTTGCTTTCCCCTCTGAATGACGGTTTGGGGGTTGCGTGGACCATGTGCGCATTTGGCTCCTGACAGCTGCCCACAGAGCTGTTACTCACTGAATCCATACCTGTCTAGACCGATAGCGGCGTGAAGGTCAGGCCTGAGAGAGCACTGCTACAATAATGATAAAGGACAGTTGTGAGAAGAAAGTGGAAATCAACATTTTTCAGAGGTGGTTGAAAGTTTGCTGCCATCTACTGGCATAGAGGTAAAACTGCTTATACATGAAAGGCACAAGCTGTCCCAAATGCAGACCATGAATTCCGATGAAGCAGGCGTTCAGTCTTAATGTTTGAGTATTTCTTGCCATATGAAAATAAAAAATGATATGAACTCCAAGTATTTCGTGTGCATACAAAACAACAGTTGAACTTTGATGCTACAGATGATCGACACAAATGGGTTTCTTGCTGCTGTTGCAAATTAAAGAAGGAAACCGGGTGCAAAAGGATAATAATCTTGATAAAACTTTTTTAAAAAGACTATTTTCACTTTTAAATGTGCCTGAAACCTCACAGCAGAGGTGCTCCTTTTTCTCCTAAGTGAGTAAATTACCTTTTTTCTTCTTTCTAAAAGCTTAAAGTATTTTTATTTTTATCACAGAGGAGAGAAAAATTAGTAAACACTTGCACTAAAAAAAGCTGAAATGAGAGGACACTAGGCTGGTCGATTAATGCACTGTTTCAGCACATTCTTTAGGATACAGTTACCACCAAGCATGAAACTGGAACTGCAACCATGATCCCGTTTTAATCAAGTTGAGTCTGTGCAAAGTGCAAAGATGGAAAAATGTAGAGCAAAATGCATGTAAGCTCAAATAAAGCAGGGAGCATGCCTCTGCATTCTTGGTTTGAGTGAAAAAAGAGTATTCAGGGGCTGAAAGCAAACTTAGAGTGGTTAGAAAACAACTCCATCATTACCAGGGATGACAAAAATAAGTTTCTAACCTCCTAAAACATAACCAGCCTGTTTGCAGAGTGTAACTGGGGTTCCTTTTATAACATATGTTTCTGGCATATCCTTGCAAATGAATTCTAGCAGTGCTGTGTTGGCAGTGATCCCTGAATATTTTATACTTGCTAAATATTCACTTGGTTATGCCTAACTGGATTTCAGCTCAGCCTGGAGGCACTTTTCACTGGAGGATAAACAAGCAGACAAAAAGTAAAAAGTTTATGAAAATGAAGAAAGAAAAGTGCAGAGGAAAATTAGGGCTGCTGCTTCGGTTTTATTAAACAAACTGTTGGTGATTTGGGCTCAATTACCTCTTGAAAGTAATTTCTTCTCTGATTATGTTTGATCATTTCTAAAGATGCAAATTTTTATGAGGTTTTTTTTTTTTTTTTAAGAATTAAAATAGGAAGATGGGGTTCTGTTTTTACTTGGTCTGCCTTATTTACAGAAGCTATGGATCTTAAGTGGACACCCTGTCAAATTGATGGAGTCAATTCTGGCTTGTGGCTCTTTGCCAAATGTCATCCTTCACTCTCGCTTTTCCCAGCTTCCCTCTCAATCAATGGTCCCACCCTCTCCATAAAGAAATAAAGCCTCATAACTCACCAAGAGCAAAAATGTAACATAAACAGTACAAATTCTTACAACCCTCAAAACAAACCTCAACAAAAACTGTAAACTGCTTATAAAACTGTGTACTCTATAGGCACAAACTGCATGTCTACAAAGGCTCAAGATCAGTTATTTCATATTAAACAGTTTCCTAAAAATCACAAGTATAAACAGAAATGTAATGGCAGAAACATCTGAGGGAAACAGCACATATGAATACGACTTAAACTGTGACATATGAGCTCTTTCTCATTCATGGCCTGGAATTCTTTTACAACTGTTTGTCTTTTCTTTTCATTTTACCGTAGTTGATTATTTCCCTTCTTGTTCTGCCCACTCACTGAACCCTCCTTTACGATGTCTCACCCTGAGAAAAGACGCACAGAGAAAAGCTTAGTCTCCTTAAACTTCCTAATCTTACCAGGCATTCAGCAAACTTAAGTGGCATCGGTACATTGAACTCTGGTTGGAGCACTGAGACTGTTCAATATGCAATAACAAATAGAGTGTAGCTATTACAGGACAAATTCAGCAGAGCAATTACTCATCCTGCTGTGTACGCAGGAGGCGCAGAACCTGATGGATGTTTGCTGTATGAGTATATCCACTCTTATTTAACTCATAAACCCCTGCTGTCGGGCAATATTCAGTGCTGTGTTGCTCCTGTTACCACGACTGCAATAAAACACCAAGTTGTTATCACCTTTCTTAGGAACTGCCACTTTAAATGTCTGCAGAAAAGTCCCTGGAGATAACTTCAGAGACCCCTACAGGTTGCTCAATGATTTACACAAATTATATATCGGTACAAATTGCATTGACAATCACTAACCCTACTTTCCACATGTTTATTTTAATACTAACAAGGGATGTTGACAGAATCAGGTATCAAACAGTTGAATGCGTGCGTAGAGAAGACGGCTGGACAGCATGGTCTTTAGCTGTGAGTAGGTCAGCTGAGAAACATGATTGTGAAAACGTGTCATGAGGTAAAAAACTCACAGAAGGCACCTTTAAATTTTGACTCATTCCTGTAATCTCATCATCTATTATTCCTAAGTAACCAGTGTTGTCATTCAGCTTGTAGCGCTGCTCAGTGATGCTATTTCTCTTAGAATAAACCACAGTGATCACCTAACACAGCTAACCTTTTCACTGATCATTGTTGTCCACTTGAAACAAACGTGTGGGTCAACACAATGCTTCAGTTTCAAACAATCACTCTAGAAACACTGCATACACATTTTTCAGTCCATTCACAGTGTGTCAGTGCTGTGAGCCGTGGTGAAAGAAATACGTTATAGCCTACTCCAGTAGCCAAGGTTCTATATCTTTAGCCTACTGTTTTCAGCTGTAAAGTGGTCCCAATATCACTACGGGATTTAGAAAACAAGAAAAAAGATAGGCTACAACAAACTATAACTTTTCCCCCTGTCAAAACTTGCCATTCCTGTCACTTTGCCAACCCAACAAACTCTCAACTCTGAAGCCAACTATCTCGACAAACTTCATCTGAAGTTCTCTCAGGCCTGTTTATCACATAATTTAGGAGAACATCTTACTGACTCTTATTCAGTCTTTGGCAGTAGCTTAGACAGGATGTTGTTGGGAACTGTTCATTGAATTTGAACATCTTTTTAACTAACTAAAGTCTGACTTTTTGGATTGAAAAATCAATTTCATTTTTGGCAGCCTAACATTAGCTGAAAGTCTCAGTGGATTTGAGCTGCTGTAATCAGTAAGTACTGTAATTCAACAAAAACTGGTGTCAACTCAATGTGAGGGCCCCAGTTTATTTAGGCCTGTTTGCAACTGTGCAGCTGAGGTTATTGGAAAATGATGTAAATAATGAAGTATTTTATTGTTAACCATTTAATTGGATGGATTAGATGAAAAGTAATAGTGCTGATAAAGGTTTTACAGGATTGTGAAGTCTGGTTGAATTATCTAGAAGATAAATATCAGTATAAAACAATAACTTTTACTTGCTGTCAGATCAAAAGTCAGACTATGAATATTACTTCATAGTCCATTGTAATGTATAAAATTGTCATTTAAAATAATTTTACCAAAACCAAAAATATTGGCCTCATGATTGTGTGAGTGCACAGTAAAACTCATCTAAACTTGTCCTTATCCTGTAGCTCTTATGTTCGTCCAGCAGATGTCCTCATTTGGATTCTTCTTTTTTATGCCTCTTCATCGTGTTTGGGTCAAAGTCCTGTGCTGTGAGTCATTATTCACTGTTTCAATGCAACAAATGTGAGATTTCACACATTTTTCGGGGGTAATGGAAAACCTGGGAAATTAAGGTGGTATTGTGTGCTTTCCAAAAAAGATGAGCATTAATTTCTGAAGAAAAAATGTATGGAGGCCAGTTTTGGACACAATCTGGTTGAGAATTCATCTTTGATCTCAAAAATTTGAAGATTTAAAAGACTTTCCAGAGAGTTACCACCCAGATTTTCCTCAAATTCAGCTACAGACTTGCTGATGATATAAGTCAACATACTTGGTGTTATATTAAATCATGTAAGAAGTACATGCTAAGTGGTTGTGTCTCTTTTTAATCTCTCTCCCTTGTGCCAAGTACAACGGGGCATTTCATGTCAAAGAAAATTAAACATGGTGACTAAATTTAGAGGGGGAGCTGGGATCTAACCTGAGTTCAATGATAAATTGACGAACTGCATCATGACCTTGTGTTGCACATAATGCTGTCAAACAAATGGGCTTCAAACAGGCCAAGTATGTATGTAGGCCAATAAGTATTCATTCGCTCACACAGTCACACCTTGGTGGTGGCAAAACTACCTGAGTAGTCACAGCTACCTGGGGCAGACTGACGGAAACATGGCTGCCAGTTAGCGTCCTACAGCCTCTTTGACCACCACCATACAACTCTCACAATCATACACACACTGGGAGCAAGGTGGGTTAAGTGTCTTGCCCAAGGATACAACGGACAGACTCAGGATAGGGGGGAATCAAACCGCCACCCTTCCGGTTATTGGACAACCGCTCTACCTCCTGAGCTACTGCAGCCCCTATTCATGATATATTTGTCAGATTCCTGAGTTTTTTATTAGTATAAGTCTGTCATAGTTTGACAGCTTTTCTTCACACTGATAATCAGCCTCATGTTTCCCCTCCAGTACAGTGGGTGTGATGGGTGGAGGTACGTCTGACTTACATGATGTGCTTTTGTTTTAGTAAGAATGAGAATGAATGAGCATAGCCCGATATTAAACATTTACTAAATATTAAAATGATAAAAAAAAAAATCAATCATGGGGTATGGTGGTGATCATGGTAACCTATTGTTTGTTGTCTGAGCTTGACTAGTACACACACAGCAGAAATTACAACAGAGTGGACACAAGAAAGACAAAGAAAAGCTTATACAGCTGTTTGGTTCGTGGGTGACTCATATATGAACCACAAATTCCCCCAAACTCAAAACCCACAAGTACCTCCCACAGCCCAACCTGTCTGTTTTGGTGGATGTTGGATACTGTAGTCAGCGGTCTATCTAAACACAACCGCGCCTCGGACTGACCCACATTCTCAGTAACACGAGGGGGAACAGAAATAAATTAAAATGCATCTTTTGGGTTTTGACAGAAACAACTTTTAAAAAACTACTTTAAAATACAATATTATTTAAAATTTCAAACATATTTGATATTTATGGACTATTTTGTTTATTTTTTTTCCCCGCTTTGTGACATTGCTTGAAACCGCACCCATACCTTTACAGAGATGGTACAGTCCGATGACGCTTCCAAAACTGGGGTCATATGATTTCCTGTCTCAACTTAAACGTCTCACTGAAACCGTCTGCATCTGTTTTGTAGTTGTTCTCGCTGAACTTCCCCATCGAAAAACTCTCAAGATGCAGACGATGTGTGGAGGAGCCTCAGAGGTCCGTGATGCCGACGAAAAAATTCACAAGATTTGTGAAGAGGTAAGTAAATAACGTGTAAGTAAATAAGAGAGTCTTTCTAATGCTGCTTTCATCTCTGCAAACAGATCCCTCAAGAATCAGAGTCACTTTGTTTCTGCTCTCTGTTATCCAGATAAAGGCTCACGCAGAAGAAAAAGCAGGGAAAAAATACGAGATTTTCGTAGCCAAGTCCTACTCAAGTCAGGTCGTGGCTGGGATGAACTACTTCATAAAGGTAAGTTGTATAGTCTAAGCGAAGAGCACAATAGGGAAGGGAATGGATGCTATAGATGGATATCCCGTAAGATTGCACTAAAACCAAGAGATGTATTTAATATAATTCAATTCATCATTTTCATCATCCAACAGTGGATCACGTGACTTTAAAATAGCGAGCCTCTGTGTTTTTCCCATAGACTGTATATAAGTGTTTGGATAAGTGATAAGTAAAATATACGATAAGTAGTTACGATAAGTAAAAACTCTTTACCTTATAAAAAATAGGTAAAAGAAGTAAAAACCTGTGAGGGGAATTAAGAAAAAAGACTAAGAATAATAGTATAGGAATAGTATAGTATAAGAATAATAGTAGTTCTGGGTTAAGTTGATCCAGTGGCTCAACTGAGCAAGTAAATTAGTCTGATGAGAGGATCAGAGTTTCAGTTCAGATTGTTGAAATGTGTTACTATTTCTTTTCAAAAATACAGCTGTGAATGTTCTGAATCACTTAAAGACATTCTCATGTTAAAATGTGTTTTTTACAAAACAGCTTTTTAGCAGTTATCAGCAATAATAAAAACATAAAATAAATAAAAATACACGTGAATGTGAAGAGGTGACTGTTATTTAGGGAGAGAGAAGATGAGGGAGGGCTAAGGGGGACATTGGAGGGGATAGTAGAGATACGGCTCAGCTTACCCCCCCCTCCCATGGTCAACTTATCCCATGTATGGGGTAAGTTGACCACAGGAGACCACTTTCTTTTGGCATGCTATATTATCAAAACAGTTATGTTTACACTCATTCTGTTGGTTTACAGGGATGCAAAACATCTTGAAATATGCAGATACACGAGTTAGAGACAAAACTATGATTGCCTTGATGTAGTGATCCGAAATATGAAAAATGGCTCATCTTACCCCACTCTCCCCTGACCAAGTTTCACAGTTTTCTGTTCACCTACATGGAAGATGAGTGTCTGCTTCTTTTCATCAATGAGTTGATTTGAAAAAAATCTGTGAATGGGCTCCATTGAAGACCTTCTAAGGCTTTACTCTTCATTTCTTTGCAGGTCCATGTGGGAGGAGATGAACATGTCCACCTCTGCGTTTATAAAAAACTCGCTTGCAACGGAGGAGGACTTGAACTGACAAAGATGCAGGAATCCAAGACTGCGCACGACCCTATTGGTTACTTTTAAAGGGACCCCAAATTTAAGAGAGCACTACTGTCAACAGGCTGCAGTCTCATTTTAAACAGATGGAACCTAATTGTCAGGGCTGCTCATGTAAAACATCGCTCTGAGCTGTACTCCATACTTTTTCCATAATGTAGATCATCATATTTAGAGCATGTAATAATGGGAATATTTTGTACAAGAAAAATGAATAAATACTGCAGACTTTTTGTCATTGTTTGGTGTTTCTTTTCTATTCTAATAATTTTCACAATGCATCAGATCTCATATTGCGCTTTATCAGAGACCCTCAAAGCACTTTACATTGGATACAGCATTCATTCGCTCACACAGTCACACCTTGGTGGAGGTAAAACTACCTACAGTGGATATAAAAAGTCTACACACCCCTGTTCAACTGATGTAAGAAAATAGCAGCAAGATGAATATTTTCACAACTTTTTCCACCTTTAATGTGACCTATAACCTGTACAACACAATTGAAAAACAAACTGAAGGGGAAAAATAAAAAATACTTTCAGATTTCAGATTTCTGTTTGCAAAATTAAGCTGGGCTTTGATGTTTTTCTTTGTAAGATAAGGCTTCCGTCTTGCCACCCTACCCCATAGCCCAGACATATGAAGACAGTGGGAGATTGTTGTCACATGTATTACACAGCCAGTACTTGCCAGAAATTCCTGCAGCTCCTTCAGTGTTGCTGTTGGCCTCTTGGTAGCCTCCCTGACCAGTTTCCTTCTTGTCTTATCATCAGCTTTGGACGGACGTCCTGTTCTTGGTAATGTCACTGTTGTGCCATATTTTCACCACTTGATGATGACGGTCTTTACTGTGCTCCATGGTATATTTAATTCCTTGGAAATTCTTTTGTAGCCCTCACCTGAGTGATATCTTTGAATAATGAGATCCCGCTGATGCTTTGGAAGCTCTCTGTGGACCATGGCTTGTGCTGGAAGATGTGGTTACAAAATGTCAGGAAGAACTGCTAGAACAGCAGAACTTTATTTTGGGTTGATCAGAGGCACTTAAATTGGTGACAGGTGTGTGCTGACTCCAATTTAACCTGAGTTTGAAAGTTATTGGTTAAATCTGAACACAGCCACATCCCCAGTTATTAAAGGGTGTGCACACTTATGCAAACACATGATCTCAGTTGTTTATTTTTACTTCACCTCCCTGAAAGATTTCTGTTTGTTTTTCAATTGTGTTGTACAGGTTATAGGTCACATTAAAGGTGAAAGGATTTGTGAAAATCATTTATCTTGATTTAATTTTTTTACACGAAAAAAACCTGGCAGTTGAACAGGGGTGTGTAGTTTTTTATATCCACTATAAGAAGTCACAGCTGCCCTGTTGCAGACTGACGGAAACCTGGCTTCCAGTTTGTGTTCTACGGCCTCTTTGACCATCACCACACAACACTCACAATCATACACCAGTGGAGGACACACACTGGGAGCAAGGTGGGTTAAGTGTCTTGCCCAAGGACACAACGGACAGACTCAGGATAGGGGGGAATCAAACCGCCAACCTTCTGGTTATTGGATGACTGCTCTACCTCCTGAGCCCCTATTCATGATATTTTTGTCAGATTCCTGAGTTTTTTGTTAGTATAAGTCTTTTTATAAGTTTGACAGCTTTTCTTCACACTGATCATCAGCTTCATGGTACCCCTCCAGTACAGTGAGTGTGATTGGTGGTGGTATGTCTGACTTACATGATGTGCTTTTGTCCGAACTGACAGGTAGATGAATTGTATAAACTGTATTATACACGAACATGGGTGTGCTGCATGGCTAAGTGACCCTGCAAAAACAGAGCAAAACTCAACATGCCAAAGATTCAGCTCAAAGTTCATCTTTTGTACACTAAGGCATGCCTGACACATGATGTATATGCTGGATTCTTGGTGTTTCTAAGGATCAGCAACCATGAATCACAAACGTTGCGCAACATTTTTACTTTCAAGGCAGACAAAACCCCAAACCCTGGAAATGTTTCTACATTACATTTGAATATGCTAAGATTGGTGTTTACAGTAGTGTCTCTAAAGCTTTTGTGATGTTTTTTTTAGCCCACTCTAAGATGAAAAACAAATAGAAATAAGAAAATGTAGATAACTATCGGTCAGAGTCTAGATTCAAACACTCCCTTGCTCACCCCGCCCATCAGTGAAACAACAGTAGCATTGGAGGACGAGTGTGAGCCTCTACCTGTCAAGTATTACCAAAGAAAACATAAATCAATACAAATTATTTTGCAAACAATGAAAATCACCCTCTTCTTCATCATCTGGCAAACAGTGCACTTCGCCCAGCCACTCCGAAAAAAGTTGTGACTGGTTTGTCCATTCTGTGCTACTGTAGAAATATGGCGCTCCAGTTTGTCTTGAACCTTTAGCTTTTGTGTGAGGACAAAGAAAACAAAATACTCATTATTTGATCGGACATTTGGGAGACACTTGGACTTGGGCTTTGGGACTCCATCTCTTTATTGAAATGTGGACCAGAATTGCTTCTAAAGACCTTAAAACCACGACCACAGAGCAGCTGTCAGGAGCCACATGTCAGACACGTCCCATTTTCATCTTGTGATCACTGTTCCTCTTTTAAAGAACATTCATTGTTTTGTCACTGTTAAAAAATGAGATGACACATTGATGCTTGACATTTTGACCCTGCTGGAGCCTCCAAAGCTGATTTTAGAGTCTCTTACAGTATATTGTACTGCCTGTAAATGTGTTGCAGTATCTCTACAATCTAGCTCCAAAAAGTGAGCATGCTGTCTGAAATTAAATGCTACCTGAACTGAAAATAAAAACTCATACTGGTTTAGTGTTGCAGCCTGTTCCTATGCTTTTCTGATTTCTACACTTTGAACCCTGACTTATTGATCAGCATGACACAACTTTTTAACTCAAAGTGGACAAAAAAGCAACTTTAATTTCTAATACTGAAATATTTTGAGAACAAAACTTCCACCCTGTCTTGAGTTTGATATGTGAAAGTTGCAGGAATACTACAGAGATTCAGAGTTATGTGTTTGGCCCATGTCACACAAGTTTTTTTGTGTCTACTTCCCTCTAGTGCTCAAAAGAGAAACTACATAAGTCTGCTGGTGCTTGTGCTCCTTGATTGACAAAATATTTCTTTTATATTGCCTGTAGTTATGACTCATTATGTTGTTTTTCCCCATAACCTCAAATGTAATAATGATGTTTGGGGTCTTTATATCATTTCATTTTCTCAGCTTTGCTTGTGCTTATACTGTCCAAGATTGCGGCTCATGTCATAATAACTTTTTTTCTGTTCATTTGTTTTTCTTTTTTCCCCCCATGAAAATATCCTAAACAAAACGTAAAAATACTGGCTTACAGGGGGTTTAAGTTCTCAAAATCAATCATTCGTAACTTAAAATTGAACAGGACCTCAGTTGGTAAAAGTATCTGATGGTGTGAAAAAGGGAAATAGTATCATTCGTGTTACAATTTAATGGCACTTTTCTACAGAGGAAATTGGGGTCAAAATTGGAGGAATAAGTTTGTATCAGAAATTAAATAACCTGATGAGGTCTCTTAATTAGTTTTGTGTTTTTATGTAGTCAAAGCCAAAGAGTGTCGACTTCCACCAAATGGCCAATGCAGACCTGGTGAACCTTGATAAATGATGAAAATGTTGGTTAAAATGGAATTTTCTTGAATTTTCTTGAATCTCAGATTGGTTTTACCTGTTGAGTGACTGTGCTCATGAATTTTCCTGTTGTAACTTCTATCGCTCCATCATGCCTGGATCATATTTCACATTCCTAAAACTTTATGATTGAGCTTGAGGCTGAATTGGACTGTTTCACCTTATGAACACTTTCATCTCACTCTTAAACTTGATAATCTGGTTAGGTGATGTTTAGGTTGTGGTGTTCACAACTAGATGTGATATCCTAGCTATAAGAGTAGAGAGAATTGCACAGGCTACAAAATGCAGTGCAAAGTTCTCCTTTTTGCTTTTACCCATAATCTCCCTGCTCTCAAAGGCCTGCACCTCTTTTCTTGACAGATACAGTTTCTTATTTCTACTTTAATGACAGTCCTGTGAGTCTTAACAATCGCAAATTTGGGCTGTTGTGTTGACAAAATATTATCTAAAAGGGAAAATTCTTGAGGTAAATCGGGTCCTCTATCTGTCCATACTGTATAAATCTCTCATTACAAGTAATAATCTTTGATATCAGTGTAGTCTTAAGAATAATACTTTACAATAGACGGAACTAAATCCATTGGCATGATGTGTGGATCAAAAGAAAATCTGAATCAGAAATCATTATACTTATTGTACTGTTCCCTCATAGTTCCCTACATGACATACTGTGTGGAAGTGTGGGGAAACACATATAAAACAAATGTTAATCCAGTTTTTAACCTACAGAAAAGAGCCATACGAATAATCAAGAGCAGAATACTGTGAGCCTACTAACACCTTATTTATAAATTTATATGCGCTGAAATTCTGGGACATAGTTAATCTTCAAACTGTACTTGTCCTATACAAAGCACACAACAATCTCCTTCCATCCTGTCTTCAGAGGCTATTTGAAATCAAAGAAAACAAATGTGAATTTAGAAACAAAGGTATGTTCAAACCAAATTGGGCTAGAACCAATAGAAAAAAAAAACATTGTTTAACTGTTAAAGGGGTAAGTTTGTGGCAATGCTGTGATCAGGACTTAAGGATGTGCAGTACATTATATTGATTCAAAAAAATGTTTAAAAATAAGGCGATTAAAAAATACAGAGAGATACTATAAACTATCCTTATTTACAGGTGTATCGATATGTTTGGATGTATTACTATATTTTATGATTATATCGCATACTATCTTATTTTATTTTATTTTGATTATTTATTTTATTGACTTATACGTATATGTAGATAGGTAGGTATGTGTATGTATGTGCATATGTATGTATGCTGGTGTATGTATGTACACATGTGTATGTACTGTATGTTGTGTAATTCAAAACCAGATCTACTTATTTTGTTTTATTATCTTTTTTTGCTTCTCTTTTGTACAGATTTATTCTGTTTATGTTTGTTTTTGCTTTTCTTGTTTGTTATCTTTGAAAGTATTTTCTTTACGTTCGGCATAAAAGTGAAGAAAGGGCAGGCACAATAAGCCATGGGCTTCAGCCTACACCTTTTTTTGGTCCAATGATTTAAACGAAATGAAATGAAAAGTGTAATTATAATATATATATATTTTTTGGGGGGACCAAAAATAAACTGAACTGAACTGAACTGAACTGAACTGAACTGAACTGAACTGAACTTTGGCAAGCGTATCATGGCAGTTGTGGTTACGTTGTTTTGTAGCTCTGCCCACATTTTTTTGTGTCAGAGTCGACACTCCTGTTTTTATTCAGGATCCAACGCCAACCTGCAAACACACACTTAGGATACTTCAAATCAGACAGCTGACTCTGAAGCTCATTCATCAGACTTGGTGACCATGGAATTTGGAATGTGTGGCGGTTTTTCTGACCTCAAGGAACCCGATGAGAAAATCCGGAACATTTGTGTTCAGGTGAGTTTAAACCTAATTTAAAAGAAAAAACAATGCCTTCCTGGTTTGCATTTACATCAAACTTAATCTTATTCACACAGATGAAGCCTGAGGTGGAGAAAAAGACAGGGAAGAATTTTAAGGTCTTTGGTGTGCTTCAGTACAGGTCTCAGACTGTGAACAGATACAACTATCTCATTAAGGTGAAAAAAAAAATCTTTCTTTTTTTGAAGAGAAAAGAAACATAAAAATAGAGATATATGTGGACTAATGGAATATATTTTGTAATCAATGAGACTGTTTAATACCTTCTCTGTAGATTGATATAGGAGAAGAAGATCAGTGCCTTCATTTTATAGTTTTGGAAGACCGCACAGGAAAATACACACTGAAGGGGGTGATGGAGGCCAAAATGGATGATCCCCTTGAACCTTGATGTGAACACAGCCTGATCGAGCTGCTCCATGCTGCATCCTCATCACTACAGGTTCTGCTTCTTTATCCTGAAATGATCAGACACAAAATATTCTTTTACAGTCATGGTGAAAATTTTCAATTTACCATAAAAAAGGAATAATAAAGAATGTTAAGAAAATATGATTCATTGAGTGTCTTTTTTTCATTTTCAACAACACGTGTGTAGTCAGATTTTATACAGGCCAATGGAGAAGTTGGTCTTTGGTAAAATTGGTCCAAACAAAAACATTTATACAGAAGTGAATGAGCTTACATGGTTAAGATTCTCTCTCATGTTAGTTGTGTGAGGACATAAAATTAAAATCTAAGAGACCTACAACACCTTCATTTGGGTTGTCACACGAAATAAATTAAAACTATGAAAACTCTGCTATTGTATTATGAGTTTAGTCTAAGGAATGCCAGAAGATAAAAGCTCAAGGACCCTCCTAGTTATTACACGTCCCAGTTTCATCTTGTGATCGCTGTTCCTCTTTTAAAGAACATTCATTGTTTTGTCACTGTTAAAAAATGACGTGACACATTGATGCTTGACATTTTGACCCTGCTGGAGCCTCCAGAGCTGATTTTAGAGTCTCTTACAGTATATTGTACTGCCTGTAAAAGTGTTGCAGTATCTCTACAGTCTAGCTCCAAAAAGTGAGCATGCTGTCTGAAATTAAATGCTCCCTGAACTGAAAATAAAAACTCATACTGGTTTAGTGTTGCAGCCTGTTCCTATGCTTTTCTGATTTCTACACTTTGAACCCTGACTTATTGATCAGCATGACACAACTTTTTAACTCAAAGTGGACAAAAAACAACAACTTGAATTTCTAATATTGAAATATTTTGAGAATAAAACTTCCACCCTGTCTTGAGTTTGATATGTGAAAGTTGAGGGAATACTACAGAGATTCAGAGTTTTGTGTTTGGCCCATGTCACACAAGTTTTTTTGTGTCTACTTCCCTCTAGTGCTCAAAAGAGAAACTACATAAGTCTGCTGGTGCTTGTGCTCCTTGATTGTCAAAACATTTCTTTTTCATTGCCTGTAGTTTTGACTCATGTAGTTTTTCCCCATAACCTGAAATGTAATATTGATGTTTGGGGTTTTTATATCATTTCATTTTCTCAGCTTTGCTTGTGCTTATACTGTCCAAGATTGTGGCTCATGTCATAATAACTTTTTTCTGTTCATTTGTTTTTCTTTAGGAGGGAACAAATGGCATGCAAACAGTAAAGTTGTCTGTTTATGAGAATTATTTCTATAAGAATTAAGATCTTAGTCCTTTAAGTTTAATCACTTTTTAATGCAAATTTAAACTTCCTTCTTTTTACAGCTTTAATATGTATTGTTGACAAAAAGTAAAAATCCTTTTTTACAGCGTAGCCATAGAGCTCAATAAATACAGCTGATTTGATAAGAAAATTAATGTGAAATTATTTTGATGAATCTAAAAGATTTCTTTAAGCAACAGGAAACTTCTTTTTATTACAATCCCAGTAAAATTATGGTCATTAAGTGGTACATAAGGGGTTATCATTCTAAAATGAACCTTTTGAAATCATAAATAGAGCTGACATTAGAGCTAATAATCGACTCAGTAGTGGTGAAATTTAAATTAAAAAAAACAAAACTTAATGGCATCCTCTGATATGTCAGATTTTGGAATTTAAAGTGCTCAGAGTGACTTTTTGAAACACACAATTGCACCAACATTAATTTCTGCAGATAATCTTTAATGTGTCCCAGACAATGACAAGCCAAATGAAAGATTTTTATTTCCAGCATTTTGTATTTGTAAAAAGAGATTTGTGTTTTTTCCCCTATGAAAATATCTGAAACAAAACATACTTCTCATTCTGGCTTACATGGGGGTTTGAGTTCTCAAAATCAAGCATTTGTAATTTATTACTGAACAGGGCCTCAGTTGTATCTAAAGGTGTGAAAGCAGGAAATAGTATCATCAATGTTACAATTTAATGGCACTTTTCTGCAGAAGAAAATGGGGTCAAACTTGGAGGACTAAGTTTGTATCAGAAATTAAATAACCTACTGGGGCCTCTAAATTAGTTTAGTGTTTTTATGAAGTCAAAGCCAAAGAGTGTCGACTTCCACCAAATGGCCAATGCAGACCTGGTGAACCTTGATAAATGATGAAAATGTTGGTTTAAGTGGAATTTTCTTTAAGTTTCTTGAATCTTGGATTGGTTTTATCTGTTGAGTGACTGTGCTCATTAATTTTCCTGTTGTAACTTCTATCACTCCATCATGCCTGGATCATTTTACACATTCCTTTGTTTTTATCCTTGAGCCTGAGGCTGAATTGGACTGTTTCACCTTATGAACACTTTCATCTCACTCTTAAACTTGATAATCTGGTTAGGTGATGTGTGAGTTGACTGACTCCAAAAATAGGTTGCCGTCAATTTTACTGAAGAGCAGCCAGCAAGTTTTCTTCAACCAGGAGTTTATATAGGCCAGAACTTTCTCACACACTTGTTTTAATAAGCTTGTGACTCATGATTGCAAACCACTTGGCAGTCTCCAAACCACTTTGGATGTGTCCTTCATCAGTAATGAATTCACACTTGGGTGCTCACCCAGTCTGTGCTGGAGAAGGTGAAAGGGAACTATGTGTGATGCTAACCTGCAAACACACACTTGAGACAGATCAAACTAGAGAGGCAACTCTGCTGCTCATTCAACTCATGAGAAAAAAGCTCATTGGGTCCTGGTGTGTACTGGTGTACCAGGACTTCTTACCACCTAGAACCCTCTCTTGTTTTTCCACGTTACAATTTCTCTTGGTGACATAAAATCACCATCACCACTCACTACTGTGGGTGGTGGTCCATTGTTAATAATGAATTGACATCCTGCACAGTCACAAGTCATTCTGCTTGCCTTTCATCCATCCTCAAATGGAGATCTTGATTTTGATAAAAAGGGCTGAAGAAGGCAAGATAATATATGAGAATCAAACGTCTTGGTGACTCCTCTGTGGAGTTTAAGTCAAGTGGATATCATGCCCTCACAGAAGTTGAGTCCCATATTGGCAGCAACTCTAGACCAGTCTGAACAGACCTCTGCTGTTACGGTTGGGGAAGTTGATATGAGAAATTCATTTTAATTTTGATTGGCTGATAATCAAGAGGTGACGTTGAGGAGCATGGCAGTGCTCCAGAAGCTGGACTGTTTTCAACTAAGAGCTCTTTGAACACTGGGTATACCAAAAATGTTAAGCACAGAAAATGCTTCACTGCTTTGATTTTGTATTGAAAAAAGGTGCTGCCATTACAAAAAAACACTGTGGGTGGACACAGGCCCTAAGTTTGCATGATCTTATTTGGAGACCTCCTGTGACTCTCTTGGTTTAGGTTTTAGACAGCACCGCCTCTGATTGTCAGGAGGAATGAAATCAAACCAGCTGTTAAGGGTGTACCTGCCAAATGAATCTATGAGTCCCTGATGTTGTGACCTCAACATGTGTTTTGGAGGGAATCACGGCAAAGCAGAAGAAAACATTTTATTTCCTCAGTATCCCAGCATGCTTTGTGGTGTTCACAACTACATGTGATATCCTTGCTATAAGAGTAGAGGAGGATATGGCACAGGCTACAAAATGCAGTGCAAGGTGCTCCTTCTTGTTTTTACCTATAATCTCAGTTGCATTTGAGGGTATTTTTCTCTTCTCCCTGCTCTCGAAGGCCTGCACCTCTTTTCTAGACAGATACAGTTTCTTATTTCTACTTTAATAAGAGTCCTGTGAGTCTTAACAATCACACATTTGGGCTGTTGTTTTGACAAAATATTATCTAAAAGGGAAAATTTGTAATGTTAATCAGGTGCTCTAATTGTCGATACAAGTAATAATCTTTGATATATCTTTAGTCTTATAAATAATACTTTACAAATAGACAGAATATATTTAAGCTGGTTTGAGGTCAAAAAAGGTGATAAAATCTTTTTATATAGGGCATGAAGTTATAGGAAAAACAGGCAAGGTTTGAACTTTGGCAAGAGTATCATGGCAGTTGTGATTACGTTGTTTTGTAGCTCTGCCCACATTTTTTTGTGTCAGAGTCGACACTCCTGTTTGTATTGAGGATCTATATAAATAAGTGTGATGCCAACCTGCAAACACACACTTAGGACACTTCATATCAGACAGTTGACTCTGAAGCTCATTCATCAGACTTGGTGACCATGAAACAAATGTGTGGCGGTTTCTCTGGCCTCAAGAAACCCGATGAGGAAATCCAGAACATTTGTGTTCAGGTGAGTTTTAGCCTTATTATTATTATTATTATTTTTTAAATGCCTTCCTGGTTTGCATTTACATCAAACTTAATCTTATTCACACAGATGAAGCCTGAAGTGGAGAAGCAGACAGGGCAGAATTTTAAGGTCTTTGATGCGCTGGAGTACAGGACTCAGGTTGTGCAGGGGACCAACTATCTCATTAAGGTGAAAAAAAAAAGTTTGTTTTTGTTATATAGAAAAGAAAAGAAACAAAAAATTAGAAATGTATGTGGACTGAATGAATATATATTTTGTAATCAATCTGACTCTGTTTAATACCTTCTCTGCAGGTTAATATAGGAGAAGATCAGTGCCTTCATCTGTTGGTTTATAAAGACTTCTCAGGAAAATACACACTGACGAAGGTAAAGGAGGCTAAAATGGATGATCCCCTTTGAACCTTGATGTGAACACAGCCTGATCGAGCTGCTCCATGCTGCAGCCTCATCACTACAGGTTTTGCTTCTTAATCCTGAAATGATCAGACACGAATTATTCCTTTAAAAAAGTTTCAATCAATCATAAAACAGGAATAATAAAGAATGTTAAGAAAATAAGATCTATTGTGTGTCTTTATTTCATGCTTTACAACATTTGTGTGGTCAGATTTCATAGAGGGTATGTCAGAAGTTAGTCTTTGGTAAAATTGGTCCAAACAGATGAAGAGAGAAATACTTCTCACATCTGTTTACCAAAAACATTTTACAGAAGTGAATGAGCTTACATGGTTAAAATTCTCTCTCATGTTTGTTGTGTGACGACATAAGATTAAAATCTGGATTGGTGGCGCTACAAGATAAGTCTGGAAATCACCTACAGACACTGTCATCTTTGAGAAATGAGAACAGACTTACAGTATCTATGAGGTGATTTAAGCAGTCTGATACACATGAATGAAACACTCACCTCCTCAGAAGACTAAGATGAGCAGATCAAGTTAAAGAAACATTTGACCAACACTGGGACTGAACAACAAGGACTCAGAGATATACTGGTAAGGGAGACACGCAGGAGGACCCTGAGGGATTTGGGGGGCTCTAAAAAAGCTCATTAGGTCCCAGTGTGTACTAGTGTACCAGGACTTCTTACCAGCTAGAACCCTCTCTCTTGTTTCTCCATGTTACAGTCTCTCTTGTTTCAATATTTAAAAAAAGCTTTTTTAAATAATATTTTTACTCACAAAAATCAAAGCAAGTCAATGCTCAGCTTTTCTAAAGATAGCAGAAATACTGCGAAAGGTCATGTGTACAACAAGGGCACATACATTTTTAAAGATTAAATAAATGCAAATAAAAAAGATCTATGGAGAAATTCAATTAAAAACAAACGTTATATACAGACTTATTCAACTGTGAAATTCAAAGCAAAGCAAACACACAGACAAAAGTATATACACTGCCAAATCCCTGCAACAAATTGGATCCTGTTTTTGTCAGCATTTTACACAACATCCTAACTTCATTGGAATGTGGTTTCGGCATTGCCCATGGGGGACTGGGCAACACACTGGTACCCTATCACACACCTTTCATAACAGAACTTGTCTAGTTTTCCTGAAAGTGATGCCACAGTGACACAAACTTGTAGGTCTCTGCATTGTTGGATTATCAAGAAAAACCTGAGTAAAATCAATACCATACCAAAGGCAGTCTGGCTCCAAACAGGAAACATAAGGTTACAAATCAATGCAAAACTGGAACTGTACCAAGCAGGAAATAACGAGTGCTGGTATTTACTTTGTTCACCTATGTGTGCATTGTTCAGCTAGTATCAGTTAAACATAAGTATCTAATTTCTACAGTATGTTTAAGGTATAAGAAGTATCCCAGCATGCTTTGTGGTGTTCACAACTAGATGTGATATCCTAGCCATATGACGAGAAGAGGATATGGCACAGACTACAAAATGCAGTGCAAAGTGCTCCTTCTTGCTTTGACCTATAATCTCAGTTGCATTTGTGAGTATTTTTCTCTTTCCCCTGCTTTCAAAGGCCTGCACCTCACACAGTTCACACAGTCTTACTGAAATGTACTATGAAGTATGTGTTTGTGTTCTTGACCTTGAGATGTGTATCTACTGTAGCAAACCTGTCCAACAGACCAAAGAGAGCCTGTAGCTCATCAGCTTCCTCCTAATTAAGCTAGACGCCACACTGTTCTGATTAAACGAAAACAACCTGTGAGTTAAATAAAAACATTCAGTAAGTTGCATTAGTTTAGTGAAAAAGTACAAATCTAACCTTAGCATATAAAAGTCAATTATAAAAATGTCTTATTTCTACTGTAATGACAGTCCTGTGAGTCTTAACAATCGCAAATCTGGGCTGTTGTGTTGACAAAATATTATCTAAAAGGGAAAATTTGTAAGGTAAATCAGGTCCTCTAATTGTCCATAATGTAATAAATTTCTCACAACAAATAATAATCTTTGATATCACTGCAGCCTTAAGAATAACACTTTACAAATAGACAGAATATATTTCAGCTGGTTTGAGGTCAAAAAAGGTGATAAAATCTTTTTATACAGGGCATGAAGTTAAAAACAGGCAAGGTTTGAAGTTTGGCAAGAGTATCATGATGGTTGTGGTTACGTTGTTTTGTAGCTCTGCCCACATTTTTTTGTGTCAGAGTCGACACTCCTGTTTGTATTGAGGATCTATATAAATAAGTGTGATGCCAACCTGCAAACACACACTTCAGACACTTCAAATCAGACAGTTGACTCTGCAGCTCATTCATCAGACTTGGTGACCATGGCACCAAAAATGTTACCAGTCTCTTTCACTGACCCCAGGAAACCCGATGAGGAAATCCGGAACATTTGTGTTCAGGTGAGTTTAAGCCTAATTTTTAAAAAATGTCCTTCCTGGTTTGCATTTACATCAATCTTTATTTTATTCACACAGATGAAGCCTGAGGCGGAGAAAAAGACAGGGAAGGATTATAAGGTCTTTCATGCGCTGGAGTACAGGTCTCAGGTTGTGGAGGGAGTCAACTATCTCATTAAGGTGAAAAAAATGATCTTTCTTTTTTTGAAGAGAAAAGAAACATAAAAATAGAGCTATATGTGGACTGATGGAATATATTTTGTAATCAATGTGACTCTGTATAACACTGTCTCTGCAGGTTGATATAGGAGAAAAGGATCACTGCCTTCATCTGTTGGTTTACCAAGATCTCTCAGGAAAAAACACACTGACGGGGGTGAAGGAGGCCAAAATGGATGATCCCCTTGAACCTTTTAATGTGAACACAGCCTGATTCAGCTGCTCCATGCTGCAGCCTCATCACTACAGGCTCTGCTTCTTTATCCTGAAATGATCAGACACAAATTATTCCTTTACAGTCATGGTGAAAATTTTCAATCTATCATAAAAAAGGAATAATAAAGAATATCATAAAAATATGATTCATTGAGTGTCTTTTTTTTTCATGTTCAACAACATGTGTGTAGTCAGATTTTATATAGGCCATGTGAGAAATTAGTCTTTGGTAAAATTAGTCCAAACAGACGAATATATATATACAGAAGTGAATGAGCTTACATGGTTAAGATTCTCTCTCATGTTAGTTGTGTGAAGACATAAGATTAAAATCTAAGAGACCTACGGTGACCATGGAAGAATCTGGACATTGTAAGGGCTGTTACTCTGACCCCGAGAAACCCACCGAGGAAATCCAGATCATTTGTGTTCAGGTGAGTTTTACTTAAAAAAATAACTCACATGAGGACTCACTGGAAATCTGCAGTTGTGCAGAATACGCTGACACCAGCCTCAGTTCACTCTGAGTTTTTTTTTTAATCAACTTTACCCTATTGATGCTCTAAAGGCTGCAGTCATTCCTATCTTTATTTACCACACTTTTCCCTTCAACTCAACTTTCCATTGATCTTCTTCAGTACAGCTGAGACAAGACAGATTTTTCAGAAATCACCTTCCACAGTTTACTATGATTGTGTCCTTAAAGACTCCCGGATTAGCAGTCCTGCCCATGACTGAGGTAGAACGTTCCTAGATTAAGAAATACAGCCTATTTATTCTGTTTGAACTGTGAATTACTGAAACTCTAAATCAAGTATGCTGATTTGGTTGAGATCGTCGAGAAAATTAAAACAGGAAATACTTTGAACTTTACAGGCTCCTTGTAAGAGTTTCCTTAAACATGGTAGTTGTTGAAAAACTATTTTTTGATGAGTGCCATAAAATACACTCACCGGCCACTTTATTAGGTACACCTGTCCAACTGCTCATTAACACTTAATTTCTAATCAGCCAATCACATGGCGGCAACTTAGTGCATTTAGACATGTAGACATGGTCAAGACAATCTCCTGCAGTTCAAACCGAGCATCAGTATGGGGAAGAAAGGTGATTTGAGTGACTTTGAACGTGGCATGGTTGTTGGTGCCAGAAGGGCTGGTCTGAGTATTTCAGAAACTGCTGATCTACTGGGATTTTCACGCACAACCATGTCTAGGGTTTACAGAGAATGGTCCGAAAAAGAAAAAATATCCAGTGAGCGGCAGTTCTGTGGGCGGAAATGCCTTGTTGATGCCAGAGGTCAGAGGAGAATGGCCAGACTGGTTCGAGCTGATAGAAAGGCAACAGTGACTCAAATAACCACCCGTTACAACCAAGGTAGGCAGAAGAGCATCTCTGAACGCACAGTACGTCGAACTTTGAGGCAGATGGGCTACAGCAGCAGAAGACCACGCCGGGTGCCACTCCTTTCAGCTAAGAACAGGAAACTGAGGCTACAATTTGCACAAGCTCATCGAAATTGGACAATAGAAGATTGGAAAAACGTTGCCTGGTCTGATGAGTCTCGATTTCTGCTGCGACATTCGGATGGTAGGGTCAGAATTTGGCGTCAACAACATGAAAGCATGGATCCATCCTGCCTTGTATCAACGGTTCAGGCTGGTGGTGGTGGTGTCATGGTGTGGGGAATATTTTCTTGGCACTCTTTGGGCCCCTTGGTACCAATTGAGCATCGTTGCAACGCCACAGCCTACCTGAGTATTGTTGCTGACCATGTCCATCCCTTTATGACCACAATGTACCCAACTTCTGATGGCTACTTTCAGCAGGATAATGCGCCATGTCATAAAGCTGGAATCATCTCAGACTGGTTTCTTGAACATGACAATGAGTTCACTGTACTCAAATGGCCTCCACAGTCACCAGATCTCAATCCAATAGAGCATCTTTGGGATGTGGTGGAACGGGAGATTTGCATCATGGATGTGCAGCCGACAAATCTGCGGCAACTGTGTGATGCCATCATGTCAATATGGACCAAGCTCTCTGAGGAATGCTTCCAGCACCTTGTTGAATCTATGCCACGAAGAATTGAGGCAGTTCTGAAGGCAAAAGGGGGTCCAACCCGTTACTAGCATGGTGTACCTAATAAAGTGGCCGGTGAGTGTAGTTTTCCCTGAAAGACTCAAATCATAAATGACTGAAATCACACAAGCTGTTACACTTGAAAACATTTCATTGTCTTTTTAAAAAACTCTGTTTGTACAATGTATTTCATCAAAGAAGCACGAGGATGACTGTTTTACAGCGATGTCAATGCAACACAATAATTACAATGGAATACAGGTGATGTGGAGAAGAGGTCAGAGGTGTCTGGGTGGTGATCAGCCTGAGGTCAGGACCCAGCCAATCACAGTTTCATCTCCAGTCTGAGTTTGAACCTTGGGTGACGCAGCTCCTCTGGTCAGTTAGAGCTTCACTTCACTTCACTTTTGGGGGTGTGTAGTGGATTCTGCATCTTTCACTGAAAACCTAAAACACAGGGAGCAAACATGTAGGTGTGATGAAAGGACATGATGAGTGAATAACAAGTTATCCCAAGAGAGCTTACCTTCAGACTTCTGTCATTGACAACCTCTTCAACATTCAGCTCAGACTGCATCAGCTTTAGCTGGAGACAAAGAGGGCGAGGCATTACTTAGGGTGTGCTTTTCACTTCAGAGGAAATGACTTAAATTTTATGTACAATGTGTTCCAATGACTCTCCTTACATGGTCTGTCAACCTGCATTTAAATGCAAAGAACATCTATTCTTCCTTTTTTTGTTACAATACTCTAAGGTATTATGTAAACCTGTTACCCATGCCTTGGTGGGAACTTCTGTTGTTCTTCTTACATAACGTGAAAAAACAGAATTTAATTCTGTGGACTTAATGTATGGAAAATTTTACTACAAAGCATCACCCCACTGATTGACTACTATTTTGTGTTTGGGGGAGGAGGGGGTTCTTAATGAAAGCAGCAGGAGCAAAAGTATTCAGACTTTTAGTCCCTACTATATGTCTTACTTACTTCTATGTCTTATTTGGTGTAAAATTAATTTAGGGTCAAACACACAGTAACACCGAGTTAGACACCCCGTCAAGAGATTTTCTGCAAGCAACTTCATTGTATCCCTACTTAGACTTTAAAGCCCAAATCTTTCAAACTCCACAAAAATAGTTATTTTTTTACTTTCATTGAAAAATTCAGTTTTTGAGTTTATGTGCTCAATTCTAAAAACTCTTATGACATCTCCACATTTTTTTTATCAGCTGAGCTTTTCATAGAGACAAAAAGGACAAAAAATTAACTGCATGAGTTGTGATCGCCATGACTCTCCCAAAAAACTAAACCTAGAGAGTGAGATCGATGAAGTGGTATTCTAAAATAAGTATCTGGATGTGAGTCTTTTAGACAGCAAAATCTGGTTTCCGTAGCGCTAACTGGGGCTGAGTTGCTCTAACCCAGTGGTTCTCAAGTCCTGTCCTCGAGGCCCATTGTCCTGCATGTTTTTAGATGTTTCCCTGCTCCAACACACCTGATTCAAATGATCAGCTCGTTATCAAGCTCTGTAATGGTTTAATAACGAGCTAATCATTTGAATCAGGTGTGTTGGAGCAGGGAAACATCCAAAAACATGCAGGACAGTGGGCCTCGAGGACTGGACTTGAGAACGACTGATCTAACAAATATATATCATTCAGCTGCAGATGGACAGTCCATGCAGACTGCTTGGGTTTGTAACATCTCACTAACTTTGGTCTGCTCCTTCCTCAGCTCTTTGATGAGTGCCAGGTTTTCATTGTCTTTCGCTCTCTCTTCACGTAGTTGTCCAACCACTACAGATGTTTGGGCTATACAGGACTTGATTGCTTTGTCCCGGCTCAGATGGGCCTCCATCATCTATAAAGCAAATTAGGTTACTGCAGAAGAAATACTTAACATGGTTAACCAAAACCTTTCATAGCAGTCGTGACTGTGACACTCACAGATTCATAGAGTTGTTTGCATGTTTGTGTGGCATCCACTTTGCCTGAGAAAGAAACTGTGGGCACTGTGGTGTTGAGGGCATGGACGATTCGGTCATCTATGGTGCGCATTGCTTTCAGCACCTCCTGGAAAAACAAACACGCGTGAAAAGAGGAACTTTAGTCCAAGTAGAAGAACATTTTTAAAGTTTTATTCACATCAAGAGTTGTGAACCCTGATCTAAGTTCACTATAACAACTCAAACAAGAGATGCATCATGTCCTAAATTTTACTAGTAGACTCGTGACACTCATTTTAAACCCATGTACTGTTTAGTTGCACTCCCCCTGATCCAGTTTGCCTCCTTGAACCCTTGCTGAGTGCACAGTGTGAGCACTCTGAGCAGGAGAGTCACTCATTCGCAGGTGTAAATTCACAATAACCGAGACAACACGAGAAATGCCGAACTGTTCCGACCCGGAGCGCAGCCATAAAACGAACAGTTTGCACAAATCGATTAATCCGTCGTACTGATTACCTGAAACATTGAAAAGTCCTCACAGTTTAGAGTTCCACCGGGCGCCGCCATAGTGGACTGCGGGGTCCTGGGCAGATACAACGCGAGATGACGGTTAAAGAAAGTGCCTGAGTGAAAAACACCTCAGACTTACGAAACATCAACGGGAAATTTGATATATATTAAATATTATGATCTTTTTGGTTGCTCATAGATCCAGTACAATATTTAATGAAACCATACTTTAATACTTTGGCTAAATCAATTCAGGACAATTACGCAACGTTTACTTTGGTATCTTTTGCTTTACTTGAACCCGAAGCCCTGTTTATGATGCACAACCACAACCATCTCCCGCTAACTCTTAAAAAGCCTCCATCACTGAAGGTAAATCGTAATCGGGTCATTCTGGTGAAGGAAAAAGTAGACACAGTGCTATATTTTTGATCAGGCAAAAGTCAGAGGCTCCTATCTTTTTCCTTGGGGTCCTTTGAGGCAGTCAGTGGCTAAAGCGCAGTGAAGTGACTTTGGACAGCTGATGGTGGACTGGACACTCTGACGCTCTTTAATGGCTTCATAGACCCGCTGCTATATACTAACCAACAACAGAAACATGAATTTTATCAGATCTCGCCTCTCCATCGGCAACTTGATGGGTTCGTATGGTTAAATTTCTTGAATCAGCGCGTTTCTCTGGAAAAAAAAACTGTCATACTCGTGTTAATTCACAACTTAATGATCATGTCAGTAACTTTCGCAGCTGTAATGATAAACTTCCACTTTTAAGTACTTTTATTTACCAATCAGAATTGACTTCTATACCAGGTGCATGCCTCTGAGTTAAGCGTGTTGATAGAGTAGAAACAGTTAGTTCCTGTGTTGTTAAATGTTGTATTATGTAATCGGATGTTTTTGGGCATGTTTAGTCATCTAACTTTATATTGTCAATAAAACCTTTTGGCGTCGCATTCGTTTTGGTTTTATTGCCTCGCAGTATATTTACCTGTCACGCCCCTCTTCACATAAAAAAGGGGCACCATCATGGTTGGTCATTTTGGTTGTGATTGTGATTATTTTATCTTTACTATCAATTATAAGTTTGAGATTTTTAAGCATCTCCATTGTGGGAAGTTGCTGCCTTTCTAGACTGACATGATGGCAAATTGAATCAAAGGAAGTCTTGTTTTACATGTTATTATGATCTCAGACCAAATAGATGGCAAAGAAAACTTTGAGCTGATCAGCAAAACCCAATGAATGTAGTGTTTGGTGTTTTTAGCCATGGTTATGGTGCTTTGAAGGTTTGCCTTATGAAATACCCCAACAGGTCAGAGGTGCAGACTGGTAACTGAAACATGGAGCCAAAGGGGAATGTGCAATAAACCACAGGAGACCAAAGCAGGGCCTCCACCTGCAGCCCCGGCACAAGGTAAATGCCAGATCATATGTTGACATATTTTGTTTGTTTGTTTGTGTTTTCCATCATTACATATATGAACAGCAGCACAAACCAGGATTCAGTTCAATTTTTAATAATGTGTAGGCCAAGAGTTGCAAAAATGAATTGATTATTTGTTTTGTTTTGTTACATTTTAAGTGAGATGTGATGTCACTCACCTCAGACTTAGTTAGTTTAAGTCGGACTTACCAACAAGTCTCACGGTCACAAAATGCTGAGATTGACATGTTTAATCAACGTAGGATCCCTGAGTCTGAGGGCAAACTGTCAATTTGGATTGGCATGTCTGTCTAACATTAGCAGAGCTAGCACCACCAGTCTTTGTTCCTCCTTGCGAGTCTATGTCCACATGTCTGTGCTGGTTACACAAGGCAGAGATGTATTTTACCGCAAAACTTGAGATGACTGAAATGCTTCATAAAATTGATAGTTGAAATAAACTAAGTGTAAAATTCCCTCTAATATATAATCCAAACAGATCATTTCTGTTGTCCTGAAGTGTGTTTCAGAGAAAAAATAAACAGATTTTGGATAGTTCTCTTGTTATTGCCGTGGCAAGTGTGTGAAATTTTTCTTTAGTCCCACAGGGTGAGGAGACACAGGAAGTGGGGTCACAGTTTAAGGTGATGGGGCTATTGACTGGGGCTTGTGAAGCAAAACTTCTCTGCTTTCACTGCTCTTCACTTCTAAAGATGTGGATTATTTAACTTAAGCTTTGTTTGTTTGTTCTCTCATGCAGCTCCTCGTGCTGGTTTCAGACTCCCAGGCTACAAACCCTCTGAATTTGACAGGAAGATTCTGCTCTGGTCCGGGCGCTTTAAGTCAGCGGACCAGATACCAGAGCTTGTGTCGTAAGTAGCGTTTTCCTGTTTATACCAGACCCCACAGCACACTCCCATCTGATTGAGTGCTTGCATGATGTATTTAAGATACATCACAAGAACAGAGCAAGTAAGCTGGATGCTGCTGGAGGTAGCTGATGTTCAAAAATGGTCCTAGTTCAAACAGAGTCTGTGTGGCTGGAGGTAATTACTGTAGCCCCTCAAATCAGGGTGGAGATCTTACAGTGTCTGATCTGCTGCTGTGATTAATGTCTTAATTGTCATGTATGTAAACTGCAGACCTCCTTGCTACTGGATTCACCTGCATGCAGAAAAAGCATCATAATTAATGTTGACATAGGAGGCTGAGATAAGCCAGGATCTAGCAGATGTTTCCTTTTATTTGTCAACACTGATTTTTGTTGACACACCTATATATGCCACAGGTTTGAGATGATTGACGCCGCCAGGAACAAAATGCGAGTGAAGGTCTGCTATGTGATGATGGGTCTAACGATTGTAGCGTGTATGGTGATGGTTTTCCTGGGCAAACAGGTGAGTGACAACAGAAGACTGCTTTATGTTTGCATATTTTCCTTTAGATGTTGTTTGACTAAAGGTTAGCCACACTTGTTGAGCCTAAAGCCAACGTTTTCAGCATAAAGACATAAAAGGGAACCTGACTTAGAGAGAGGTTATGTTCAGAGGTTTTGGTTTATGAATCTTTTGCTGGTGTCCTTCCTGAGTAATAAAAGTTCTTAAGCTTGGGGTTTACATCTATCAACATGATGTTTCCACTGCTACTGTAGCACAAGCTTGTTGATCACATCACAGGCACCTACATCCATTTTGTTAGTGCTGCAGAAAATCTTACCTTCATCCTGTGCAAACTTTCATGTCTTGTTGTCATCATTTTGCTTCAGACAACTCCAAGAATTTCAAAGACACAGCGGTTTTCAAGGCAGTTTAGCCTTTGTACTTTCTTTTTGACCCTACAATTTAGTTTCAAATTGTGTTACAGTGTTGTGAAGGCACATTGGTTGTTTGTAAATGTCCACTAACAAAAGCAGTATATGTCAAAGTTGTTCTGTAGTAAATAGGATGTATTTTCATGCTGCATTTTGTTCATCTCAATGTAAATACAAGTATGATGATTCAACATGGGTTATTGTCAGAAGCTTATCAATGATTTGTCTCATATTTGTTGCAGGCTGCCAGCAGGCACGAGTCCCTGACAGGACAAAACATGGAGAAAAAAGCCAGGTGGAGGCAGGAAGTGCAGAGAGAAAAGGAGGCTGCTCTTGCTCTGTCTGAGAAGGCTCAATGAAGTGATGGAGGACAACTACTCAACTGTGTCATTTTCCCTACCAGTACAACCCATGGTGTCCCAGATCTTGGTGTATAGATCAAAACTTCAGAGCTCCTCACCCTTTTCCTGGAGAGTGACCAATAGATGTGAGAGCAGTTGATACATACGCTGTAAATTTTCAAACCTGGAGACTCATCTATAACTACAAGTTTGGATTATAGAAAGATTTTGGGGGCCTGAATTTAAGGTTTAAAGTTATTGAATGTATGGAGGCAGAAATTGGCACCAGTTCTGGAGGAAATGGCGTTTTAAGTTTTTGTTTGTCAGCTACATCATGTCATTAACAGAGTGGAGACCTAAACATGACGTACACTGGTGTTGTTATAAGCCTTTTAGGGTAGAAATCGATCCCGCACTGGTCAGTTTTTGCTTCTAGTAAACTTTTACCGTTCAAGCTGCCTCAGGTAGCCCTGTGTTTAAAATTAGCCTCAGAGGCAGTTACACCACAGCCCAAAAGGGTTTCAGATATCTCCTAAACTTTGAGAGCATCAACAAGGTGCACATCAGGTAATCTGTCCTGATAGTTTTGTGATTAAGTTGGCTTGTTCATGGTGGAAGTGGCATTGATTTTGTACATAGTGAGCATTAATGAAAGATCTAATAAAGCAATGCTTATTCCAAGTGTCCATCTGATTTAAACAGCTGAAATGTGTTCATTTATTATGCAGATTGAAAGCTGAAGGATTAAGATCAGTTACTTTTCATAAATGCTGAAAATACAGAAAGTGTTTTCCTCTTGTGATGAGCATGAAGAGTAGCATCTGGCAGAAATGTCGTAATACTGAATGTTATTTTCAAGCACACACACAAAAAAAATCACTCTTGTGAATATTTAGTGGTCTTTCCAGTCAGACTAGTTACCTGCAAGGTTGTGAGTCTGACAGAAAAGGTAATTAAATAGAAAGCCTCGGCTTCTTGGAACTTAACATCAGCCTTTTTAATTATTTCTGGATCAAAAAGAGGATTGATAGTGAAATGAAGCACAATTTTCCACCACTTCTTCCATCCTGTTCACTGTCATCATCAAAACAAATACTTACCAATAAGGTCCAGTCTGTAAACTAACTTCAATGAAACAGATTCATTGGTTCATGAAACGGCTTTTATGCAAATGGCATAACAGGGGACAGCTGCACAAACTCAGTACAACAAACAGTAATTAACATGTAGAGCTGGTCATCTCTTGCAGAGATTTTGACAAAATAAGCGATGTAAAGAGAACTTGGTAAACAAACATTCAGTTCTGCTAGCTAAGGTGATCACCAGTATTTTCAAGTTTATAATCTGGATTTCTGTTGAAATTATCTGGAAGGACTTCTGTTGAATATGGATTATGGCACCATCAGCAACATGACAGATGCTAACCCCAACAAAAAGAACATTGTTTTTTTTTTTTTGAAAAAGACCCAACTTTAGATCCTAAAGCTCGAATATGCGTGGATGACTTGGCATGTTCAAATTGGAAAATTCTACATGAAGAGAAGTTGTAAAGTTTTTTTGACTGCTCGCAGCTAAATTTCCGAAAGAGTCCATTTACCTAGTCACAATAAAGTTCTTCTAGCTTTGCTGAGGCAGAGTGATCATCGGATTGTTATTAGTGTGCCAACAGTTTCAGTCCACAAACTGTTTGAGTCCCTTTTGTAGGAGGGGTCAACTGAGAAGGTATCATTGTCATACCAGGAGGGAGCTGAGAATTCAGACCAACCTCTTCACGCTTCACTTCCTGAGGATGGAAGAGCGGCATTGTTGACCAATTAAATAGTTAAATGTAAAAACTACGGTTTATTCTCGAAGAGCAGGCGTCAGTCTTGAACTAAAGTGCTGCAAATGAAATGAAAAGTATGGAAAGATAATAAAAATTCCCACCCATCTGCTGCTGGACAGATTCCAGGGTTTAATAGTCTTGTTTAGTCTCGTCCAAGTCTGTCCATTTGTCTCAGTGCGAGGGAAGACTCCAATTCCCATGGTTCCATGGGGTTTTTAAATTCACATCACACCAGAGGCAGGAGGCAGTCTAAGCTCTTCTGGATGGAGCCTATGCAGGTGGAGAGTCCCGTTGCTGGATAAAGGAATGCATGATATGAAATCCAGGAGGGAACATGAGCAGCCTGGTTTTGCCACTAACAAGCTCCACCCCTCTGTAATACAGTCTTTTTTTTTCTAGTTTGTCCATTTGTGGTCACTTGTCCAATGGCTGGAGAGAGAAGGTGAGGGAATTCAACCTCCATTTTTGAGTCATTTAAGTGCCTTTTGTAGAGGTCAACTGAGTCCTTAGGGGTGGGACTCCCATGGTCAAAGGTGTTGTCAGCGCCTTGTGGTCAGTCCAGTGTTTAGGTAAGATCATTCTTCTATATGTGTGTATGTGTGTCTGCGTGTGTGGGCATGTGCTTAAGAGGGGGTCAAAATCATGTCCATGTTTGTCTGTCTTGCGTCATAAATGCTTCAATCAGACAAGCAGTGCAGTCTTACAAACTCCTGGTTAATCAGAGATAAGATCCTACAGGAACACGGAGCTGAAAAGGAAACCCATAAAGTAAAACTCGGGGTGGTGTTACAGAGAATTCGCTCGTAAGAGATGCTGGGGCCTTAGCAGGTAGGTGGAACTCAGGCGCAGAACAGAGCTGGGCTCAGCGCGCAACAGAATGATGAGCAAAACCTTCACAAACTGGCTGACAGGACTGCAGAACTTGACCCACGCCGGACGTACGTGCACACACGTGCTCCCGTGATGTTACACTTTTCATAATCATGATCATGATTAAATCAATCTCTCTGACGATGAGTAAGGGAAGGAAGGAGGAGGAGGGAGGGAGCCGAGGGTCTCCCGCGTTGTCGTGACCTTTGACAACGATAGTGGGCAGAGAGTGAGAGAAATGAGCAGAGGTGAGGATGAGGGTGGAGCCCAGAGAAAGGGAGGATTGTGTATTATAGCTGGAAGCCTTCCATCGGGGCCTCGCACTGCTGGAAGAGGAACTGCTGCTGCTGCAGGTCAACAGCCGGGGCCAGAGACGGGTCCTCATCCTCTGTGTTAAAGTAGCGCTCGATCAGGTCGAAGGCTTTCTGGTAAATCTCCTGGTTCTCGTGGCCCTGCAGGAACTCCAGCTTGTCCAAACCTGAAAGAGAGGACGGAGATGATTCAAAATAAATCTATATATCAAGCTATAAACAGTTAGAGTCTACAGTCTGTTTGCTGTTTTGAACATGAGTCAGTCAGGTGGGTAAATTAGGAACTGCTTAAATACCCTTTTTTTTATTTGTCTGTGTGTGTGTGTGTGTGTGTGTGTGTGTCCATTCACCATAGGCCTCCTCAATGAGTGCACAGTATGGGTTGATGCCTCCGCCCCTCTTGGCCTCCAGTTCTCCCAGTCGCAGGATGTTCTCAATGCCATTCAGAGCCACCTGAACTATCTTGGAGTCCATGAGTGTGAGCAGGTCACACAGAGGTTTTATACAACCCAGCTCCACGAGGTGCCTGCAAAGAAAATTACATTTATTTGGCTACAAACACAGATATTATCAACAACCTCACCTGCATGAACAGAAAAACAGTATAATCAGCTAGAGGACGACCGAGTTGTTTTGAGAGCCTTTTCTGCAATTCACCCGTTTCAGTCAGCTTAAAAACCCACATTTCGACTCATACATTCACCTAAAATCACTGCGGTCTTACCTGATCTGCTCTGCAGAGCCCCCTGAGGTGGCGTTGGTAATGGCCCAGGCCGCCTCCTTCCTTGTGCGAAACTCTGCTACCTGCAGGATAGTGATGAGAGGGGGCAGTAGACCTGCATCCATCACCATCTACAAAGAGAGAAAAAAAACAATTAGAAGGGGAAACCTTTTAGCTTTTTAAGAAAACACTTCTGTGGTTACCCATACAGTATGCACACCTGTATTTGTGCTCGGTTCCCTGCGGTGATGTTGGAGATGGTCCAGCAGGCCTCCTTCTTAATTGATTCCTTTGGGCTGCCCAATAGATGAAGAAGGGACTGCAGTGCTGAGCAGTTCAAAATCACCTGGACATGCAAACAATTTACACAGAATATTTGTCTCTTAGTATTCGATGACCTTTGCTGAAAATGTCAATTTTATATGTTCACTCATGCTTTCACCTGTGTCTGTAGATCATCTCCTGTGACTATGTTCCCAACAGCTCGCAGTGCTGGAGATACCACCTTATAATCAGCATGCCTACAAAAAGCACAACATAAGATTCAAGATTTTTTTATTTGTCATGTGGATGTTAAACAAGGTCAACAGTGCAATGACATGCCCTGGATGAGAGGACTGCTCGACTCAAAAGAAAACAGATAAAAACACACAATAAGTACTTTGAGGGAAACAATAAAATAAAGATGCAAAAAAATATTAAAGGCGAATAAAAGTACAAGAGAAATAGTAACAAAAGTACAATATTTACAAAGGTGCTGAGTGTGACTGTATGAAATGGAGGATAGGTCGGTGGGATAAAAAAGGTATGAACATGATATATAATGGTGTATGAATTGCTGTATTGCACATAATACTGTTAAGCTGCTAAAGCATTGTTTCTGTACTTGAATACTGATATGACCTAGAGGTAGGAAAAAAAAAAATCACTTCACATAAGTATTGCAATTTTTTGTTTAACAATTTTTAACCATTTTTTTTGTTCAAATTTAAGGAGAATTCTTAAAAACTGACTAACATGTGATGTGTCTTTTTTGGGGAAAAATGGTTCGTTGAATAGTCAGTAGACAATCATAATCATTCAACTGTTTCACTGGTGTTAAAATTGCAGACTGAAAATTGAGAAAATCGAAAATATCGTAGAATCACAATTTAAATCAAATCGGCATCCAAAAAACTGTAGAAGAATGGAATCAGGAGAAAAGCATATAAAAACATATTTTCTCTCCAGTCTAAGAAATGAATATATCTGATATATGCTTCACTGTGTTGGTAATTTAGCAGTGATTTTCTTGAGCTTTTTTTACACGACTTTCCTCACTTTTTCTGGTTATACATTCTTAAACCTTGAATTCTGTCTGGGAACTTTTTCAACACATCCAGATCTTGTTTTCAGCTCCAAATGTAACACTAACAAATGATAGCCGCAGGACTTTCTGTGGCTGACAACAAAAAGCTCTTCTCAAACCGCAGTTGTGTGATCTTTTAGAAAATCTTCATTATACAGTAAATATTTAAAGCCTTACATCAGTAGCTCCACCAGCCTGCGACAAACTCCTGAGTCAATAACAGCCTGGATTTTATCGTTGGGGCCATCAGATAGGTAGGAAAGTGCCCAGCATGCATCAGCCAGGATGTCTGTGTCATTGACAAACAGCAACCAAGACAGCACGCTAAGACACGGGGACACCTGGAGGGTAATTTAGAACACAGAGATACAGTTAGAACAAACTTGTTGGCTTAAAGTCACTTCAAGAATGATCTCTTTTAGATATAGTCAACTTCACTCAGCAACTTTTAACCCTGTTAAAGTGAGACATGATACACTTGAACAGTGTGAGAAGGCTGCTGTTGCTATAGCGATATGTTTATCTTGGCAAATTACCTTAGTGAAGTCTGGAGGTGGGTTCTTTCCTCTGCACAGGTTTGAGAGCGCCCACACTGCATTCCTCATCATCGTTAGGCGATTCTGTTTGGCCAACAACCTGCAGAAGAACAAGTACGTTACATCGAGGATGCAGGATCAGAGTTGCTCTTTATTTTTCAAATGTCATGAGATGATGTAGGAGTTAGACACCACAGCCAAGTGGTTACTTACTGCACCAGGGAAGGCAGGATGTTGCAGTCTATGACAAAGTCTCTGCATTCTGTGCTATCTCCTGCGATGTTCCCAAGGGCCCACACCGCCTTAGGAGCCAAACAGTGATTTAGGTCAGTCAGTGAGCAACCAAGATTTATTCAAGACTTGTTGCCAGGTTTACAAAATAAGTGGTTATTCAAATCAAATCTTATTTAAGAAAGGGGCTCAAGTGACTGTCTGGGACATGATGACCTGACAAAACTGTGGTTGGCTGAATTCCCTTTACCTGTTCTTGGACATCTTCAAAATCAGAGCTGAGCATCTCTATGAAAATGGGCACAGCTCCAGCCTGGATTACCACCCGGGTCTGATGGGATGTTCCTGATGCAATGTTGGTCAAAACCCATGCAGCCTCAAACTAAAAGAGGAATGTAAATACATTTGTTTAAGACATGTTTTGATCATTCAATTTCAACAGTTATGAATGGGTTTCACTTGTTTCACTTTCTAAATCATTGTTACAGCATCAAGCGGTCATGATAACAAAAGAAAAAACTGACAGAAAGAAAAGCAGCCTTAAGACAGCCTTGTTTAGTCAGCATCAGCACACCTGCTCTACAGCTGGGGGAAAACGTACCTGCAATGTGCAGTTTTCTCTTCTCTTCAGGAACTCAACAAAGCGCTCCACCACACCTGGAGTAGCAATGACTTCATCAATGGGTGGGTTGGGTTCTGTGTGAGACGGGATGAATAGACAAAAAAAATTAAAAATAAATAAATAAATAAATACAGAAACACCTTTAATAGCATTATGTTTACAAAAAACAAAACAAAAACAAAAAAAATCTAGTTCAGCTGAACGAGAAAATGCTTTTTCATACTGGAGGTGAGGATATATATATATTTTTTCCTATAAGAGAGAGAAACATAGATAACAGTCCATATAACAAAAATCTTGAATAGTATGAGCATAAAATCGAGGAAAATTGTGAAAAGTCAAGTGCACAGCCAGGCACCACCAAGGAAAAGTATCCTTAAGGAATAATAATAGTCATCCAGGCACCCTTACCTTTAGAGAGGAGTTTCCTAAAGCGCTGAGTGCCTATTAGCTGCTGCTCAGGAGAGCTGGAGAAGATCATCTGTGTCATATCCTCAGAAATAACCCCACCCTGTTCAGCACATAGATGGATTTTTTAAACATTTGACAGGTACATAGCATATTTCTTTTTATTAGTGTCACAGACTAGCTGGATAAATGTTTCCCTCCTCACCATAAGTGGGTCCATGTTGTTAGCCTGGGACTCCAGGTAGCCGCTATCAGCCATTCCATCTTCCTCAGGGAGGCCATCATCTTCCACTGTGGCAACATTCCTCCTCTTGAAAAGCTGCAACAGAAAAGGTTTTAAATGCAAGGATTTGGTCTTCTTATGATGACTCTCTCTTCAAGAAACTCTCAGTTAGTTCAAGTTTGACTATGGCCTGCAATCTGCCTTCAATTCGATGTCTATTTAGTCTAGATCAGTGGTTCTCAAGTCCAGTCCTCAAGGCCCCCTGTCCTGCATGTTTTGGAAGTTTCCCTGCTCCAACACACCTGATTCAAATGATTAGCTCGTTAATAAGCCATTACAGAGCTTGATAATGAGCTCATCATTTGAATCAGGTGTGTTGGAGCAGGGAAACTTCCAAAACATGCAGGACAGTGGGCCTCGAGGACTGGACTTGAGAACCACTGGTCTCGATAATGAGTATCAACAGAGACCTCTGTTATGCTGCTCACCTGTTCATCCTTCTTCTGTTTGCGGAGCTGTAGGCCTTCCTCTTCCCTTCGTCGTCTCATCTCATCTGTGTTGAGGGACTTGTTCTTGTAGCTCTTGAGTCGAGCATTGTCCTTACCCTGACTCATTGTGTAGCCTGAGGTGATACAGAAACAGCAAAGATACAGACCATGACCAGACTGTTGGATAACTGTTTACCTCCCCAGCCTGGATGACTGTGCTGATGGATGACAGAATCCCATTCTGGTGCATTACTGTGCGATTTATATGTCTTTACACTGAAGTGTATTGCTATTTCTGACAGGATTCACCTGTTTCACACAGAAAACCTCCAACTAAGGCAGCTTAAGATCAAAACTAACTTTTGGGAGCTGATTTAACTTAAACAGCAGCATTTAAATACAGTGTTACAGTCCAACAAACGGGGCATCTGAGGATACAAGTTAGCTAGTTAGCTTTGTGCCTCTTGACACTACGGGATTAATCAACAGCAACCCATGTTATCTCTTAAAATATTGTCGTGTTTGCGCCCCTCGATTGACAAAATATGAAATCATAACATAAAATCAAGTGAATTAAACAGGTCATCATTAGGGCTTAACTAATTCATCCAGGAGGCTAATGTCATATTCCGTCGTTAGCACTAACTGCTCCTGAAGCTAACACAGGTAGCCGAATAAGCTAACGACAGTCTTGAAACACAACGTTGACGTTCTCAATAATTTCGAAATACCGCCAACAAAATTGTTTAAGTTAAATTCTGAAATTCAAGCGTTACTTTATACGAATTCGTCGCAAATGAGTAATATATACTGACCTGTCAAATTGGGCTCTGTAATCCCCTTATTCGCTAGGCCACCGTTTGTACAGCCGTCGCCGGTATTGTAGTGCGCATGCGTGTTATTTGACGCACTCCCCACAACTTCCCCCGCACTCCACCCACGCGACGCTTCTGCTATGTAAATAGGTAAGCGCCCTAGCAAACGACAGACCACTGTGCACTTGCTGTAATGGTGTTGCGCAGTGAAGAACACACTTTAAACCTAATTCACTCTCTTTCGACGATATAACTCAATGTGGAATTTTAATTCAAGGCTGTATGCGATGTAAACAAGCAGAGCAAATTGTTTCAATAACAGCCAACACAGAGCAATGGATTAAAACATGTTTTAATCCATTGCTCTGAGCCAACATACAGGATTGTGGGGACGATCAAAAAGTCACCGTGTAAGGACAATTTAGAGAGAGCAGAGTTGGCACCTCCCAGTGCCTTGATAAGAAAAGCTCAGGCTACTCGTGAATTCGTGTTTTGTTTGAACTTATCACATTGAAACACTTTGAGTCTGACTGAGATGTTCTGGCGCCAGGGGGACGGTTCCTTGGTCAGATAAAGTGACACAAACGGCAGCGACGACAGAACGACCCATTAAGGATGATAACCATCACTGTCTCATATTTGAGTCTCATTCTTGGAATCATATTATCAAATAATCCTGACACAAATATGTATGTTTTAGAATTGAACATATGAGTCTTCAACAGGGGTGTCAAACTCAACAACAGCAAGGGCCATAATCTGGATTTAGGTCATGCCTGAGGGCAAAACGGGGTCAACATTTCTCCAAAACTGTCAACCTCCTTTTCAAAAAAATATGCAAAACTAAAAACAGCAACGATTATAAAACATTTGGAAATCCAAAAAAGATAAAAAGATTAGTGTAAAGGCAATCTGAGATAGAACAATGTATTTTATTTATTTTTTTATTCTATTTTTATTTAGTTAACAAATGAGAGCATGATATGAAAAATAGAAAAATAATGCTTTTAAAGAGCAAATACATGAGGAGAATGTTGGAATTGGGTATAAAAGGTCAAAAAAAATCTAAAATTTTAAAATGACACAAGTCTAAATACTGAGTTTAACTAAATCAAAGCATGAAATAAAAAATCCAATCATGCTTGACTTGTAATCTTGAAATGCAAAATTGAAAACATGAAATAAAACACCAAATATTTTTCCCCCCACATTCTTGACTATTTATCAAATCTTCCTTACTCTTTAATTTCCTAGATTTTTGTGGCTTGTTAAGGACATTTTAAATAATAGTGCTAAAGTTTACATTATTGTACTGGAGGAAATCTGCAGACTTCATACTGGTGGGCCAATAATAATACAAATATGATATGATCATGTGTGCCAGATATAATTGTTCCACAGGCCAGATTTGGTCCCCGGGCCTTGAGTTTGACACCTGTGGTCTACAACAAATTAAAGTAAAGAATCCATGGCAAATCCTAATGGCATGATCATCTGTTATGAGGTTATATCTGGAGAAAAACTGTTTATATAGGGGAGACCAGGGCTTGTTGTCACATTTTTTAAGACAATTGAGTTGTCTCACTATATGAGGTAAGATGTCACAGTAAATTTTGCAGCTAATATAACAAGAACAAAATTATTGTTGTTCCCTTTTTTTCATGCAAGTGAACATCAAAGTCAGGCACAGAAAATGTTTATCATTGAGCTAGAAAAAGTAATTGAACAAACGTTAACATAAAATATTATGCAATATACTCTGGAGTTTGGGGAGCAGCCTGACTCTGTATTTCAGTTAGGGTGAATGTTTTGCAGTACCGAGCTGAGGTGTGGCAGTTGACGTTAAAGTCCTTTATTGTACTCCAGACTGATTTATTATCTAGGGTCACCTGCCTGACGGCCCTCAGCATCATGTCAGGTACTGCACTGCCACGTTCTGTTTTTTCTGTAAAAATAAAGTCAAATTTTCAATTTGACAACTGCTGACAAGCAGACTCTTTATGTTAATTTGAATCTCTTTTAAACATGTGACAACTAAGCCCAAAATAACTGAGACATATTGTCCCAAACTACCATGTTTACTAAATTTATCCCTAGTTTAAAGTTAGTTTGACAGGATGCCTTAAGTCCTTTCACATGGGGAGCGTTTTTATCGTGCGATTATTTCAGACGTCAACATTTTTTTTCGAACCCGTATCCTGTCAATACAAGCGTTCACATCAGCGACGTTTTGCCGTTCTGCAATTTATTTATGTTTTCGGATCATGGTCGATTTTTGTAAAGTTTCGCATAATGTGTGTCCACTTCTGACCAATCAGATTGCATGTTGTTGCGACGTCAGATTCACTGGTATATCCAGCATGGCCGACCGGCTGATTGTTTACGTGTCGGAGAACAGAGCGCTTTTTGATAAAAGACACAAATATTACAAAGATAACAACCTGAAGGACAACTTGTGGAGAGTCATAGCGTCGGATTTCTCATATGACGATGTTTTGTGTGCTTTAACAGTTTGCTAAACGTCTTTGTTTTAACTTTTATCTGTGCTAACGTAATCTAACAGTTGTTAACATAGTTTCATGTGCTTATCTTATCGCTTCTGATTGGCTTTAAGTGCTGACCGTTTGGCTTGAGCGTGTGATGACGTTTCAAGCTTTTCTAGTCAATCAGAGGCAAAGGAGGCAGGACTTTGACCAGGAAAAGTCTTCCCCAGGAAAAGTCTTTTTTCCCCCCAGAAAGTTGCAAAATCGCATCGGGCTCGATGTGTATGGTCAGGCCCATCAAAATTTGCTTCAGAATATTTCGTAATTTCACGTTTTGTATTCCCGTTGGCCCCTGTGTGTAAGGACCTTTATCTCTCCTCTAACAAGTCCACATGTATCACTGCTAGGATTTTTATCTGGAAGATGCTTAATTTAAAATATATACAGTACAGGCCAAAAGTTTGGACACACTTTCTCATTCAATGTCTTTTCTTTTTTTTTATATGACTATTTACATTGTAGATTGTCACTGAAGGCATTAAAACTATGAATGAACACATGTAGAATTTTGTACTTATAAAAAAAGTGTGAAATAACCGAAAACATGTTTTATATTCTAGTTTCTTTAAAATAGCCACTCTTTGCTCTTGATGACAGAAGTACCTTGTCAGGGTTACTTCAGGCACTCCTGTGAAGTAAAAACCATTTCAGGTGACTACCTCATGAAGCTCATTGAGAGAACAGCTAAAGTTTGCAGCGCTATCAAAAAAGCAAAGGGTGGCTACTTTGAGAAATCTAAAATATAAAACATGTTTTCAGTTATTTCACACTTTTTTCTTAAGCACATGATTCCACATGTGTTCATTCATAGTTTTGAGAATCTACAATTTAAATAGTAATGAAAACAAAGAAAATGCATTGAATGAGAAGGTGTGTCCAAACTTTTGGCCTGTACTGAATAGTCTTTTTTTTTTAACTTTGGGTTGTGCAAAATGGTTAATTGGCTCTCATCTCAGCTCACAATGTGCTATTCTCTTCTCAGACATAACACGACCCCTGACCATGTAAAGGAATAAAATTAGTATTTCACTTTATAGTTGCGCCCTCTGGTGGCAAAGATAATTGCAATGTGACAACAAGCCCCGGTCTCCCTTATCATATAACCATGGGTAGGAATGAAAATAATACAGACGCATCAAGGTATGTCATTTAAGTTTTGCATTCTGTTGTGTGTGTAAAGGATGAAAGGTTGTCAAATTAAGGTGTGGGGCCTCTCCACATGTCTGAGTATTGCTGTCAAATTACAATGAGATAGCCGCTGAGGCGCAACAAAAACACAAGTGTCAGTCTGCGTGGATGAAAGGCAGAACCCCAAACCTTAGAAGGCCATCACTGGGCTCCAGACAGGTGGCAGCGATCAACCTGACCATAACATTGTTTCATTTTAGGACTCACAGCATCTCACATAAATATGAGTCGTCCCGTTAAAGGAGTAAAAACTCTCAAACCCATGACATTTTGCGTCTTCAAACATGAATACCTTCCAGAGGCAGATCCAGAGCTCCCTCTTTTCGGATGGGCACTGCTTCGATATGTGGCACGACTACATGGACCTGGCCAATCTCCTGAAGAAGCTGCGTGTCGGTGGAGAAATGGACCACAGAGACTCTGATGAGTTCACAGAAATGGACCAGAAAGACACAGGAGCCCCGTGGAGCCACATCCGAACCTCTCAGATGGACAACAGCATGAGCCCCACAGGGACCGGCTCAGCCAGCAGCCTGTCGGGAGCGAGCTGCAGCGGGACTTCCTCGGAGTGCTGCCACTTCTGTAGGCAAAACGGGGAGTCTGTGAAAGTTTACCGATCACACAGACTGAAATCCAGCGACGGGAGGGTCAGCTGCCCCGTCCTCCGGAGCTACACCTGTCCTGATTGTGGGGCCACCGGGGACAGGGCGCACACACGCCGCTACTGCCCTCGGCGGAAGGAGGCTGCGAGGATGCCCAAAGTGTCCAAGTTCTGGTAGCTGGAAAAGAGACTGAGGACGGAACTGTACATAATTACAAGAGAAGTTTTTGCGATGTGTTCATGTTTACAGAAACTGTTGTGTTGTACGTTCCTAAGTTGTACATATTTCAGATGACAGTTGTGTGTTGGGCGTTGTTTTTGTCTTTTCATCTGACAGATTATTTCTGTGAAGCTCGTACTGACTGTTCTCGGAGGAGAGTTGGTGATGAGCTTCACAAGCGTTCAAAACATGTTACAAACCCAAGTGCTAAAAGATGTTCATTTTGGGCTTTATTTTTTTAAATAAAAATGAGTATAATCAAGAAAGTTGTGTTATTGGTTTGTTATGAAAAAAAGATCGCTTTTAAAGCTCTTGCTGTTAAATTTTAATTGAAAAAAAAAATTAGCAGTATCATAAACAGCATGGTTATATGTAATATTTATATTAATATGGTCATAATGATTAATATTCCAATGTATATGTGAGAGACATAAATATAACGTCAATGCTATGAAGACAAGTGGTGCAGTCCAAACATAAAGCAAATAGAAAACTTAAAACTGTGCCTATAATAATGAAAGATAGAATACATTTAGGCTACAACAGTTTTATTACGCAAAATTACTGAAGAGTGCATAGTTAGAAATGTCCGATATTTAAAGCAGCGTGTCAGCATTTCATAAGCCCTTATATCACGATCATAAACCCTATCAGACCTCCTGGGTCAAAAACTGGTTTGATGAAGTGATAAACTGCTGTTACCAAACATGGATGAACAATGACCCCGTTGAGATATGAGTTCTAAATTTCAATCAAAAGTTGTTATCATGATACGTTTTTTTAAATCTATCTATCTATCTATCTATCTATCTATCTATCTATCTATCTATCTATCTATCTATCTATCTATCTATCTATCTATCTATCTATCTATCTATCTATCTATCTATCTATCTATCTATGGGCATTGATGAAGATGTTGTCTTGAACCTGGAGCAGTGGTATGTAACTTCATGTACAGTAACCGCCACCCTGCCATAATAAAGTCGATAACAGTGTGCCAACCTTAATGAATGTAAACAATCAAACAGTTCCGTCATAAAGCAGATAAATATTGATTGATACTTTTTTTCTGTTGTTTGCAGATTTATTTGTTTATAAGAAACAAAGGACAGGTCGGAGGAAGTTGGCAAACCTGGATGGCATCGAAACATGGACATGAGTAGCCATAAATTTACATTGTTACACAATCAACCCCTTTTTAATGCAATAAAAGTCTCTCCTCCTCCTTATCCAATGAAACACATCAGTCAGTAAGTGAAAAGTTCTTTATTCATTATCAAGTGCTACAAGTTTTCGAATTTGTCCAACAAAGAATAAAAAAAACACATAAATCTTTTCTATTCTAGGCTCACTTCTTTTGCCTCTGAGACTTTTTTTTATCTGTGTCCCTCAGATAAACAAGCGTTTTCTATTTTTCTCATGGATTTCTCAGGTCTTGGTGCACAGATATAACCTGCAATGTCTTATTTGTGTTCATGTGGGATAAAATGTGAGATCAGATCATTCCCTTGTTAATCAGCAAAAACAGAAAAGTGTTCAGCAGATTCTTGTCGAAACTGGTCCAAATAGGTTTACTTTTAATGCAAATTTAATGAATGAATTTAATGAAATTGTGTAAGATAAGCTAAGGGAACAAAAGCAAAAGCCTACATATGAAAGTTTTATAGTCTTAAAATACAGATACTTTAAACAAAGGCCAAACTCTTTCAAGAGCTATTGTTTTCTTTTGTTTTCTTTAAAAAATGTTATTATTATTATTATTATTATTATTATTATTATTGTTGTTGTTGTTGTTGTTGTTGTTGTTGTTGTTGTTGTTGTTGTTGTTGTTGTATAATTGTCATATTTAGGGTTTCAGACTGTATTTACAGATAGAATTAACTGATTGTAACAATAACATTTTTAGAGCCCAAGCATAGATCATATGACCACAGAAAGACCCTCAGGCCCAGGATTGTTAAAAGAGAAATTTCCAAAGCCACTGATTGTCAAATTAATTAGAAAGAGTCACCTTATGGATCCTCTGTTTCTTTTATGGCTCACTTCACTGCAGTAGGCCTGTTTACAAGATAAGAAGTGCATGTGAAGCTCAGGGTGGTTATTAAACCTCTTGCACAACTAGCTTTTCCTAGACCCCTGCTCTCCTTGCAATGATGTCCGCAGAGACAGGAATGTCACCTCTCATTTTATTGATTCTTTATCAAGTGAACATTTTTTTTAGATTTCCTGCCAACATTTTATTCCCCTTCAGGACACCTGTAATGCTGTGGTGGCACGTGAACCACCCCTGAAACTTCACAAGGGTTTTGAAACGTGGTACAAGTTTTATAGCTATTTCAAAATGACTTCTTTGATTTCAGACTGGTCCTCTACTCTACACAAAAGTTGCTAGGTGGGTCATTAAACAAAGGAACTAAAGATTTAAAGCAGAATTCATTAAACAATGACAACAACAAAAAGACTTGCTGTTTAACAGTCTAGGATTTGAACATCCTCAAAAAAGTCAATCTGAATTAAATCTGACGCAACAAAACTGGCATTGTAGAGAAATAACACAGTTTAAATGCAAATGGGGGGAATTACACATGAGTGAAGCTCACAAGATACAAAAACAATAATGGCAAGGCCTGAACTATAAAGGCTGGAGTATCCACAGAGCAGTGGCGATTGCTCTAAGACTGCAAGGGAAGCTCGGCTTCCCTTAAAATGTCACCCCCAAAAAAAGAAAAAGTGGTGAAATACGTACGGCTGTGTGTACATTTCATTAACTAAATACGCACTAGAAAGCCTTCAACTTTTGTTCAGACACTGTGATAAGAAGCTGATAATCACAGGTAACCGGCATAACTTCGTTCTCATTCATCCTCGCAGCGCCTCAGCGCTTCAAACAGTCGGACGCTGGGCTTCTGTTGACTTCAATGTGGAAGCTTAAAGTGGGTTGTTCCAGCAGCGAAACTAGACGCTCATTGGATAAATGCTGGGCTTTGTCCCGCCCAATGGAAGCTAAGCTTCACTGGAGTTCTATGGCGAGAGGGCGGTCCCGACTTTCTCCCGGACTCCAAGCTTCTGCATTCATGATTGGATGAGCTGTCTGAGGCGAAATCCTTTTTTGATTGACAGCTAAACAAGCGAATCAGCGATCTTGAAGAATAAAACATCTACCAGAGCATTTTCCAAGTCATTCATTCCGTTGTTCTTAACTGCTCCAGAGACTTTACCGATCCTCAGCGACTTTTGTCTGTGTTAAAAACGACTGCCGTTGTGTTTGGCGACTCTGTTCTGTTACATACTAATAAACAAATACAATTATGATGTAGGCCAGAAAAATGAGCTTCCCCTCCTTGAAAGACCAGCAGCCGCCACTGCCACAGAGGCAGAAAGTTGAAAAAAGAGAGAAAAAGTAAACAGGGCACATGGCCAGTGCAGGTAAAGGGTCGACAAGAAGACTGGCCAGGGTGAGTCAGGTCTGGAGAGTGACCAGAGACAGGTCTGGAGGACACATGAATCAGGACAGATGTTGGCCAGACCATACCTCAGGTAGGAGTTGATCGGATGAACATTGGAGAACCAGGAAAAGGGTCTGTGGAGGGTCAGAACAAGAAACTAAACCTGACAAGACATGGGCTTGGACCCCAAACTCTGGAACTGACAAATCAGGGGTGTGACTGTTGTAGCACAGCAGGAACAGAGGGCAGGAATCGCACAGAAAGAAGCGGGGGATTGGGGGTAAGGGTCAGCATGTGCAAACAACTGGATCAGGAGGACTGAAGTCAGCCATGGAAGCCAGTATTATCACAGGGATTCAAGATTATCTGTGCATTTGGGTTGACCAAAAGGACCAGAGTTTGGCTGGTGCAGCAGACTACATCCCATAGACTGAAGTTGGCCTGGGCAGCAGACTAGATCACAGGTGTGGAATTTGCTAAAGCGGGCCCATATAGCTGATTGGATGCCTGATCTCCGGGGGTTGTGGCATTTTGGTATCTCTGGGGTTCTCAGCAACCAAGAGGCATGGCAGTCTAAGATCTGATTGGCTGACAAAGTCCAACTAAATTAAATAATAACAACTTAAAAATAAATAAATAAATAACAGGAGAGGCCCAACAGAAGACGCTGAAAAGAAGCAATGAGATGAAACACAGAGGAACAGGTGAGGAGCTTGATTAGATTCCTGCCACTGACTGAAAACAACTCAGAGATCACAGTCAAGCCGTACAGCTAAATGTACCACAGGGACTTGAATCAACCAAACCATAAGAAGATCAAGTGTTCTTTAGACCTAAATAGACTAAAGTAGTGTGTTCAGATGCAAAGTACAGCTAGATCTTCTCTCTTAAAGTAGCTGGAATCGAGCCATCTTTGTTACATAGGGGATTAAGTCATGTGAGGTTGCATTGTTCAATTAAGAGCTGATAAGGTAATTGCTGCACTGATGCGATTGGGTGATAAGAACATGTTACCAAACATTTTTGCAAAGTCAAAGTCTGGCTTTTATAAGTGTTTACAACTGAAGACCTTGGAAACACAACAGACAAGTATTGATCTACAGTATTTTGCTCCCCTCTGACTCAGAATCCCTCTCGTACTGTGAGGGGCCGATCAGAGGAGGGTTTGACTTTGATAGCATACAAATATGAACACGTGCTGAGGGCCATAAACATCTCACTGTTATACAAGCAGGTCTTTTTGGTGCAATAAAAGCCTCTCCTACACGGCAGCATATAGAGTTGCTCTTTCCTCACCCAAGGACACACAGCAAACTGTAAGTGTAAAGCTTTCATATGGAGAAATGGCTATTTCAAATGATCAAACAATGAAATTTGTCCAACAATGATAGACAAGCCTGTTAAATGTATTTTGTTCCTTTTACAATGTTCACTTTGATTCACAACTTTTTTTGTGTGTTTTCAAGGTGACTTTTCCACAATGGCTAAACACCAGATGAGTCTCTTGGCTGCCATGGTGGCGGCACTAATTTGCTTCATTGTTACTATGGCATTCTCTGCTCTGGCAGCATCAGGAAAACGTTAGTTAAAGATTGATGTGCTTCATTTTGATGTCTTCATGATACCTTTAAGTTCTGATCTTTGTGTCATGCACCTCTGTGACTTTTCCATTTGTGTCCCTCAGCTCCATTTGTGACAACCACGGGGAACATCTCAGATGAGTTTGTGACCGAGATCACACCCTCAGGATGGACCTTTGCTATTTGGGGCATCATCTACTTCTTTCTAGCTGCGGTGATGGTCTACGTTTTCAGCGGCATCTTTCGGAAGTAAGCCAGTCTTTCTAATATAAGTAAAACAGTACTGATAGGAGATAGCTATCTGTACAAACACACTTTTTATTCTCTTTTTATAGGAACTCTTATGGATATGTCTACTGCAGCCCCGCAGTTTTGCCATATGGTTTCTTCATATTTTGGTGCTTGAATATGATCCTGAACCTTTCATGGTTGTTAGTTTGGGACCGAAGGTGAGAAGGAATCATTTTGCCATTAGAAAATCATCATCAATTAAAACCAGTATTTCTTGGATCAGTTGCATGGACTCAGATTGGCTCTGTGTGGACATGTTATGATAAGAAATGTACTGTTTTTAGATTCCTGTTACTTGAAAATCTATTACAGCTCTACAACTACGATTGTGATTATGGCACAAGGGAAGTTTGTTGTTTATTGAAGAAATACAGTAGCTTTATTTACTTGTGTCACACTATTTAATGTTTTGTAACTGCATCAATAAAGCTGACCTGACTTCCTTGTAGTAAAACATGAATTAGAATGGCTGTTTGTGACTAAGTTTGTCTCTTTGTCTGCAGGCATGTCCTCTGCAACAAGTTAACACCACTGTTTTTTGTTTTTCATTTCTTTCAAAGTTTGATGGCCGTTGCTCTGGTTTTCATCATCTTCATTGTCTTGACAAACTATGCCATGATCTTCTTCTCGTGCCATGGCCTCAGCAGCTATGGAGCCTGGCTCAGCAAATACCACAAAGTGGACCTGTGGCTCCACCGTGTGCTAGTCAGTTGTTGATTCTGCTACCTTCTTCTGATGATCATCCTTGTTGTCTTTGTTCATTTTGGGGGAAAAAATGCATTTTTTCTTCATCCTATTTCACTTCTTTTATTTGTACTGTAGGTCCAGAATGGGATTGCTATATATGCAACATGGACCACCATTGCAACCCTGGTTAACCTGACCATCGTGCTGGTTGCTGATGCAAAAATGTCCAACTCAGATGCTGCTCTTCTTGCCCTCTCTCTTCTAACTGTGATACTGGTGGTGTGGTAAGTGCAGATACAAATAAAAGAAATATGTGATATAGTAAAACATGAGTTTTGTTTCAGAAAAGGGTTACTTCTCTGTGTGTGTTTGTGTTTGATGTCCGACAGGTTCATTTTGGAAAACTCGGTGCTGGACAAACATGTGAGGTACATTCTCTCCATTTACCCATCTGTGATCTGGGCTCTGACGGGAGTGTTTGACAACAACTACAACACTTCATCTCCTTCTCGCAACAACATATTCATCGGTGAGGAAAAATTAGGAAACAATTACATGACCATTACATTTAGACAGGAGACTTAACCTGAGCGGAGGACAGATAAAATGCCATACACATGACTAACTTCTTATTATTCCACCTCTCTGTAGTTTCCCTGTTGGCCATCGCTTGTGTCCTGTTTGCTGGACGTTTGGTTTTGGTCATCTGGAAACACATCAAGAAGCCGTATTACAAAGATGTGGATCCAGACGACATGTCTCCGATGGAGATATCTGAAAAGCAAAAGAAGATCTTTAAGTGAAAATGACACTTATTTTTGATAAACTTTCTTGACTTGTTCTTAACTTATGTCCAACTTTTGGAAAATTGATATGCTTATGATATCAGATGATATGGTGCTATACAGTTTATTTGCTTTGATAAAAAGTGAAATAAGCCAACCTTTTATGAATCAGTTTAAATGTATTTTTCAGACAAATAAGGAACATCATGTTTACTTTGTTTTTTTTACTCTTTTTTAAATGCAAATTGGATTATCCTCTGTTCCCATTTAAACATAAATATTCCTTTTCTCATGCTTATGTCAAATCACTTCAGGGACTTTGGAGAAAAACATGTTCTTGTGTTACTTGTGATCGAGGGTGTATGCATTACAAATAAATAAAGATTGAAATAAATGAATCTTGATAAAGCATACATCTTTTGTTTTTATGTTGCAACACCAATTAAAAAACTATTTTACCAGGTTTGTATAAAATGGACCAGGATAAAATAGCCTAAGATTTATAAGTCTGTGGATTCTGGAGTTACTCTATGAGCTATGAATTCTAGATTTACGGGGAGGAAACTATCATGCAAGGCTTTCTTTGTTTTACCACAAGGTGACAATAACTATAAAATAAATCAATAACTGTGTTGTCTGAGGGTTTTTAGAAGAGGATTATAATCAAATGTCAAAGTTTAGACCTTGTGTGATGGAGTTTATCTACTTTCTGTTTCAAGGTGAGGCATTAAACTTTGACGAGCCTCTACAACCACACCTACTGAGTGTCTGAGACTTTTTTCTTCAATGTTGTTTCTTCTAGTAGTGCAACATCAATTGCTAAAAGTTGTAAATGCAAAAAACACAATGATATTACAGTACACAATATTACAGCAGACTAAATACAAAATATTTATTGCTCTGCTTTTAGCGCTCTGGCCTTAAAAATGAAAGACATCAAGTAGTTTGCTGTGAATCAAAACTGCTATTTTATCTGCTCTTTTACACATTTTTCATTAAAAAAAAAAGTTTACAAATCAAACTGTAAAAGTCCCCCCACTGGCATCTTCTGTAACAAGTCCTTTTTGTATTTCATGCAGTCTACCATGTGGGCTCTATTCTATACAAAGCTCAAATCTAGAAACTGAGAAGCCACGTCTTAAAGCTTTATTTGTTTTAAAGACCTTTTCAATGCCTATGCAAATATAACAACAAAGTTAACTTGGAAAGTTTCATTTCACCTTGAAATTGTGATAGTTTAATGATAGTTTGTTATCATATAACTAACCTATATGGTTCCCTTTACAGTGGTGGTCATGTTTACAGGATAAGAGGTGCACGTGAGGCTTGGAGTGGTCATAAAACCTGTTACACAACTAGCTTTTTTATAAAGTAGACAGACCCTTGTTCTCCTCACAGGAACTCTGACTCTCGTGCTGATGATTGTAGTGACAGGTTTGTCTATTTTCATTTCATTGACTCTTGATCATAAAGACATGTTTCTGATTTGATGGCAGCCTTTTTAATGGCACTTTTTACGGGCTGACAATCTTGAAAAAAGCTTAGAAGGCAGCAGAAATGAAACAGGTAGATACTGTTTCAGGTGTACACTCAGATGACAAAAGTCTTCGCTATTTAAGTTTAATCCTTGTTTTCTGACAGTGAACCAACAATGGCAGAACATAACTCTGGACGCCTTGCTGCGATCGTGGTGTTCCTTATCGGCTTTGTGATTAGTTTGGTGTTCAATGGGCTCTCTGTGGTTGGAGTTGGTGAGTCAAAACTTTAAAAAGTCAGTCTTCTTATTAAATTTAGGAGCTAATGTGGTTTGACATTTTCTGTTTGGTTGTTGAAGCTTGAGAGCTTTTAGTTTGACATGTTTACCTTTACGTAAGTCTCTTCGCCTTGACTTACTGTGTTTACTTTTCCTCCCCAGGTCCGTATACAACCACAACAGCAAACGTGTCAGCAGAATTTGACACTGAGATTACACCTATAGGGTGGACTTTCAACATCTGGAGTGTCATCTATGTGTGGCTGACATTAATGGTCATCTACATCGTCACCGGACTTTGCAGAAAGTATGAAAGGCAAGAAAACATTGAAAAATGTGCTTTAAAACCTGAGCAGATTGAAAATAAACTGCTGTGATTTTGTCCCCACAGGAATGGTTATGGCTATGTCTACTGCAGCCCTCCAGTGCTGCCTTATGGTTTCTTTGTTAGCTGGTGCATCAATCTGTGCTTCAACATTGGCTGGCTGCTTGTTTGGGACAGAGGGTAAGAGGCTCCTGTATCTGTTTATGTCTCACTAAGTGTTAAGAAACGCTAAATGAGATAAGGTAAGATAAGCGAAGATAAACTACTGACATCTCACCTGAGAAATTCACTTGTTACAACCGTTTACAAAACTAGAAAATTTAACAGGGTGATAAGTCCATCAGACTTTGGTCTTCCACAGTGCCTCAAATTTCATTTGATGCAAAATTTAAATCATCACTGACATTGTAGCTATACGTATATGTTGCAGATACATAAATATGCAGATACATAAATATAATATAATATATATATATATGTGTATACATAAGAATATAAGTGAAGACTTCAAAATTGTCACTTGCCTTCTCCTACATGAAAAATATATACTAAATGTACAGAAATATTTTATTACTGGTTATGGTAAAATAGACAGTTATGATTGGTATGTGTATGATTTGAGAAAATTTTGCAGTAAATTTTAGATCATGAATGATGTTAATAAACGGACTTTTCTGCTGCTTTCATGTTTTTTTTCAGGATAATGATCGCTGCGATGGTTTTTCTCATCCTGGTCATCTGCACAAACTACAGCATGATTTTCTTCATCTGCCATGGACTTCATGTTTATGGACCATGGCTCAAGAAATACCACAACGCAGACCTGTGGTGCTACCGTATGATTGTGAGTAAAATAAACAACAGAGCTGACTTTGACTTTGACTGTTATCTAGCTTAAACACTGTGGTCAACACTGCTTTCAGTATGGCACCTCTGCTTGAACCTCTGTCTGCAGGTCCAGAATGCTGTGATGGTTTACACAACATGGACCACCATTGCAACACTGATCAACCTCACAATTGTACTGACTTATAATGCTGGGGTGTCTTCAGAGGATGCTGCCACCATATCCTACTGTATTCTGGCTATTGTTCTACTTGTGTGGTGAGTTCACTGCTCCGGAAAAATACCTATTATAGAAGAAATAAGCACAAATATCTGTGAAATTTAGAGTAAATGTGTTTTTTATGTGTGTCACAGGTTCATTTTGGAAAATCTTGTGCTCGACAAACATGTGCGGTACATCATTGTTATCTACCCTGTTGTGATCTGGGCACTGTTGGGAAACCTGATGAAAAACTTTGATGCTACGTCACCCAGTCGCAATGGCATCCTCATTGGTAGGACTGAGGAGATTTTCATGTCAATATCATGATACTGTAAATGACAAAATACCTTTTGCTTGGTTGATGCGATCAAATAAATGTTACTCTCTGAGCACAGCAGAAGACTTTGTAACCACTAATCAGCCTTTATCATGTGCACTGACTGTATTTTTCTTCTCTCAGCTGTGCTGCTGGCTATAGCCTGTGTGCTGGTTGTATTCCGGATTGCTTTTGTGATTTGGAGACACATCAAACAGCCGCTGTACACAGATGCCAGTCCTGAAGCCATGGAACCCACAGAGATTGCTGAGAAGCAGAAAAAGATATTTCGCTAACCTATTTGTGATTTAACATACTAACAATTCTTGACATGTGGAATCATCTGAACGAGCTGTAAAGCTCCTCTGAACAATTTATTAGCAATTGTGATGAAAATGTGATCTATTTAAAACCTTGATGGATAATTTTGAATATCTGATCCTCAAGTATGATTTCAAATGCACTTCAGTATATTTTACATAGGCTCAACTATGGCTGACTGACCCCTGAACCTTTTATGGCCCTTTTTACTTATTTATTGCCAACACAACCTATTGGCACCTGATAAGGAAACTATAACAACACCACATGATGGCACCACTCTGTGATCATCTACCTCATGGTAGCCTGTAGGTTGCCTGCTGTAAACGTTTCTGAATGCTTTCTGAATGGTTGCTTCTTATCAAAGGATAGTTGATCTCCCAATGTAATGTACTCATCATGACATATTTATTCTAAATAAAGTTATAAAGCAAGTTATTCAGCATTTCTTCAGTGTCAACATTTTTTATCACAATGGGAAGAAACAAGACAATTGTAATGACATGTGGGTACTCTAAAAAGTCTAAATATTTAGAGACATTCATTTTCATACAACAAAGTCACCATGTGTAACAGACAAAGATCTTTAAAATAATCATGTTCAATCACAAAGTTCCTCAATATTAGTCATAAACTCTATGAGCACGGTAGCTCCCTGTATAACTTGTAAATCATTTCATTTGAGATCTATGAGTGAAGTTTTTACGGTTTTAAACCACAATACAACAGAGGGAGGCAGCACTGGTATGCACCAGCTGACTTCCTTTACCGTAGAAGAAGAATAGCGTCGCTAGGTTCTTTTTCCTGAGCACGATATTTCAGGCATCTAATTCTCGGAACTTATTGGTCTACAAATACAAAGCATCAACATTTAATAGTTCAGTCTGAACGTTACGTTTATGCAACATTTTACAGATAATAGTTTACAGAATAATATTAAGGTACATATTGCAGGTAAACGGCAGCTTTTGAGCGGCACTTTTGTCCTGTGAGACGAAACTCAGGGTGTAACCCCCATGTTTTTTCCTAGTGCGCGGGATATTATGAATTGTAAACAGCGCCATTGTTTTGCTAAAGCTAACGTTAGCTATCAAATGAGCGGAATAGCAGTCTTACCAGCTTCGAGGAGAGTATATCCTTGTTGTTCATTTAAACTTAAAAAAGAATATTAACAAGCCGAATAAAATAGGTAATCGGCGGCAAAAACAATATGACTTTTGTCTCTTTGTTGGCTCGGGTCTCGTCGTTGTAAGAAGCGAAGCTAACGTTAACGTTACCGTTGAGAAGCGAAAATACTCGACAGACAGAAATGGAGACACAATACCCGAAACTGGTGAGTTAATGCCGTTTTTTGCATCACTTTGCCTCCTGTGAAAAGATAAGGCACAAGCATATAATCGAAGGAAAGTTGCTGTAACTTTAAGTACGTCCTGTTGATAGATCGGTATGCGCGTTAGTGAATACAGTCTATGATCTTCACTGACACTAGACTTAAAGTTTCATTTATTTATTATTTACTTCCACTGTTTTGGAAAGATTTCAAGCTGTTTGTGATGCTACGAAGTATGTGGTTGTGGCTTTATATGTTGTATTAAAGTGTTTTTGCACCACAGGCTACATGAAAGTATCGTAAGCTGTTAAATGTCTTCGTTAAGTTCATAAAGTTACATATACACAGCAAACACAGATATAAACACTTACTTTGTTTGCAGGCACGACCGAAGAGGAAACTCTGCTACCTTACAAACTCAGACAGGTACATTTGAAAATGTATTTTGTTACACTTCTTTATGTTTATTAATATGTTTACTATTTGCTGTGTGACTGCATCTTCCTTCAGTGATTGCAAACCAGGTGTCACCTATCTATCTATCTATCTATCTATCTATCTATCTATCTATCTATCTATTTATTACACTCATATGTGTAGTAAATATTACATACATTTGATGGATGTCACTAAGCCAATGTCTGTCATTAGGGCCAATAATTTAGGGTGTTTCCATTGCAAACTGAAAGTTAGACGTTTGAAATGTGCTTCTATGATATTGCCAATGTAATAATTTACTCGTTGAACCACAAAGTGATATTTTGCATTGGAAATAAATGCTCATTAAAATTTGTCACAAGTATTATTTGATGTTATGGGTTGTGATTTAAGATTTCAGTGCATGTTTAATACAGATTTAATGGTTGGGAGTATGATTTTAACTGAACATCTGTGTTTTCAGTCTACCTAAAAAATGGGCAGGAACCCTGAATCTAGAAGACGTTGATAAAATCTTTGATGACGTAGGTAAGTTGGGTTTATGGTTATCTTTACCTTGAATATAATAATCTTGTTTTTTATTTCTGTAATATTAACCCGTTTTTCCTTAGCGTCACCCTCAACATGTGATGATGAGCTACACCCTTCATCTACTTTGCTTCAGACCTTGGATGAGTCAAACCAGTGTGAAAAAGTGGATTCACCAGTCCCACAGAGAAGTCTCACACAGAAAAAACATCTTGAATGCCATACGGTAATATATAGTCAGACACACCCATGCTTCTTTTATAAACCTGCATCTTTGTTACACATATAACTGATTATACTGTATATGTATGTATATGTATATGTGTGTGTGTGTGTGTATTTCTGTTTTTCCATGAAGATAGACTGATTGATTGGCAGATAGATAGATTTGTATTTGTTTTCCACTGGTCAGCATTCACTGCACTTATGTCCTCAGGGAAGACATATGGAGAGTGGTTAAACACATCTTTGTGTACTCTATAGGGTCCTAAAGAAAGTGCCCTGAATCCTGCCACAAGGTCTCCCAGTCCAAATCCTGACATGGGTAAGAGAATCAAATCTGTATTCTTGGAGGAAATAGCCATTTTCAATTCACTTGCATAAGGCATTTTTCTTACCTACCCATGAGCTCTTTTTTATGTTGTGTAATATTGTGTCTTTTATTAAAGAGTACTTTTTTTGTTGTTGTTGCAGATTTAGACATCCCGTTTAAAGGGCATGGGCCCGTAAAAACATCCAGTCCTATTGAAGAGAACTTGGTGGTAGAACAGGCAAGAGAGCAGAATGAGGAAAAGGACAGAGCTGTGTCTCCAATTTTATTTGATTGTCAATATGATGATGAAGAGGCAGAGACGGGACGTGTATCCTGCCAGAAAATACAATCCAATGGGCACCCCACAGAAAAGTCAGTACTTATAAATGATATATTTTATCTGCAGCTAGAATTGTTTTCATATTTCTGACTTATTTTTGTCAGGGTGATGCTGTGTTGATCTTTCTGAATACTGATATAAACTCATGCATTCATAACATGTTTTGTTTTTATCATTGTTTACTCCAGAAATAAAGACTTTGAGCTGGAGTCTCCTCCACTTCAAGTTATGTTAAGCAAACCCAGGGTGTCCGGTCACAAAAAAGAGGTGGAGAGACTCTGGTGAGGACCTTTCTATTTCTCTCTCCAAGAAATAAGTTTGTCTGCAAACACCCAGATACCTTAAAATCTGTGAAACAACCACTGTGGTGTATGATGCACTGTTTTGTGTTGTGATTAAATTGCCCATGACATGCCTTCGAGTATGGAAATATATTTTGGAAATATATTATTTTATACTTATGTGCATGTGTTCTTGATAACTCATTTGCAGCAACAAGAGTCAGCCGGCCAAAGAGCAAACACCCAAGAAACCCCAAAATGAGGTTGTGGCTGTGGTGAAAGAAAAAACACCCAAGGAATCCCAAAAAAGTGATCTGACTGACAAAAGGAAAACAGAAAAGTAAGAAATTATAAGTTTTTAAGATGTATGGGATGTCTATGGGATTTTTTTTTTTTATTCAAAAAAAATCTCAGCTCTTTGACCACACATAGACAGGAGTTAGATGAAAGGCAATATTGATAATATTGGTATTTGAATATGGAAAATATTAATCTTCTGGAGTCCGATCAACTTTGCTTTAAAACAGTGTTCATGTGAGATTTTTTACTACTAAAATAAGCTGGTTTGACAGTAAACTGTATTTCAAATGTGACAGAGTGGAAGAAAAGGGACACAAAGAGCCTTCAGTGCGAGCAGTGAGACAGGAGCCTGAACTCCCTGCTCCAACCCAAAAGTCAGTAAGTGGTCCCAAGAAGCCGTCAGCAGAGGTTCCCATCCGAGCTGGAAAAGACATGGCATCTTTCCTGCTGAAGCTCAGAGAAGCGGGACAGTCCAAACCTGCCTGGTGAGTCGATAAAAGAATAAACCTTTATAGTACTTAAGTATCATCGTGCTGGGAATGTAAAGAGCTAAAAAAAAATAAAAAGCCCCTTGTGTTTCAACATTAAATCATGAATTTATTGTGTTTTTAGTCAGAGGAAGTCTCTGTCACCTGTAAAAATACCCACTCCGCCTCCTGAGCCAGAGGATGATTTCTTGATTCTGGAGGATGAAACACCACTCTGGATTTCCATTCCAACTAAGAATGCCGCGAGTAGAAAACAGAGACAGAAGGAGACGTCCAGCACAGACAAAGATAGCTCTAAAGAGACACCAGCTGAGACTGAACAAAAACAGCAGGAATCAGAACAGGCAAATGAAAAACTGGGATCAGGAACTCTAAATCAGAAAGTGAAGAAGACAAAGGGGAAAGAGAAGAAGAATAAGGAGGTTGAGCCCAAAAACGATGCCCCTGGATTACCTACTCCTAAGGATCCTCCTGCTGTCGACTTAATGGAACAAGGAAAACCCAATAAAAAGAAACAACAACTGAAGAAAGTTTTATCTGAAGAGAGTGATGGAGCACAGGAGCAATCTGAAGACATGGCCTGTAGAGATAAAGATAAGGCAAGGTCTTCTCTGGACGTGAGAAAACAACCCCAGAAGTCCCCTGAAAAGAAGAAAGTGAAGCCTTTGAATAAACTGAAGGAAAATGCCAAGAAAGGAAAAACTAAGACGTTAAAGGAGAACAAAAAAGTAAACAAACCGAGACAAGGGAGCAGGGATTCAGAAGAACCTGGCGCTCAATCAGGTAAGGAAGTCCCAAAATCTTTTCCCATCTGCTCTTTGATTCTCCGTCACTTTTATCAAAATTGTTTTTGATCATTTAAATTTAAATATGGGATTTAGGATTCAAAGAGCTCCATTTTATTTCCCTAAAGAAGGCATGATGTTCTTGATTGAAATTCAAAACAAAGGCTCAAAAATATCTTCGAAAAACTGAATGTAATTAAGACGTCTCAAACTTTCACCTTTGCTTTTGTTTAATGAGACTGATTCATGGATTAAGACCCAGGTTAGGTTCCAAAAGCAGGTTTCTCTTCCCCCTAGAACCATACAGATTTTCACAAATTTACTTTTCACAGAGACTTGTCACGACAACAGACACCAAAATAAATAACAATGACACAGTGTGGAAATCTTTGAGATTTTATCTAGAATTAGACTTAGAGGTTGTAAGCATCTTACTGGACATCTAATTTGTCTTCATGATTTTCACAGACCAAGAAGTGGCTCATTCTGAAGCAGAACCAGTGATGGGTCCAGCTGATAGAAATGATGAACTGGAGGAACCACTGCCCATGTCTGATGAGAATTTATCTAACGATGAGGACAATCTTTGGAGAAGGAAAAGACAGCAGATTAAACAGTGGTTGATGACCAGCCCAGAAAAGACAAAAGTTACAGACAGACAGTCTACGTCCAAGAAGACAAAGCAGAAGAAGGAGCCTAACACAGCGACAGCATCTCCTGTAAAAGCTAAAAAAGAAAATCTCTTGAAGAGAGGGAAGAAGACAGAGACTGCATCATCGTCCAGCCAGAAGACGACTAAAGCTAAAGCAAAGAAGACAAAACCAAGCAAAAACAAAAACAAAGAAGACTCACCAGTCAAGAAGAAAGCAACCCACAAAGTATTTGATGAGATTGAGGTAGAGCAGGTGGGAGAGCATGAGCGGCAGGACAGGATAGAGGAGGACGGACATGAGCTGTCTAGTCCCTTTGACTGCACACGTAGAAACTGCAGCACAGGTAAGGGGTATGATCTCAAACATAAGAATTCATGAAAAAGTACGTATGTTTAGTTTTCTTCTTCTCTTGTAACTGACTAAGATGCAATATTTTCAGGGAGCCAGGTGTTTCAAAAAGTCTACCACCACACCCCAACTCAAAAAAAATTGAACACACCAGCACCTGTCACACCCCAAAGGCCGCAGGAGCAGCTTAAGGCAGCAGAACCATGGAAACGGAGAAGGAAAGCTCCTGGTAGCTGGTGGTTAGTTGACGGCCCACCAGTGGAAGTGGAGAATATCTCCTCACAGCCTCAGCAGCAGGAGCCCAAATCTCAGAGGGGGAAAAAAAAGAAGTCCAAACAGGAATCTAAAATACTTGAGACTCCTAAAAACAGTAATGTTTCTGTTCCATCAAAACCACAAGGGGGCCCTCCTGTTCCTCAGCTGAATGTAAAGCCGTCATCCGCTCCAAAGACGGTCAAACGCTCTCTGGCCTTGTTCAAAGGCATTCTCACTTCAAACATAGAGACACCAACAGGGGAGAGCAGCAAAGAAGTAGGTCAGAGAAACACTCATCAGGTCACTGCTACTGACCCTCCAATACCTGAGTTTAGAATCAAAGATGTTTTCAGTGTGGATGCTGGAGAGCCTAACAGCCCTCCTAACCAGGATGCCACACAGGACAGCAGGTGTCAGTCAGAGATCACGTAAGGGAATGAAGTCTGACTACTTGTCACTCATTAACGTCTATTATTATCATTATTATTGTAAGTTTTGGTTTTATTATGTGTTCATTAGGGTTTGCAGTTTGAAAGCCCACAGAAGCGGACCATCTTCAATGATTGAGCTGCAAGTATATGAGGAAGATGGCACCTCTGGTATGTTTCAAACCCGACTTTGTAGAATGATTTGGTATTAGGGATGCATGACATGGATTTCTTGGATCTGATGCAGATCTCACTAGTGAGACTGCCGATATTTTCTTGATATTCTTGTATTTTAAAATGTGTAGCTTTTAGACACCTGGTGTTAAAGGGATATTCCAGCGTAAATTTAAGTTATGGTCAGACACACAGTAACACTGAGTTAGACAACCCCTCTAGAGATGAATGTTGCCGACTGCTTGCTTCTCTAGTTATACCAACTTCAGCAACAACCGCACGATAGCAATACAAAGCGGTCTTTGGATCCCTACGCACACCTCAACCAAAACGCCACTCTATAGCCACAAATAATGCTCAGAACTGCACCTAACTTCATCAGCAGTACATATAGGGTCCCAGCCATAGTACTAGCCATCAAACATCTTTTTTTAACTTTGCCTGATTTCTTTAGCAAAGAGATCAAACACAACTCACCCACTCTCTTCCATCAGCCGCTTGTTTGTGGGGGAGCCCTGACGAGTCGATCACCAAGTGCAGTGGATCATTTCCATTAAGTAGTAATCGTTTTGCACTGCAGACACGGTAGTTCTTCTGCCTTAGCGTCTCAGTCTGATTGCATTTCCATGAAGTAATAATCACAAATGTTTCTCCTTGAGCTGTGTAACCCCCCTGCACTCGGTGATCGACTTGTCAGGGCTCCCCCCTCCCCAAACAAGCGGCTGCTGGAGGAGAGTGGGTGAGTTGTGTTTAGTCTCTTTGCTAAAGAAATCAGGCAAAGCTGAAAAGATGTTTGGTGGCTGGTACTATGGCTGGGACCCTATATGTACTGTTGATGAAGTTAGGTGCTGTTCTGAGCATTATTTGTGGCTATAGAGTGGCTTTTTGGTTGAGGTTTGCGCGTGGAGATGTAGACCGCCGTGTATTGCTATCGTGTGGTCATTGCTGAAGTTTGTATGACCAAAGAAGCAAGAGGCCGGCAACATTCATCTCTAGAGGGGGTGTCTAACTCGGTGTTACGGTGCGTTTGAGCATAACTTAAATTTACGCCTGAATATCCCTTAAAGATTGAGCAAAGATGAACTTGAATTTTGGTTCTACACTGAAGGATCCTAAATAAAACCCACAATTTTTAACCACAGGAAACAAAGAAAAGTCCAACAAAATCGGAGCAAACACATGCTGATGCTGTTGTGGTCAGACTGTGGATGTGTGGAGAGACCACTCTTCCAAACATAACATAAGCTGGTGGAATCTCTGATAAATCAGCACTACACACTCACTGATTTGTTCTCGCTGATGCTATCTATGGCCACTGCTGCTTTGTATTTCCCCAATTTGATACGATACCTGCATGCTTTGACATACTGCACCCCCACTCTAAGCTTCAAACAGGGCTTGAATAAAAAGGATGAAATAATTCACATTCGACATTTGTTCATTCAGGCCTGAAAAGTAGCTGCAATATTTACTCTGAGGCCCCTCACCTTCTGTCAGGGATTAAAAATGCAGCAGCCTTGCCCGGACAGGAAACTCTCATCACGTAAACAGCTTCACCTGAAGCTGAAATTAATTGACTCAACTCAATTAATTAATTATGTAGACTCAACTCAGTATTTGTTGTATTTGTATTTTTTTCTTTTTCAATTCATCTCAAATATGACTCTCTACCTTCTTTTCTTTTGTCACTCCAGGTGTGCTCTCACCCAAAGTTCGTACTGCTCTGTCTGCATCAGATCTGTGGGGTCCTCCGCTCAAACCGCTAACCATACAGCTGAAGGATAAAGTCAACTTGATGGAGTGGTTTAGGAGTCTATGGTCTACCAATGCTGATGGTAAGACAACATGATTTCTTATTAAAAAGCAACTGTTCCTAATCAGCGGTAACAGGCTTTTGCCGTGACGGTAAGAAACTGGGCACTGGGCATGTCTTTCAGAGTCCCTGTGACTGAACAGCCATCATTTATGTACTCCAATTAACCCTTTGTACTTTTGTCAGGACCTGTCATTTAATGTTTTTTTCTTACTGTTTTAAATAGTCTCAGGTGATTCTGAAATCACGCCGGACCAGTTTGACTGGTATTTCTATAAGGGCCGAGCTATTGGCTTCCTGGTTGACTTGGACTCTGGGACCATATGTAATGGAAAAATCCTGCTGGGCTCCTTCATGAAGAAGCCTCTGTGGGTGGATCACAGCGCCACATCAGTCAGTACTTCTTGTTAATCCTCACATGACTTTTTGTTTCTTGTGTTGTTTTCCTCTTAATTTTTGGTTGTCGTCTTTTTAAAGGTTTTTAACTTGTTAACAAGTTCAGTGTGCGTAACCATCAATGGCAGTGAGTCCCGTTTCAATCCTGGACAGTCCTTCATGGTGCCATGTGGTAAGATTGATAGCTGCATGCATGTAGAATTCAACCATCTTTTAGGAGGACTTTTTAGCAATAGTCATATCTGTGACAAGGTGAAGTGTGTTTTTGTTTCTGACACCTGTTCCTTTGTTCACACAGGTAATGCTTACAGCATTGAGAACGTCTCATCACAGCCTGCAGTTATGTGCTTCACTAGAATATTAGCTGAAAGCTTAGAATGAAGTTGTAGCCTTGAACCTGGCTGGCTAACCAGCTCCATATCTTGTGAAATGTTTTTAGTATGTAAAAAAAAAGAAAACAGTTTTGATGTGTGTTGTAATTTTAATGGGCTTATTCTTGGACTCGGTGTAAAAAGTCTCTCAGGGGCAGTGTACAGCTGCCTTTTTTTACAACGACCAAACCGTGGCAGTCTGCATATTTTCTATTGTTAAAATTGTACAGCCATGTAACACAAATTTACATTTTTGCAGACTACAATTTTTTTGTACATGAATGTTTCCACTGATTTGAAAAAAGCAAAATTACAATAAAATATTTCAAGATATTGAGTCACCTTTCAGCAGATCACGCCACACTTTCAGAAGTATTTTTACTTATATACAGTTAAAATATCACAAGTTATCACAAGAACCACACTATCTGTCAGTTAATAATCAAAAGTCAGGTTAGTTCATTTGGTTAACCATGTTTTGAAAAAGGCTGCAAAGAAACTAGAAACTCAAGTTGACAAGTGAACACTATAAATACAGAGGGAGAGAGAACTACAAGTAATGGCTGTCATGCCCTCAAATTCCAAGTAAGTATTCAGCAGAAATCCTTTTTTTTTCTTCTGCTCCAGGAGTTCAGTGAAATCTGTGAAATGGGTCTGAGGATTAAAGAAAGTTTGCAAAATATGAAAACCCTGAGGATTCACTGAGTTTGTACAAACTAGCACTTGTCATGTTTCAGCTTGACGCTTGATTTAGTTTGAACAGGCCTGCATCATGGAATCAATTGACTTTGCTCTTAATGCATTTTGGGTAATGTAGGCCAGAGGCTTTATGTGAGAATTTCTGGAAAAAATATGGTGTCACTGAAACTGCTCTTACAGTTTATACACTTTATGTTCACTGCTATTTGAATAAGAGAAAATGTAATTTAGTGATACATGCACATAATCAATATACATCAAATAATTAACCCCCTCATTAGTATGTTGATTAACATACTATTTCAGCAGACTAGATCTTGGCAGTCCATAGAGCCATATGCTCTGGTGAAAATGTCCAAATCAGATTAAAAGTTCAATCATTTGGCTGTTTATTTGTTGTTGCTACATGATCTTGACTGACTTCTGTCAAATGTGAAATGTACTAAACGTTTAGTTATTAATATACTCACCATTACAGTTATTGCATGAAAATATATGCATATTTAACATGTTATGACCATGGATCTTTCACATTCAAAACTAAAATATGTTCCTAAGTAGGAAATCCCTCCCTGCAGCATCATAAACCTGGAGAACCAAAAAGAAACATCATCTTTAAACCATTCAGCCACTAAACAAGTTCAACAAAGGGTATACTGTATATTTACTACACAGTTTCTGCGTCACTGAGCTTTGCATGACACGAATCCATTTGTTCAAACAAAGGCTGAACAGCTTTTTCTGTGATTTTTCTGGGTCTCCCTTTTTGGAGCAGAGTTCAAGCATTCAGTATGTTTTCCTTCCTTTGTTAAAGTTGGCTCTGAATATTTATTTGGCTCTGCATTTGAGGCCACAGACCATAGGAGGGATACTTGGCTCTTTGCAATTCATGTGTTCCCACAGGAAAAACACCAAAATACTGCTTTGTTTCTACAGTGTGGTCTATTGTGGTGAGGGAACATAATGATTCAAATTAGGATTAAATTAAATGTCGTCACTCTTGCTTATGCAGAGGCCACTGAAATGTGTGAGTAAGCATTTTGATGATTGAAATTGTGTTTTTTAAAACTTGGTCTACAAAAAGGCTTTAAAAACTTTATTAATCTACAAAGTAGGCAGTATTTTGCCCAAAAGATGGCGCTATAAATTTGCTAGAGCTTTGTGAAAGTAGTGCGGATCAGGTGCGCTGTGCCTTTTTTTTCCTCTGGTTTTCATCCCCATTAGGTTTTGATCATGAATTTAAAGATATTACCATTAAATTAACAATTCTTGTGGTGTGCTAGACTCCTAGATTCAAGACAGGTGACCGAGCTGGGTGGCTCAACAAGTCCTAAGTAAGTACAAGTTATGTAACTATCTAACCACCAAATTTGTCCTTGATGGCTTCCCAGTAAGTTTTGTGTCATGTTACTTTGATTTTCGGTATTATTGCAACCAAAAAAAGGATTCTGTGAACAGTTAACTCTTTGTCTTTCTTTGTAATACAGCAGGACTGACATTGGAAATCATGAGAGATACTTCGACTTGTGTTTGGTTTCACACGCTCTTCTCTAAGCCTTGGCATATCTTGTTCTCTGTTGTGAATTTGCATCTCTCTGTGAAAGATGGGAAAACAGAATTACTGGATTAGACAGACAGCATCCCACATTACACCTGGTTGTTTGCGAAGGACAAAAGTAGAAACAGGAATTAAACACAAAGACAGTTTGTGAATCTTAAACAAACCTTTAAGCATTACAGACCATGACCCTGGTGTCTGGTGCTTTAGTTTGCTTTAAACATTTCATTTGTTCAGACACAATAAGGAGCCTGCATGCCTCTCTGAGTAAATAGACCCAGGGAAATGCAGCATGATTACCTTCAGTTGATTTCTGGCTTGTTTTATTTTTATATGACGTTTCTAAATACAGCAGAATAAACCTGAGTTACCCAAAGCATTTTCTGTGTTTGAAAGATTAGGAGAGGAAAAGTTTATTTTCTGGAGTTCACTGAAAAGAGGAAAAAAATAACATTTTTTAAAACTTGGTCGTGTAAAATGACATTTTGGACCTAATTTTTGGACCACATAGATAGTCCAGAAGTGTTTTAAAATTTCCCCGGATGACTGAACATAATAGCACAACAGTGACAGGGTTGTAATAAAAGCTTGAGTGACGGATGAGACATTTTCTTTAAAAGCTTTTTTTTTTACACAAGACCAGGGCAAGATCAGCAAAGAGATGAGATTTGTCTAAGGGAGGGGGGTGCAAAAAGAGTACATTTTTTGTTGTAGACACAAGCTGATAGTTTCTTATAAGAGCTGTACATAAAAAGGAAAAGTTGCCAACAAACACCATAAAAGTTAATGCGAGAGGTGTCTGTGGTCGGCTGCTCAAAGGTGCAGTTTGTAGAACAAGGATATGTACCAAAATCTGGTGGAAAAAAATCTAGAGTGTAACGCTTTCTTGACAACCTCCCATGTCACCAAGGCAACAGTGGCTATTAAAAACCGAAAGCAATTTGGTTGATAAAGATGGCAGAAACAAGTATTTCAACTGTTTTAAGGGATGAGGAAGTGGCATTTTAGGTTATCTTATCCAAATAATTATGGTTCATAGTTCAATTCTGAGATTGTGATTTGGGGTTTTTCATTGTTTTAAAAACACAAGCTGACATAAGCAGATTAATGCTAAATGAAGCAAATGTTTCTTACCTACAAAAGAGTGTTAGGGCCACATAAAAAAGTAAAAATTTCAACAAGAATAAAGTCATAATAAGGTTAAATTATGGGAAGAAGATGTAATTAAATAAAGTAATAGTGTGACATGATTAAAGTCATATTGTTACAAAAAATAAAGTTATAGTAAAGTCATAATGTTCTGAGACTAAAGTCATCATGTTCAAATAAATAACTGACAACTTATCAGCACGTGTCACAAAGGCAAGCTCAGAGCCTAAGCTCAACTACGTCTCATTACATCCACCTCCAATCTCCTCAGTAAGTGTGCCAATGTACTCTTATCCTCCAGGAGGACAAACCCCAAGTTTCTGTTGTCACCTCTCCTGATCTCATTTTACTTAACACTGGTTTCATTTGTTTGGAAAGACAAACTGATTCTCTCAGATTCAAGTTCCTGTAATGCATAGGATTCTTTGATTCTTCCAGTTTATTCGATCAAAAACGTTATCAAGACAAATTCATTTGCACACAAAAACAACCATTGTCACTCTAAACCACCCAGTGATTAACAAGACAAGTTGGGTTCAGGGGCGTTGCCAGGCATAAAGATCTACTTGGGCACTCCAGTCCACCGGGAGTTCATTTATACTGGGGCATTTGCACCTCTGGTTAGGTTACTGCTAGTTTTTCCATTCTGACCTTCTTTAGAAAAACATGAACGTGCAACATCAAACATCAACAGGATTTTTGTATTAAAATAGGATTTAAGATTCTCTGATGTTTTCAGTTTTTGTCCCATCAAGCAAAGTGAACCCAATCAGTCAATCAGACTTTATTCATTGCACTTTTCATACAACAGACTGTGGGACAAAGTGCTTTACATAGACAGAAAATCAATAAAAACAATCAGCAGCTTAAATTTTGCTCAAGGTTAACACAAATGAACTGTTAGAATAAAAGGACTCAGTAAAAAGAGGGCCTGATTACTTTAGCAGACACTATCATGAATATGAAGTGAGGGAACACAGGAAGGAAGACTGAAATGTTCACTCTGACAGGAAAAAAAAGATTGAAAAATTGTAGACTTTTTTTTTTATAGGGATTTAACTTTCTTAAATGTGTGGTTCAGATTTAGCAACAATGACCATTTTCATTGTTGGCTCTTTATGAGTAATGATCATCCCTCTAACTTAAATTCATGTTGACCTTTCACCTTAATGTCTACCTGTCTCACTTCTCAGAGCCTAAGCTCAACTGTGTTTCATTACATCCACCTCCAATCTCCTCAGTAAATGTGCCAATGTACTCCTATTCTCCAGGAGGACAAAGCACGCAGCTTTGAATGAGGTTCCTGGAGAGAGAATAGAGAAATAAATTACAGAAGGTACAGTAAATCGCACGTTCAGGGTCGCATCTTGATGAGGCCTCAGAGAGCCAAAGCAGCCTTTGAATCTAAAACTCCAATTATCTTTTGACAGCTGGTTTGGCCGTATTAACACATCAGTCAACATAATAGCTTTGTAAAGATTTTCTTATATAAAAAGGAAGTCATTGGACAAGCTACATGTAACAACTTCACACACATGATTTCCTCTTCTTGTTCACCCACAAAAGTTTTTCATTTATCGTTAATCTTTTCTCCAACTGTCTTGACAGCTTGAATTCAGTCTGCTCCCTCTAAACACTTTCAAAACTGCAAACAGACAAGGGCAGAGTCGCTTCAGTCAGCCGCAGCTAAACTGCCTGTGCTGAGCTTTGTGATAAAGAGCCGGGGGAGGCTACAGCAGAGGAAACAGGAGTACACACAGGATGCTTTTTTGTTTATTTGATTCATACTCATACACAGTCATTTGTTTCAGAATTCAGCTTTCTAAACAAAGCCAAATAAATAAGTCTGGATGTGGTTGTTTAATCAGGCAATGTTGCATTTAGGTTTAGAAACAACTCCAAAACTGTAAATCCATCAATGTGAAAATAACCCTGAGACAGACTTGTGGCTTTCTTCTGCAGATCCCAGAGGGGGCCATATCTGCCAACTGAGCTGTCAATCAATCATCTGATTTAGAATTCAAACAACTAATTAAAAATAAACTTCTCAGAAAAGTGAACACTTGAATATAAATCAGCAATTAAGTGATTGTAACAATTAAAGCATGTTTTCATGAAGAAAAAATAAGCTTTCTAGTTTGACTCATGTCCCATCTGTTTACATGGAGGAGAGAGGCTTCAAGACTTGTACACCAGCCAGTCACTAGGGGGAGCTCTGAAGGTTCTGTCTTCACTTCTGCCACTAGTTTTACACAGTCTATGAATGAAGCAGCTAGAAAGAGAAAAGCCACCAAAGTTACAGTAGCCAGCAAAGATTATTGGCAAAGAATTAAAGATTAATTCAGACACCAGCTAAGACCTCACTTTTATAACCAAGTTAAAGCTCCTATTAGATTTTTTTTATCATCATAAATAGACTAAGATTCATATGAATGTATTTTCATGATATCCAAAAGCAATCAAGACAATCAGTGACAAGATTGGCAGTTAGTTCTCTTGTCCTATGTGTTGATGCCTGATACCGTTGTGAGGTGGTAGGTGTCAACTAAGCAGCTGAGAAAAAGCCATGTCTTTAGTTTTTCCACAAAGAACATTCAAAATTAAAAGCACATTATGTAACGCTGAACCAAAAAAGACCCAGAAGCAGACTCAAAGGCCGGCAAAATCAAAGTCAGTTTATTCTAAAAAAAGAGTCGGTACACAGGTTCCAAAAAAGCAAGGCAGAGGTATCCAAATCGACAGGCAAGAGGCTCAGTCAAACAATACTAAAGGAGGTCAAAACAATGAGGCAAACACTAGAAATATATGCTGGAACTCTGACACGACGGACGAGACTAAATGGCGCAGAGGGGAGGGAAAGGTGGGTTTAATTACACCAGGGCAGTGGAGTTAACGAGACACAGGTGAGACTCATCAGGGTAATCAGGGGAGCAGGTTACACAAGGAGGAGGAAGTCAATAAACCTGAAACAAGAGACAAGGGTGAGTATCAAAATAAAACACGAAACACAAGACAAGAAACATGAGGAATGAAAAAAACGACTTAACTAATCAGGAGATGTGACACATTAGACTGTCAGTGAAATGGGCTTATTTGTCAAATGTCACTACTAAAGCATGTAGAGGACAAAATGGCCAAAGGCTCTTTGTCCACAGGGGGGACACCAAAACTGCCATGTCTCCTTAACAATATATCTTAAATTCTTATTTTATGTGCACTTTATGTGTGTGTGTCTGTATGTGTGGGTCCATGGGTGGGTGTTTGGTAGGAGGGTTGGGTTTTATTGTTGTTTAATTGTTGTTTTTAGTCTCTGTGAGGCACTTTGAACTACATCCTTTTGTCTGAAAAGTGCCATAAAAAATGAAGTTGAATTTGAATTTGAAAACAGACATAAATTGAAAGTTCCTCACAGGAGCTTTAAATGGACAAATTAACTGACCCTGCCCTTTAGAAAACATGCAAACCATCCTAAAATCACTTTTTTTTTCACGTGTAAATTTTCTTCAAGCTGCTGATGTGATCCAGTAGTTATCAGCAAAAGCACAGCCTTTTCAAAATACCCCATACTGTGTGTTCCTGGAGGGGGGGGTCGGTTGATTTCTCTCCAATATACCTCCAATTTCAACCATGTAAATAGCTAAAAAAATGTGACACATGGTATCAAACCTTTCACCCGCTGCATCACACATATGTAAATGGTTTTTTGATTTCCAATAGCTCTCCATCAGTCAAGAAAGCAATTTACATTATCTATTCCCCTATCTCTACAATTCCCTTATAACCTTTATGAAGGAAGCCTGATTTTTTTATCCATCTGCTGGAGATGCAGATAATCACCTGAGCAAATGGTATCTTTCACACTGGTTGGTGTTTTGGAGCATCTTAAAAGTCTTTGTAGTTAGTTTGAGGAATGAAACTTAGTCACTTGAGGAGGAATGATAAACGTAATAATTGGTGTTTTTCTGCTGTGACAGTTTTCAGCTACGTGCTGCTGAGATCCATGGGATATCAGTTCAATCAGAAACCAGCTGTGTGTTAACTATGTGTTAAATGCTGCTACGCTGTCTGGGTCTGAGGTGTCTATTACTGCATTGAACCAATCAAAGTTCTGAAAGCATGTGGCCAAGACATCCAAGGTCTCCAAGTTCAGTAACCTTAAAGCATCAGCACATGTCACCACAGGTCTCCAATGTTCCTCATCCTCTCTACTAACTCTATTTGGTTTGCTACACTGGTGGCTGCTCTTGTAGTCTAATAAACATCATAAATGAAATCTGTAAAAAATGGCAGCAGCCTTTCTAGAAGCTCAAGGGAAAATACGATCAAACAACGTCAGGTGTTTCCCTCAGGGTTGCACTGTTGTGTTGCATTATGCATGTGGTTGCTGTTGTTTTGTCCGTCTGAGCTCAGGTTGTTGAGTTTTTTTGGCTTGTCTTTCAAAAGAAAACCAACACATGACTTGTGAATTTCTTAAAGCCATTAATCCTTTCAGTTGCCATTCACTCACTGCTTTCGGACATTAACACATTTCTTTGAAACTCCAACACAGCCTGCATGTTGGTTTGCAAACTGACGTCATCATCCCACAGTGATTTAGTGTATAATCATGTTAGCTCAATGATTGATCTCCCATGTGAAGCAGGGTCCCTCCTCTTGCATCCTACTGTTCATCTCTCACTGAGACAGGCCTCGAAAAGCAAGCATCGATGCACTTACACAAAGGGCTGTTGGAGGGAGGGGGGAGGCAATCATGACGCAAAGTAGATCTGAGCAGGATGAGACACTGGCATGTGCATTTCCAGCGATAAATCCAGGTATATGACCTTTAAAGGCAGCTTCACATTTTCAAACTCTGAATCTGCTGTGATCTGAAAACAGCCCATCCTGTCAGAGGTTGGATGTTGGAAATGAAGGTCAAAAACTGTGAGGACTGATGATCTTTTTTTGGGACACAATCAGCCAGCTGAGAAAAATAATCAAAGATTTTTTTTTAAGTAGCTTTTCATTTTTATGTGATTGAAAGATTTCAGTGAACAGGCAGGGTTTTGTTTTTTAAGTAATCAGCGTTTTTGATTCAATTTTGGACACATCCATTCACACGGCAAAAGATTCATTTTTATTCTGTTTCAATAAAAGATTCTTTCTTTCTTTCTTTCTTTCTTTCTTTCTTTCTTTCTTTCTTTCTTTTCAGGCTTCAGGTTCATTCTGCTCCCCCACGGACAGAGTGGTATTGACACATTTTTTCCTGTTCATGTATTTTTTGTATTCTTGACGTGAAACTCTCACCCTGCTCTTAATCAAATGGAACAGTCATCAATAATCTTAAGAAAAGGCTTCATCAGTCAGTCACTTAGTCTGACCCCCAACCCAATCAATAGTTTCAGCTCATCTGGAATCATCTACCAGTTGAGATGTGAGGAGGCAGACACCTTCTCTACCTCTACCACAGTCTTTTCTGGGGTCCTCATGTTCGATCATGCTGTAGGTTCCTCTGGGCTGCTGCTGCTGCAGATGTTTTGCAGCCGTGGACCTGCTTGCTTGCTTTCCAGCTGCTTCACATACATACATCAGTCTCACCTCTGTCCAGCTCTCTTTTTATGTTTCTTCTCTCTCAACCTGAGGCAGTACCAGCAGATAACTGTCCTGCATGAGTCTGGTTACGCTCATGGTTTCTGCCTGTTAAAAGGAAGTTCTTCCTCTCCACTGCAACTTGCTAAATGCTGCAAAGTGTTGCAACCATGTAGCTGAAGATGGGAGTTGATCTGATCTGACTAGATGTCATCTTTACATTGGGTCTTTGGAAATATGCGGTAGAAAAAAGTGCATAGTCTTGTTGTTTGGCCATTTTTTTTTCCAGTTGCTAAGGGACATCAATATTAAAAGTCTGTTTTAAAGCTGTAAACTGGTGTACTCTTCACTGCTCACGTCAGTTGCCAGTACTGTTTTTCGCTTTTGTGATTCGGTCTCTTTATAAACATCTGAGGCGATATGAACCCACCTAAACAGACTGTATGTATGATTAATGTAAGAACACATCCGACACAGTCTCCCTTTGCAAGAGTGAAAGGCTATTCTGGGAAAACATAGATGTCCTGTTATTACCTAGAAAGGCAGACAGCTTTTATATAGGCCAAGCACTTGGTGGACAGCCATTAAAGGGGTTCAGAACAAAAAGAAAAGCACATGACAGACAAGGAGAAAGAGAGACAGAGACATTAAAATATTTACAGAAATAGCTCTAACAAAAGGTATGAGACCAAAAGCATTCACAGGATGGTAATAGAAATATGACTCATTATTATAATTGTGGTTGCAGTGGGAGTCTAGCAGGTTTACTGCAGCAGGGTTTCTGCATCAGAAGACCACAGGAACCTGTGAGATGCGAAAGCACAAGAATGCATAAAGATGAGGAGAGAGAGGAGGAGGAGTGAGGAGCTCAGCAGCAGCATAACAATACAACTGTTTTGTGACTTTTCTAAGACTTTACCCCTCTACACACACCACCTGTTTTCCTCGACAGGATGTCCACAAGAGAAAGTGAGGACAGGATAGTCACGGTCTTGTTTTATTTCTGGCTACAATCAAAGTTTAGCAGCTGGCGCCCTGTGGAGGGATGTGTGTCAGGAGACTCGTTGGAGGCTGTTTCACTCTCTGCCCACTCTCTCTGTCGCACTCATAAAACCTCCAATTAGTGTAAAAGCTCTGTGAATCTTCACGCCCTCACCTTGTGAAAGGGACATTTAGAGGAAGATAGCATGGTGTTGAAAAGCAGCCAAAAACTTTCCGAAATCCATCTGTGATGTGACAGAGTGAATTAATCTGCAGCAGATGCTGACTCAGCTCTTTCAGGTATCTCTGCCCTCCTTGATCGTGATTCATGACCATCAGATGACAAACAATAATACGATTAAGATTTTTGTAGTCAAGGGAAAGAAAACTGATACTTTGCTGTTTTTAATATCGCAAGAAGGTGACAACATTTGAGAAAAAAACAAAATGATATATTTCGTACAGAAAATTTGACAGTGTTCTCCATCAATCTATGTTGGTGCCAGCTGTGATTTTTATGATGAAGTGCTGCAATTTGTTCCCACTTTCTCTCAGTCAGCCTCGTCTTCATCTTCTTCAGGTAGTGAATTTTTCAGCCTCCTATTATTAATGTCAAGTTGTCACTTTCAGCAGTTTGTTATTGGGTGTAAGTCAATAGATAAGCGTTAAGGTATTGGTGGTGTAACACATTACACAGATTTTTCTGACTTTATATCCTAAAATAAGTTAAAATAATCCTGATTTAAAACTTACTTAAACTGGTATTGACTAAACTTAAAGTTTAGTACTCTGCTTATACACTGTATAAACTCAGAAATGTATTTGTTTGACAATTTTAATGCAGTATTTTTAGCTCACCCTGCCTCAAAACAACCTTGTTATAGGTCTTTTCCATATTCTAATGTCTCACACTGACCACCGTGTGTGGTACTTGTGGTGTGCCCTCGCTGTGTTTGAAGGATAAATGACACTCTTAGCAGTAACTGAAAGGGAATTTTCTCCCCTGGGTGCTTGAGTAGGAGCAACAAAGGGACTTATTATATTAAGACTGCCTACAAAGCTGTGTAGGTGTTAGAGGAAACCTTTGTGGTCGTCAGATAATACCAAATATTATTATTACTAAATAACATAATTCTCATTATGTACACATTTTTTGTTAGTTTTGAGGTTGAAAGGAAGTGAACCAAACTTTCATTGTATTTCTTTTTCCACACATGGGATTTTTATATGCGATTCTCGTAGATAGAAATAGAGAATCTACTCTAATTATCTTGTACAGAGAGATACATGAGCTGACAGACCTGTCAATCAATCATCTTCCTAAAATCAAATAACCAATTAAAACTATGCCTCACAGAAGAATGAATGTTTGGTCCTGCAGTAAATCAGCATGTTAAGAGAGTTTGATCTGATGTGTATTTTCATTTTTCAGGTGGTCCATGTTCCATCTGTGAACATGAGGTTAGATAGGGAGTGTGACCTTTACTGTAGCCAGTCAGTAGGGGGAGCTCTAAATGTTTAGTTTTCACTCAAGGGGCTCTATTTTCGTGCCTCGCTGGAGACGTGCCGCAGGCGCGGCTTAAGTCAGGTCCGCCACGCCGACAAGGCGTTCCCAAGCACAATTTTGGTACTTTGGTGAGTGATACGCCGCCGGTCTACCAAAATACCACTAGACCAGCTGCGCTGAAAGCTGACCAGGTTTGAATCAGCGAGCTTTCAGCGCACTTTACACGCCACTAGCGAGCACGAAAATGTCACTGCGCCCGCTGATTCTGTCGACACCTCCCCCTGCCACGCCACCGGGGGGGTCCGCCACCCTCTGCCGCCTCACCGGCGTACACGAACATAGAGCCCTTTGTGTCTATTTCTATATGCTGTTTCTAAAGCCTTTAACGAAAGTATGAGGATGATGTTGTCAAGGAAACCAAAGCCAGAGTTTTCTCTTTTCTGTCCTTGTGCGAGATTATACCAGTGTCACACTATATCCAACAGGAAGTTCCTTTGTCATATCCCCCCCTTTTTTTTTTTAATACCCATACTAACAAAAAAGAGATTCACCTCTCCAGTATGAACACTGCCATTATTATATCCTGCTACTGAAATACATTTGCTTTCTACAAGCTTAACGCTAAAAAAGGTACACACAGATGTAATATTTCTAATCCTGACCTGATCAAATGAAATGCTTAACTGTTAAGCCTTATGTTAAGATCAAAAATGACAACTGTTTTCTAGCCCTCAAATTTTCAGTCCCTCTTATCACCTTCACCACCTTGTGAAAAACTGGAGTGAGTGATGGATGACAACATACACAGCAGTCCACAATCAGGGAGCTGTAAGTCCAGCTTGCCAATATCATCCTGTGTGACAATAATTGAAGTGACAGGTAGCTCAAACTGTCATCCCGCCTTCAGGTTAGGCTTGAGGAACGGATGTGATGGTTGTGCAGTGACAGGCAGGTGCCAATTCAGTAGCCTTTCCGAGACCATTCCTGTACAAAATTAGAAATGTCCTTTTTGTAGATATTAACCTGAATGATTCATGTTGCTCGAGCAGGAAGTTGTAGAAAGATGGTTATAGATTCATTTTGACCTCCTCATGGAGCTGGTAAAAAGGGTACATGGGTTTTACAGGAACAGTTAAGTCTGAAGCAGGGATCAAACACCCTGAAGTATTATGTTGGCTTCAAAAGAAAAGTCAATAAGTAGTGCTGTAACTATGCTGGACGTTCCTATGTTGTCATGAGCACTGCATACTTCTGTGTTGGGAAGTCTGCGTCGCTGTGCAATACACCGCTGCAACAAAAGCCAGCAGTGCAATGTTAATACTTGTCATATCGCCAGTGTCTGGCTACGTTCCTTCCTTGTTTGTTCACAGGGAGCCATGGCAACTGTGTGATTTATTTGAGTTGAAACTGACATGTGTTGTGCAGTAAGAGGAAGTGCACACCTTTGAGATCACATAAAGTGAAATCAGGGTGTCAGTGGGCAGTTAGTTCATCTTTATCATCATTTAATTATTAATTTTCTATGTCTCAGAGTTTTGCATCTGATATATTAAAGGTTTAATCCACTGTGTTTTATAGGAAGTGACACATATGAACGGCAAAAAGAATGAGAAATTGGCAAAGTGCTTTTGTGTAACGGCCCCACAGGGATGGTGAAATAATGAAGCTGTCTGCCAGATTTACGATCCCTCCTCTGGCACACACACACATACAAAAGCCAATTATTGATCTATGATTTAGTCACCCTAATCAAATTGGTGTGGGGATAAAAGACCAGTGGCACTGAAGCACCAACCAATGTTTGTGTACAAGCACAAGTTTAACAGACTGGTGTCAGAAAACAGTGACAGTACTTTATTGAACAGATTGATATTTAGCTTAAAGTCAGTTACATTTTTCTAAATATGTTTTAAATTTTTATTTTTTAAACTTTGCCATTTTTTATTTCCTTCTTTCTTGTATTTACTAAGCTATAATAGATTTTTTTATTTGGGGGACAAGTTAGAAACTGCAGTGTGTACAATAAACTCTACTAACATCAAAGTGAAACCTCAGAGTCATGCAGAGCTTTCATGCAGTCCAACACAAAGATGATTCATCCCTCTGAAAAATGATGATGTGTGCATGAAGTAAATTGGAAGGAAATAAATGTCTCACTGTAAAATGCACTGATGGAGCCCTCAGTTCACACCAAATGTATGCAGCTGGGATCATCATGCCTGCAGTCAAAATTGTGAGTGTTTATATATTTATTTGTTTCGCCATTTCCACAGGCAGCGTCATCCGAGCAGTGATGTAATCACAGGAGACAATCCCATGAGCATATTTTGTCTCTACTGAGAACAGAGGAGCTCCCTGACTTATCCAGTGTGACAGAAAATATCATACCAGTCTCATTGCACTATAGAAGCACACACACACATTTGTTATCTTGTTGTATCAGATCAGATCGTTTGATGGCAGTGGACAACACTTTGACATTCTTGTGCAGAATGTAAACATGCTTAATAAAAGGCTAATCGTAACTCAACACTAAAAGTTTCAGCGTTGGAAAGTAATGGTATAAGTCTGGCCTAATAATGGCTTTGAATGAGAGACCAGATCATAATGTGTTCACTAATGTGTTTTTCTGAATTTCACTGCAGTTTATGAAGTTGATGCTGACATTTTTCAGTCCGCAATAAGATGGTTG